GGGAGAGAGAGAGAGAGAGAGAGAGAGAGTCGGATCTACGGAGGCCGGGCTCTACCCTGACTTCATTCTTGTCTAAAAATCATGCAAAAAAATCAAAGACTGCAGTGAATTCAGCACGTTGCACGTGAAAATCTATGGTGTCGGAGAAAAATTAAGAACTGTCCCTTTCTTCGATTCCCTCTCTTTCATTCTCCATTGTTTCGGGATCTCTCTCTTCTCAGAGCAATAACACGACGTTTATTCAAGAAGAAAGAGGGGCCTTTCTGAAAGCGTGGGCGCTAGCATGACCAAGGTTGTGTTCCCCCGTGGTGCCGAGCGGGGAAAAATTCTTCAGCACCAACGCTAACAGCTCCTTGTCATCATCGTTAGCCTAGCTCTTCTCTGGACCATCAACAAAGACAGATCTCTTGTTGCTCCTAGCAGTACCTGAATTACATAGGGATAGACCGAGACAGACAGAGAGGAGAAAATTCTGATGATCGTTACTCACCTGTCTGGAAATATGTCACTAAACAATAACACAAGTATGCTTCCGAACTAGCTTGGGATGTTTTCAGGGAGTGTGAATTTCTTTTCAATCCCTGGACAGGTTGCCCTACTTCCTGGTCTCTCTCCTCCGCTGCCTCCGGGCAGATGTAGAAGCCTTCTACCCACCCCTAACAGTACTTAGATATATATACATATTTATACCCCTTAATATATACTCCCCAAGCGTAGATACGTGTAAGCAGATGTGCTTTCCTGGATATTCTAATTTAACAGTTAAAAATGATTATCAAAGGGTAACACTCAGACATCCGGGGAATTTTCATCATTTATTTTATTTCATTCAAATTAAGGACAATCTAATTTTTGGACTGGATTGTTGGTTGCGGTATTTAGTAGTTAGTCAGATGGGGAAGGACGGCAGTATATATTCTCAGTTACAAGTGAAAAGACCCCACAAATCTTAACAGGAGCCTATTGAAGAGAGTAAAGAGAAGAAGGATCAGGACAAAAGTTGCCGTGGATGTTTTTCATCGGAGAGAGAGAGAGAGAGAGAGAGAGGAGGCAGAATCTGCGGAGCACTTCGCTCTCCCAAATGTTCCTTATCTGTATCTTGTCAAATATCAATTCACAGGGAGGTCCCTTCGTAGTCAACCTCAACGTTTCCTGCATGGGTTTTAGATTTGTGTTTATCTTAGAGGTATCATTTATTTACCCATCAACTAGCCAAACTCAGAAACACAATATAATATTACTGAATAGGGCCACATTTAAATAATACAAGTAAAATATTCATATCTATAGAGTAGTCAGATGGTAGATGGTACAGTAATGCAGGTATTTGTGGCACGCTCGCTTGTGAGTGGACATTGTATCAGGTGATCTACAATACCTTATGCTCCCATTCCGTTTTTCGTAATTATACCATAGTATACAAAAAAAACGCATGAAATTTCAATGTCCTTCACCCTTGAAGTTGACTAATCAACGATAGTTAGTTGTCTTTGATGACTTGGCATTTTTTATTGGACAAAATAGGAGTTAGATATGCCCTTTTTTTGGCCGAAATGGGAATGTGAGACATTCCCCACCGAACGTGAGAAAATGTCAAGGGTTTGGGAGAAAAATAACCTTCGAGTAGTAGAAAAGATGATACGAAAATGTGAATAGACAATGGGAATTATTGTGGGTTGCCAGATCGTATTAGTCTAAAAAGATTTGAGTTTATTCATCCATAATTTATATTTAAGGTATTCGACATTACTTTCAGATTTGTGCTTTATAATCATTAGAGATGTGATTTCTTGGGTACATAACCTTTACGCACATATGGCTATAGGTATCTGAAATGTTTTATTATTGTATCTACAACATTTTACATAAAATTGAGATTTAAGGCTATAAATAAATAAATAATACTTTGGGCATGTAAATCTCCAATCAATATTGTAGTTGATAAATGTATATTAATTATTTTTGTGAAATTTAAGCTTAACTAATATTCTATAAAATTTTAAAAATAGTTAAATTAAAATAGATGAATTATTGAAATACTTCACGATTTTTTTTGTCTGTATAAACCTCATATTTATACAGTAATGAAGTTATATTTTTTTTACAATATTAATTAACCACAAAGAGTTCACCTCAAAAATGGTAGAATGCATTCTTCACTTGTCTTACATAATATTACTTGATCAAATCATACAACATTCTCACATAATATAATCTTTAGCATATTTAGACTATCATAAGTATTTTAAACTTTAAATATATACCTTAGTCATTTACGAATGGTATATTTACTGTTCCAATTCAAATTTTGATGTCAAATACTACATTATGGACCTTGTAATCTAGAAAAATTTCACCTCTCAAAACTTCCCAATTTTCCATAGGTTTTAAACCCTATAGATAGCATTTTATACATGATTTGATTGAATAGGCACTATAATTCATAATTGATATTGAAAAGTTCTAGGACTCGTCTAGAAAATTATGTCATGGATGAGGACTTGACAATGACATGAGAAAAAGCTAAACGCAAAATATAATTTATGTCAAACATAACTTATCAAAACTACTTTGAAAATTTATAAATGTTGAAAAGCACTGGAAAATATTCTGCTTAGAAGTTTTAAAAATATATTTTAACTATGCACCACACAAATCTTGACTTTTTTTTTCAAAGAGTATTCTTTAAACTAAAAGTTAATGTTCATGAAATGTTTCCAATAGATACAATTACTAAAACTAATGGCTTACCAAAATATTTTCAAGAATATATTGTGTTATAACCAGTATACATATAAATTATATTCTCATATTTTTGCTTTATAAATATGCAGCGTTTGAATGGCGACAACCACATGATCTCTATGACCCCTAGGGATCTTCCGTCTGGTTCCCCCACTGTAGATGACCTGGTTGTGACTCCCCTAGGAGCTTTGTCTGTGAAAGGTTCGCACAAGGGATCTCTCTCTCTCTCTCCCTCGCTCTGTCCTCCCGACGGCATTGAATTAAAGTCCAACTTGGGTCGACTTTTCATGTCTCATAAATGCACTTTGTATGGGGCTGGGGTGACAAAGAGTGGCTAGGGAATTATTTAATATTCTAACTGTCTGTACAGAAGACCAACTTATATTTTTCCCATCTAGTTACTTGGTTATTAATGGTGGGAATGTGTGCTAATGTCCAATCGAGGCGATGATATCATCCTCGTTCCGACTTGGTTCTAGGGTTTTGTGGGCACGTTGGGAAGGGTGTGTTGATGACCAGAGAGGCAGCCATCAATCATCTCTCTAGGCGAGTCCTGGGGCATGCCAATCAGCTCAAATAAAGGCGATTGAGTGTTCTCTTTAAGTACTCTCCTAGAAAACAATGCCCTCTCCGACTTGTTTACTCTCTTTCAAGTGTCTATGCTGGCCTAGGGTTTGGAAATCTACACATGGGGGGATGAGTCAAACCAGCGAGGAAAATATGGAGATGCCATAGTGTAATTAATTCCCATCATGCCAAATAGGTTGTTTTCAATGTTAGAGGGGAATTTTTGGGGGTTTGCGTTGGGAATTAGGACTACTTGGAGGGTTTGTGGAATTAGGGCTCTAGTCCTATTGTGGTTCCAGAAACACCCATATGGAGAAATCGAGGAAGAGGGATGGGGATGCTTAACACCTTTCTCATTCTATAAGTTCAAGGCCTGAAACACTAATATTTTATCGATCCTAATTGAGGAGATCTGTCCCTTGACGAACTCGATTTCTTCCACTTAAGAGACTGTCAATATTAGATGATGTGATAATAAATCTGTCGGCAGACAGTTTTCCTTTCGTCCCAAACATACGGAGGAGGATACTTTAGGAGTAGGGTGATGTGGTGAGGAAGATGGGAGTTTCTCAGCCTTGAACTCCATGTCAAACTTTTACAAGGTTATGAACCCAAGAAAATATCGCAGCCCTAATGTCGAAATAGCCCATTGTTTCTCTCAAGAGAGAATTTCCGTCTCCATAAACATGTGCAGAAACAAACTTAGTATGACAAACCTGAATGTGAGCAATAGTTGAAGTGCACTAAGTTCTCGTCGTCTATAATTTTAATTCCTGTGGAGGGGTGGAGGGAGGAAGGGATTGGAGGAGGAGAGAGCTATATATATATAGATAAAAATGTCGTGCGGTTTATGTGTCAGGCAGCTGGCCTGATTGAGGCTCGGGTGAGTCTTGTCAGGCCGAACCTCTAACCCGACGGGTCCACGTCCGTACGATAGATGGCGAGCGAGCGGGAGAGAGAGAGAGGAACGGGGGCACAGGGGGGCAGAGAGATAACAGGGCGAAGCTGGAAGAAGTGGAGGAAAAGGAATCCCGCACGGGGCTCAGACATCCATTCTTTCTTTATTTCATTTGCTGGTCTTCTTCTCCGCCCTGTACTTCTCCCTCTCCATCTCCCTCTCTCTCTAGATCTTATCTTCCCTCTGTGTTTCCTTCTATCTCGTTCTCTTGTTTCGTTTCATCACCCGCTGACTGGGGGCCAGCAGGTAGAAACCCCCATTTCTTTTGTGGTCACCATTACCTTCCCTCTCTCTCTCTCTCTCTACTGCCTCACCTCTCTTTGTCACTTTTTCAGCCCTCTCTCTCTCTCTCTCTCTCTCTCTCTCTCTCTCGCTACATTCCTTAACTTTCTAGAGGGCCATTTTCCAATATATACCATCCCCAAGACAAGACCAAATCCTTCCAAATACCTCTCCCTTTATTTAAGTTCCCCACATACACGTCCACAGATCCATACTCCGTCTCTCTCTCTCTACCTCTCTTGTATCGTAGTGTCACCAGTTATGAAATAACACAGGTGGGTTTATCCCCCCAGAACTGCTTTTATCACTCACAACACGATCTGCAAACGTAGACGTGGGGAACACAAGGATAAGAGAGAGAGAGAGAGAGAGAGAGAGAGAGAGAGAGAAGGGGCTTACAGGGAGGGGAGAGAGGGAAAGAGAGAGAGAGAGAGAGAGAGAAAGAGCTATGCCTCTTCAGGGGGTCTCCACTGAGGCCTCGACCATGCCGTCCCCTGACCTCTCGCTCCACATCAGCCCTCCCAGCGGCGCACCGACACCGATGGCGGGCGGTGCCGCTTCCACCGACCTGTGGCGGCGTATAGGGTCTCTCATCCCGCGATCTGACTGCTCGCAGGCTCCCACCGACCTCTCCCTTGCGAACCCTTGTGACGCCGCAGAGATCCCTTGGAGGACGCAGACGACGACACCAGAAGGACTGCGACCTCCAACGGCCTTCGGCCATTGCCACGCTGACCTTCGGTCTTCCCACGGTGGTGCTCCCCTCCCGTCCGTGGAGGGGATGAGGCCGATCAGGGGAATCCCCGTCTACCATACCGGTCCCTTCCCCTTCTTCCCAGGCGAACCGAAAACGGGATTCAGACAACAGATTCCGACATTCCCTTCCTGGACTTCTCCACCGCCGCCGCCGCCTTCCTGCTCCTCCAATTTGGAACCGACGGTAGTAGGTCCTCCGTATTATCATCATCATCATCGGACGGCGGCGGCGGCGGCAAGGATCAACGGGGTTTCGCCGGAGTCGATGGTGATGATGATGAGGGCAGATCATCATCTTCATCAACAGACGCAGCAGCAGTTCTCCATGGGGAGCTTTGACGGCTCCCACGCCATGGCGAGGTCGAGGTTTGTACCGAAGCTTCCAGCAAAGAGGAGCATGAGAGCGCCCAGGATGAGGTGGACCAGCACCCTTCATGCCCGCTTCGTCCACGCCGTCGAGCTCCTCGGCGGACACGAGAGTACTTCTCTCTCTCTTCCCCCTCCCTCCCTCCCTCCTCCTCCAACTCTTACCATCTCTCCCCATTCTCTCTCTCTCTCTCCCTCTTTCTTGAATCAACTCTCACTCTCTATTCTCCCTCCCCCTCCCCTTCTCTCTCTCTCTCTCTCTCTCTCTCTCTCTATCTATCTATCTATCCATCTATGCATCAATTTTTTACCTCAATTTCCCGCGCAACCAACGACCGCTATTATTTCCTTCAGGAGCAACGCCAAAATCTGTACTCGAACTCATGGATGTGAAAGATCTCACGTTAGCTCATGTCAAGAGCCATCTACAGGTAAATCTTCCATTTTTCCTACAATTAAATATCACTGTTTTTCTCCTGCCGTTTCATCTTCGGGATCGTGTTCTTGCCGAAAAGTTTGCGTTCTTAAGATGATCTCCCCAAGGTCTCTCTCTCTCTCTCTCTCTCTTTCTCTCTCTCTCTCTCTCATCTATCTATCTAAGTATCTATCGAGCTTTTGGGCACATTAGCCAATGGACACAGTCAATGAGTGACTGAATGAATGAATGAGTGGATGGGTCTGCTGCACTGAGGGAAGAAGACTGACACACATGCGTAGAGATGGCTAGAGAGAGATGGAGAGTAGGGAAAGTAGCCATCATTTCGCAATAATAAGAGACCAGGCCTACAAGTCTTACCAAAATATCAACCTCGTGGGTAACGAGGCGAAAGCAAGAAATCTTCATGAAAAGGAAAATTTTGGGGCTATAGAAACTCCGCTGCTTCTGCTTCTTCTTCCACCTACTTTCTCCCTCTATTTTCCCTTCCTAACATGACATAAGATTGGGGAGGTGAAGCTTTCTATATCTTCGTTTCTTTTGCCCGGTTTCTTTTCATAACCCCTTCTGTGCGTTCTTCCGTCCCACTCACTCTTCTTTAATGGTGGTTTTTGTTCTCTCGCCTTCGTATTCGCAGATGTACAGGACTGTGAAGTCCACTGACAAGCCTGCAGCTTCCTCAGGTAATTGGTCTCTCTTTCTCTCTCTCTCTCCTCTCCACCTATCTATCTATCATTCTCTAAAATGCTGCAAGTATCTCATGCTGGATCTTCTCAACGAAGGCCAATCTGACGGCTCCGGCGATGAGGATCTCCATCTATCAGCCTCCGATCTAAACCTCCGACGGATGATGGTAACCGCCCACCATGCCGACATGGACTTCCCCGCCGGTGTCGGCGCAGCCACCACCACCACCAGGTGGAGCAACTCTATAAGGTAAGACCTAGACGACCGCCCCCTTCTTCCTCCATCTTTTCTTTCCCTCTTTTAGCCATGGCAGCCTTTCCTATTCTCTCTTTCTCCCCCATCCCTCTATATCTCCGGTGGTTTTGAGATTTTGCCGGGGAAGAGCGGAGCTGAGACTTCCGGCTCGTAAAAGCAGATCGCTTTTTCAGTGGGGGAAGCTCGTTTAAGCCATCAGCTGTGCTGATGAACGTACGCAGAAGGACATTTTTATATGCTCGACGTCTGCTCTTCGCTAAGTTCCCATTTAAAAAATTTTACAGGACTACGATATCGCGTGAAACGGGGGGGGAGGAGGGGAGGCCGTATACATCTAGGGCTTTGGATTGTCCTCTTTCTTCCTCTCCTTCACATCGTTTTTTGTCTTTCTCCTCCCTGCATGGCACCGATCTCGAACAGCGTTTTAACCTGACGTGCCCTACGCCAACTGTTTCCTCTCTCTCCTCTCCCTCTCTCTATCTCTCTCTCTCCTCTCTATGTCCACTGTTCGTTTGTTTTGTTTTATTAGATAGACCCACTGGGCACGGGCCATCGTTCTATCTTCTCCGAGCCGGGAGGTCTTACCATGATGTGATCAATCCTCTTTAGGTTCTCCTGCAATCATTCTAGGAATTAGGTCTGAAGAAAGACGAAGACAATGTGACCTGGTTTTATTCTCTTCGATACGTTCATGCGCCGTACGTTCACCCTAGAAGGTCGCCATTCTCCGATGATGATTAATCTAAAAGATATTCTGAAGCATCGTTACACTTAGAGCATTGTGATATTAAATCAAGGAATATTAGGACAGTGTGGTCAATGATTTGGCGATTCTATAGTTTGAAGAACGGAGATTATGGGTGATGGGAACTAATAAACCTAAGAGAATGTCTATGTTTGATAGGAAATTATTGCGTCAATCTATTAATTTCTTGCTCTTGTAGGTTCAATTAATTCATTATAAGGCATGAACTAATTGGGATTTTGGCTGTTACTTAAGGTATACCCACTCTCCATCGGAGCATTTTCATGGAATAATAGGGAACGAGGGGGGGTGGAGAGAAAACGTGAAGCTTTCTTTGGATTCATTGATACTTATTAGAATAAGGTCATCTATCCTCTTAAGTTTTGATGATCCTCGTCTGGAAATTTTGTTGATGTCATAAATTAATTCGAAGATTTCACGGCACGGGAAAATATTAAGCGGAAAGAACTAAAATAAGATTCTCAGCTGGCGAATTTGGCTTCATAGCAGGTCTCAAGACATGGATGCACTCAGGTCTGTCAGCTTCGCTTCTCAAGCGGAGGTATCATCTCTCTCTCTCTCTCTCTCTCTCTCTTTGGAATATAAATCCTGGGTTGGGACATGACATGAATATTGTTTGAACGAAGTTGTCATCTCTAGCGGAGGTATCATCTATCTCTCTTATCTAAATTCAAATTATAAACTTCTCATCTCAAGGAGAGTATCATCTCTCTCCCCCTCCCCCTCCCCCTCCCTCCCTCGTCGAACTCAACCCGGGATGTCGCATATGAATGGCTCATGTACTAGTAAACCAAGGTTGTTTGGCCCAACCCTCTTATGAAACTGATGTTGATGGCATTTCCGCAGGAGGACGGCACCTCTCCATCCAAAGCGTTGACCAAGGCTCTTCAAGAACACAGAAATCCTAGCCTGGAGTTCACCCTGGGGAGACCAGACTGGAATACCACGGATCACGTGTCGCTGTGAAGCATAAAGGGTGAGAAAAATAAGGCCACCAGAGCAACAAGAAGAGAGAGAGAGAGAGAGAGAGAGAGAGAGAGAGAGAGAAGAGAGAGAGGGTGTGGGGGAGAAGGGGAGGAGGGAGGGCGAGAGACAGAGAAAGAGAAAGAGAAAGAGAGAGAGAGAGAGAGAGAGAGAGAGAGAGAGAGAGAGAGTTGTCACCAGTTTCAATGCTGTGATCCTCAGCCAAGTCTGCACACATGTTAATTTTTTAAAACTTTCCGTCCTCCCATAGCCATAGCCATAGCCATAAGTAGTCAAGGATAGGAAATAGGTAGTCTTGGAAACCCTGGGCTCAGTCTTGGGTTGAATCATTGCATGTATAGGGGGAGGAAACGAGAGAGTGAGTTTGTGTTTGTGTGTGTGCGTGTGTGTGTGTGTGTGTGTGAGAGAGAGAGAGAGAGAGAGAGAGAGATCATGAAGAGGAGGAGCCGTAATAGTTTATGTCAGCGATCTTCTCCAGGATTGTCTTCCCAGTTCTTGAGAGATTCCTTAGTGTTCTTGTCACGTCAGAGTTTCAGGATAGAGGAATTTTTCATTGCCCAGATTCTACATTAAGCTTAAATCTCTCCTCTGATGAACTTCCCGTGTACTTCTGTTTGGAATCAGTTATCAAGAAAAAGCTTCGAACTTTTTGCCTACTTTCTCTTTCTCGCGGCAAAATATTCCCCCCTCCCCGCCCTCCACCTCCAAATCTATCGACATGCCAACTCTGGAGTGGGTGACCCTCATGGAAACTGCTGTGGGGGGTGTTACCCGTCGTACAAAACAGCTAGAGAGGAACCTAGGTTGATTGGGTAGTAAGGTATAAAGAAAACGATTTATAAAAAATTATAATTACAATTATTCGTGAGAAGATAAAAATATTATAAATATCTGATGAATGCATTTATTTTTTATTTCTTAGGCGAACTTACCAAATTTACCTCAAATATCTCTACATCAATTTATGCTGAGTGGAAGAAGCTCATCTTTATACTCATACATTGATTTTTAAATAAAATAATAATATATTCTTATAATAGGGTAGATATTATTAAAAAGATAACATGCTCTGACTGTAAATTCTATCTTTAGTCTTTATTTTTTCACAAATATCTTAAGTGAAGACTAATGACTTGTTGATGGGTAATTTTGAAAGATATAATGAATCAACTTCAGTTTAAAGAGTGCATTATTTTTTTAAGGTGGGAGTCCCTTCGTAATTGTAAAAGAAAGTGCAGATGTTTGATGGATAATAATACAGGACTGTACAAATAGTTCAAGATATAGGTAACAATTACTAGCATACCAATAATATACATAATCTATCATAATAACCATATTTAATTACTCAATATATCCCCATTAATTATTTTTTCAAAAGTTTCAGGAACATGTGTTCTGAACCAAATTCAACGATGTAACATCTCCTAAAGTATATTATTTGAATCCATAAAAATAAAATTGTAGTCATAAAATAGAAGACTAATCTATATAATACCCTTAAAAATCATAATGTTAATAGGCATATATTGAAAATAGGCATATTCTTACCTTTATGAGCCCTAATAGTTCCAATGATGACAAATGTGTAGAAAGATAAAATGGTCATATCTAAAAAATATCAGGGTTATGATATTCATAATGCATAAACCGCTATAGATAAAAACAAGGATCAAAACAAGGAAAGCATACTCAAGGTAAAATGATAATTCTACATCTCGAAGTGTTGAAATACTTTTTAGACAAACTTTTAACACAAGTATAAGCATATGTATAGTCTTGGAAAAATAGTTAAAAGATATACACCATTCAACAAACAATGCAACAAATTTGTAATTTATTATGAGTTCTAGAATATTCATAGATATTATCTTGAAGATGAGATTAAGGTGCTGATGTGACATCAAACAGCACGATTTTGAGTCATTGAAAACGACCATTGGATGGTACAAAACTCAACCTATAAGAAATGAACTTTTACCCACATAAAAGAAAAGAGTGAGCTGTAACATCCAAATACACCACCTGAGTCTACATGAGCTTACAACTAAATTAATCATTGAAAGGGAATAAAGTTAGTTGTTAATGCATTAATAATCATAGCACTTGTGTCTCTTTGAGCTGTGAATCTGAATGAGATTAGCTAGATACTAATCAAGTTAGTTCCCTGTAGTCATGAATCTATAGGAGATTAAATGAAACATTCTTGTTCAGTATAATCACTAAAGTCTAAATGGAAAATAATTGATTCATCCTTAGAAAGCACAGCAGGTCATTTTGGTTGAACCATTATAAATCAATATTTCATAATCTAATAAATTAAGAATTAAAAAAAGTATCAATTCATCCCCCCCTCTTCGTTTCTCATGTTGCCTTATTATAACCAACATATATTAGAAAATTTATGTTGATACTGTTTATATATATTTGAGACATATATTGATAGTTCTACATGTTTAAAAATGATGTGAATTATATATTTAAACATAAAATACATTAATTTACTCATAAAAAATGTCACCCTATGAGATATCCAACATTAGGCACGTCATCAATTCCTACAATATAGATTTCCTATGTATTTCGCAAAAGTTCAACCTATTCCTTGATATCTACATATTAAAATTAAGGTAATATATAGTATGCACATTAATTGTGTATGAAAATAATTTAAAGAGGTTTATATATGTTTCTTACATTTTTTATTTGACTACCTTAGAATGAAATTGATACATCCATTTTTAAACTATGAGCTAACTAATGATTATAAATTCTAAATAGACAATGCTATATGTAAATGATAAAATAAGAGTAGCCGTTTAATATAATGAAAAACATGCTTAGATGTACAATGATTACGTTTGCACTAAAACTATTAAATAAAAAGATATCAGTTAACATTAATGAAGTAAATTATTATAAGTATACTTTACATTAGGTTAAAAATGAAATAATGGAGGTATTTAGAGGATTCTTACATGTTGTTTTGGGATAGCTAAGATTTTTATACCATGCACATTAATGCGTACTCTTATTCCTACCAGGATTTTCATAAAAAATAAAAAATTCTCCTATCTTGCTTTCAAGAAAAAGAGTCAACCCACGATTTATGAAGAAAATTATGACATTTCTAGTATATTGGTCTTTTGAGGGTATTTGTCATGTGACAAAATGTTTATAAGGTAAAATGGTCATTAAATCTATAGAGGAAATGCTCTTATGACTCAAAAGTATGGTATTTATATTCACTAACTTATAGAAAAGTTTCATGAAATTTTAGAACTAATTAGACATGTGTACATTAGTACTCACATGTCAAAAAAAAGTCAACTTATTGAGAGTAAGTGAAAAACTAAGGAGAAAAAAAAAATGTTCAAAAGCTTTACAATACTAAGGATTTGTGTTACCATTACCCGCACCCAATTCTAAAATATCCATGACATATGAAAGTTCACTTATGGCCATGATACAATACCATACCATGGACTAGTCATTTGGCACTCTTAAGTGGTTACTATAATGCTTACAATTAGCTGGTTTTATAAATATTGGAGTGAAGAAAAGTCACAAAAATAATACTATGGAAGGAGAAATTAGAAAATTTATTTGACAACCATTTGAAAACCTGAGACAACACTTTCATGCCATCATGAATGAAATTCTCAAAGGAAAAGATGCTGCTCCAATAAGTCAAAGCTTCAACATTCTAGGCTATGCTCCACACCCCAAAGAAGTCTTGATTGAAAGTTTGTAGACTTTTATTTATTTATTGCTTCTATGTAAGGTTTCTAGAATGGTACTAAGTGCACTCAAATTTTTGTAGAGGCATCCACTTTGAATAGTAAATTACTTGTTGGGCTTCCTAGTGCTATTGATTTAATGTAGATTAGTTGAGCGCATGTCTAATCAGTCTCTAAAGCCATGAATCTAGCAGATATAAGTTTGAAATTATTACATATGCCTACCTAAAGGTATGAATCTAGTAGAAGCAATCAAGAGCTTATTTGGCAAGTTTGGTACTTTTCTGGTTGGCTCTCTAAATCTATGTCTAGAGGAGGCAAACAAATGGCTTTGTATGCAACACTTGTGATAAGCTAAAGTTAATAGAATTTCCCTTCTGAAAGAATATTTATTATTTTGAGCTTTTAGTATTGGTGTAAAAAGACAATGCACCGCCCCTTTTATTTATTATGGTGGCTCAATTGATTCCAAAGAGGCAAATAAAATATGACAAAATAATGAACATAATAAAGTTATGGCACCATGTTAAAAATTGTCAACTAGACATTAGAATGATTACAACCATCTTTGGAGACTATATTCACACGTAAATACAAGAAAATAATATTTTGTAAATTAATCGTGTACAATATTCAATTTAATTGAATTAAAATCTTCTTGAACAGAACTTTCAAATCTCTAATGAACTTTTACTATCAATCAAGCCCTATAAAAATATACAAGTTTCCACATTGAAGGACAGAATTCTATGTTCAAAGAATCTCAAATGGAATTATAATAGTTTATTTTATTATAAATAGTTATTGTGATAAAGATTAATGTTTGTCTTCAAATATATATAGGATTATCAATTTAAATCTAGTGATTGATTGGCTTATAGTCATGACTAAAAAATCAGAAATTGGAGATATACTGAGTTCAAGTCACTTTATTGTGTTGACTCGTTATTATAAGTTAAGGGAATGACCTTTAGAAGACTGAAGTAAGCATATAGTATCAAGATATTGTTAAATATTGTGTGTTGTCTACCACACAAAGGGAGTAAACTCATCTATACTGCGTTATTTGATACCTACCACAAAAATTGATAATCTAAAAAGACCCAATTGATAGGCCCTCACAAAGCCAATAAAAATTTCATCTAATGAAGAATCACATCTAATATTTATTTTTTATCTTCATTCAACCTATTGACAGTATATTTTCTAAAATGTTAACTTGCTTCTTAAATTTTATTTACTAAATGAACAAAAAACTTTCCTTTCACACCAATAATTAACAATGCATGTATTCAAGTTCGAGCATGTTTTCTTTCATAGTTATCAATTAATTCAACATAGGGAAAATTATTGAATGTGGAATAAATATATTAAAACGATTGTCTTGCATTATTTGTTACATAATGACATTTTACTAGACAACCAAATTGTGTACTCCACATTTACCCCTTGATTTTTTTAACTTATATTTCTACATAAGGTGAATTCATGAATGATTTTCGAAGCTTATAATGATATATAATATAGCAACTAACCAAATAAAAATTTTGATTAATTAATTTCTTCATTCCTTCTTTAATTTATTTTTAAAAATCTCTTGTACATATTCAATGTTTATTTATAAGGAAAAAGAAAATCACAAAAATTGTAACTACCATGCATATTAAACATAAATGTCAACAAATGGTGTTACTAACAAATGTGTCCATAATCTTGCTTTCAACAAACAAAAGTTCACTGACAATGACATAAATCTTATGGTTTTTCCTAAATTTAATTGTCATCAACACACATATGTAAAAAAAACATTCAAATCTATAAAGGCATTCAAAATTTTGTTTGAAACTATTATCACCACTTATGTTAATTATCACATTGAATTCTTCAATTTTATTTTAAAATTTTAATCATCAACTGTCACTTGTATTTGTATCTTAAGTTGTATTTGATATAAATTATCTTGAATACTAATTCTTTACCCCCCGAAATTCTGTGATAAAAAAAATCGAAGATAATTATGTAGTATTTTCTTCAATGTGATAAAAAAACGATCATTTTTAAACATTAGAAAAATACAATCTACAATACTCACTCTCCTATCATTGCTTTTATGTATAAATGAACAAGTATGAGTTAGACAATGTTTATTGTGTTATCACTCTATCAAGTAACACAAATGCATCTATGTGTTAAGTAAAATCTAATTTTATGCAGTGTTTTAATTGAGTTTTTCAATTTTAATGGACACTACTTCAAATGACATATAAATATTAGCTAACTAGTCCAACATTATTACTGATACGTAAATTAAACAATCAATTTCTTGCATGGTGAATGAATAATTGAAAAATATGTATTTATATGTTTATTTTTTACACAACCATTGAAAAAATATTGTGTTATCATGTGCCCTGATGTGTGGCGTCACCAAAAGACTTCCATAACATAACCAATCATTTTCACCATCTAAGAAGATTTTCTTTATTTTTTTATACATAAACTTAAACTTATACCTTGATGATCCATCCTTTTATTGTAACTCATCTAGAAATCTAAGATGAATACGTTAGTCTTCTGTTTCATAAAAACAAAGTAAAGAGAGAGATATATGATTCAAATCCAACTTAACAAAGGGATATTTTCAAATATAAATATTACACAAAAGGATCCACAAACAGTTTGGCCTCACCCAACATATTGTCTCAATTTGTTCTTGGCAATGAATCTGCTACTTCACTTCAGATGAGTGAATAGTGACCAAGTAAGTGAGAAGCACTTTACAAATGGAAGATGAGGGCTTTATGGTTGTTCAAGGGGGGAGGGGACAGAGATAGCCAACGAGCAAGAGTCTTGGGCAATGACTCAAGGAGAGGGACCATAGCTACAAGGGGGGCAAGGAATAGTTGAATGGGAGACAAGGACGTGGAGGGAGAGCATGTAGGCTGCTTGAGAGGAGAAATAGAGCAGGAATAGAAGGATACTGTGCATGGCCACTCGAGGTAAAGAGACAGATGGGCAAATAGATAGAGGAAGTGGGCATAGATTATGGTTTCTTCAAGAAAGATAAGTTAATCTGCTCTTGAATAAAGGTAAAAAAATGATGAAACTTGATCATGGCCAAATCGTTTATGCTAATGGAGTGTGGCAGGGGAACTAATTCATAATTTTCAGGTCCTCTAGAAAGTTGTAGAACCTCAAGTAAAAGGACAGGGAACTTCTCTCTAAATCAACTAGTCTGAGAATTACTTGGAAAAAAAACCAAAAAAAATATTATTAGCTTTTCAGGGACTTAAAAATTATTATTGGAGATTCAGGGCCTCCATCTAGCCCCTTTTTTCTTGATCGGTGGCGGATTGCTACGTGGTCGCACCTACAGTCACCACGTTCCCGCAGAACCCAACTTCTCTATGCCCCGCGTCCACACCCCACGCACCTCTCCATCAGTCGACAGGCGGCGACGGCGGCGACGGCGGCGGAAAACCCGGCGAGCGATGGCGGAAACCGACGGCTCGCTTGCAGATGACAGCGGCGCGAAGGCGACGACGGAGACTGCCGCCGCCGTTAAGATCGATCCCATGACGGGGGACTCGAGTGTGGAAGAAAGGGAGGAGACGGTGTTCGATCTCCTGCGCCGCTTTGGGGGGGGGGTCTTCCTCGCCGACGCCGCAGGCCAGCAGCCGCCGCCGCCCCTCGCGCATCGCATGCGGTTTGCTTTCGCCGAGAACGTCCCGCGGGTCCAGCAAGCCTGCAGGAACTCCGGCCGCAGAGTCCTCCTCTGGACCAGGCGCGGCAGCCCCCTGAGGGCCCTCCTCGTCATCTCGGTCAGTAAAAAAATACCTTGAAAGTCCATAATTTACGGTGTTGATGATGCAGTATTTGAGTCCATATCTCCTCGGAATGCACACCAGCTGATTGATAAAGTGCCCAAGAGGGGGGGAAAGGGGGGCAGCTCATCGAACTAGCCCAAAGTATTCTTCCTTCTCCATGGGAAATATATATTGATAAATTATGTGAACCCATATGAAAAGAAAACCAGTTGTGAGAACAAGAAGGGAAATTTCGCAGTCGGGATTTCTTCCCACTCTCAGAAAACTCTCCGTTCCAGGTATTTACATCCCGGAATTTCCATCTCCAGTGCGGCTCCTCCAGATGTCTACCGTGATCCCTTCCTTATTCAAGAACATCGCATGCCAAATTTCATGCAAGAAGAAGATCCCATGGCCCGGTCTGAAAAGGGTGCCAATCATGGGAACTGTTGCGGAATTTCTCGACTGGGGTTCTCTGTTGCTTTTAAAATGCTCTAGATTTGATCTTCGGATTTTCTGAAGAACAATATTTTTTTCTAAATTTAAAAGCTTTCTTGGTTTGATGACATTATACTATCCACCGATCCTTCATTGATCCAGCTCACAATGACGATGGATCTGATACGAGCTTTTGTCGAGAGTGTTGATTTCTGCTATATGGTGCCCATTTTATTTGAACTGATATTTGATTTTTGTGATAATTTCCAGGTTGGGACGATCACCCTGCTCGCTCTGACAGGATTGGCGGTGTTCATACTTTTCTTCTTGGCTGCAACTCTGAACGCCATCATCATCTCCTTGCTCATGTCATTGGCTGCCGCAGGAGGGTTCTTGGCTCTTTTCTTCGGCTGTTTAGTAGCTACTTACATTGGAGCCTTGTCAGTTGCTGTGTTCATCATCTCCATCACAACCATTGCAACCATCATCGCTGTCCTTATTGCTGCAGGTGTTTTTTCAGAATTCTAAATTCATAATGCTTTTTGGCTGTCTTACCCGGTTCAATTTTTTTAATGACAGAACTAGCTTCTTATCACGCTTTATTCACATTTCCTGAAATGAACTGTCACATAACATTCCTATTGTTATATGTTCTTTTACCTTCTGCAGATAGTTACTAATTACAGCAGCATTAATCAATCACAACCATGGCAATTTCAATGTTATGCAGATTGTATTCAATTTCCTTGAGAGAAAAGTCAATATGATCAATCTTTAAATAGGTTGTTATTCATGGCCTGTAGCTTTTTCGCCGATTCGGTTTGACCAATGTTGAGATTTTAATGTTTATTTTTAAATTTTTTGTTTGATTTTGAACTTCGCTGTCATTGGGTTTCCAATGTGTTCATCCATGATCATGTTCCTTTTATTGGTGTTCAATTACAATCATCTCTTTAGAATTATCATGATACTGTTCCTAATCCCTTGGAAGAAAATGGGTAACAAATTTTAAAATTGCAGGATGGATTGGATTCTTGTGGGCTATTCACCTACTTGCTAAGAAGGGGATGGATATCGTCAGGCAATCACTGAGCATGACTGGGTCAGCACTCTCGGCATACTGCACTTCTCCGCAAGCTCACCACAAGGAATCCAAGGAAAACTGAGGGAGAGAGAGAGGGGGGGAGAGAGAGAGAGAGGGAGAGGGAGGGAGGGAGGGAGAGAGAGAGAGAGAGAGAGAGAGAGAGAGAGTCAACGACATAGGGATTTTTGGGTGAGTCTCAGTAAATTTCTCAATAAATTTGAAAATGTTTACTAATGCCATATGTTCATATATCTGTAGGTTTTTCTGGCTCATCGTATGTCAGGTGCTTATAAGATTGGTATATGTGATAAATCACGAAGAATTAATTTGTCTTTATGGGCGATCTCCGGAGGGTTCAGCTTCATCTTGAATCTTTAATACAGAGGTTTGTCTGCTTTCTGGTTGGATGGTCTCTAGGGGTTTGGTGGTGGAGTAATGTGGAGCTGCCTGAGCTGGTTTTGTGGACATGGGACTCAGAGTTACCCTAGAAAGATACCAGTTTGTCTAGGAAAGGTTTGGACTTTAATGAGGTCTGGCTTGAAAGTTTTGAAGAGGAAGTTTTTCCATCCTCTCTCTCTCTCTCTCTCTCTCTCTCTCTCTCCCCATTACTTACACTTTCAGATCCAAGGCCAGGTTCCCAGACATGGTACCGGTTCTTCTTAGAGATTATTTATGGGCTGTCCATTAAGCCCAGTATGGGTCGAAGCCCTCAAATAAAACTTTGGGGTCAAGTTGGTATAAATAGACCGCGTCCAGTTTGGCCCATGGAGCCTGTGTTTCCAATAATAGTAGCACCTTCCTACGTGGGCAAAATCTGTGCCATTTTTCTCCAGGGCCATTGTTTTGGGACCATGGTTTTAGATTAATGCATCATTATGCTGAGATATTTTGCATTATATGAAGTCATGTCCTGCTCTTTCCCCAATTAATCACTGATTCCAAGTATCAAGTACTTCAAGTGATAATAGTCTTTCAATTAGTAAGTTCTTGGTGTCAATTAGGGTAATTTAGTGAACATCATAATGTAAATAAATGGCAAATTTTCAATGTGGTGTCAGCATTCTATGTTCAAAAATCGTCTTCAAATAACTTGAGTTTGAAAATTGGTTAATATTTTGAAGGGTGAGAGATCTGTCATTTTAGCATAACTAAATATTTACATGAACCCAACACCATAAATATATATTTATTGTTGTTTTTAGCGAGAGAGAGAGAGAGAGAGAGAGAGAGAGAGAGAGTCTTAAGCATGTTGTGAACGTTCATACTGAAATTTTAAAAACCCTAAAGTAGAACAATTTCACGAGTAGATAATCAACAAGAACAGATAAAACAAATAACCTTTTTGTTACAAATTCTACAGTTCACATCATCTCGATCATAGATGAAGAAGACCGTATTATTCCTGCTTTGACTTTGGTCCTGGTGGTGATGTTGATGATGATATATTACTATTAATGGAAGATTGGGGTCCGTTTAGTTGGCAAGTGGAGAGGCCGTTGACCAGGATGCTGACCACAGTTAAATCCTAGTCACAGATTAAGAGGGGCTGACGTTGACATCCCGCCCACTCAGAGCGCAGCCTAGATTAAGCACATGGGGTCTTGATCAGATCACCCAACGTCAGCATGCATCGACCAGAAATCTGAAGAATCTGGATTTTTTTGCATCCCAGGGTGTGTATTTTAATCCAAACCAGGGTATCCCATGCAACATCATACTATATGTGGAAGGACCACTTTATGCAATACATGTATTATATCATATTATCTATGTTTTAAAATCATAAAAACTGTATAGAATAGCTTACCGAATCATGCGAGTATGACCTGCTTTATTAATGGTTTCAGGGAAATTTTCCGGTTGGTGAGCAAATGAGTTCATCCTTGACTACTCAAATAGAACAAAACTAGAATTAGAACTTCACTAAAATAATTAGATTCTTTTAGTTTAAACCTCCATCGGGAAAAAAATTACCTGTCGTGTATTTGCATTCGGGAATAATTTCTGACAAAGTCAATCTGATTCGATCATCAAAAATAGAATATTCGTAATATATTCGCTTAAAAGTCAGCTATACCTGATTTTAGTCTGGTTAACAAGGCGACAATAATCCTCCAGAAGACAAACAAATCTCTTTCTTATGATATCTACACCAGCGTAAGGGTGGAAGTAATCGGTCCCAGTAGTACTGCCTCGCCTCAAACTGCGGTTAATCCAGAGTGAGGTGACATCAGGTGATCAAATGGGTTGACTTTTTTGATGCTACTCTACAAATTCGACGATGATATGACTGTTTTTTTTTTCAATTTGAGGCAATTCAGCATGTCTTCAACCGAGAAACCCTAAAAAATGTTAGGGCTCGTGATTGGATGGAACGTACTAAAAATGGCATTAAATTGAACATAGACGTCATAAGCCAACAGACAGAATAATAACATTAAGAAGAACTCGTGCCAGTATTAGATGACTCTTACCGAGCAAATATCTTCGTCCCCCCCCTCCGATGTCTGTGACGAGCGTTCCTACTCTCAGCCATAGATTTAGCATGTGGGAGTATTAAAATGAAGGCACGGCCAGAGTAGAGAGGACACTCCTTTGTGGGTTGCTGACCGCTTCAAGTATCTCGAGCAAATCTTACCAATTTTGTTCGTCGGTGGATTAAATAATATCGGGTGTGCTTAGTTGAGGTGTGACCACGGCAGCGGAATTCAGGCCGGCTTATCCCTTCGATGATAAACCCTTTAGATTAGTTCCCTCTCTCTCTCTCTCTCTCTCTCTCTCTCTCTCTCTCTCTCTCTCTCCCTCGCTCGCTGAAGAGCCATAGGGTTATGAACACTGCATCCTGGACCGACTTAGCTCGACAAATGATCCCCGGTTTTCCATTCGTATGACGTATGGAAGTCCCTAGCTCCTTGACAGGGACTCCCTCATGAAAATGTCCACACAGATCACTGCAAACTTCAATCCTTTGAAGAAAAGGCATATTTTTTTTTTATAAAGTTTCCCCACCAAAACCTCAAGATGCAGCACCCGCCTGATGTGATTGATCAAGAACTACGGGTTGTATGAAATGACGTCTCCTAACGTATCAACCTTAATATTAGCATTTTAATTGGGATCATATTCCCTTCCCGCGGGATTTGACCATCCTTTGGTCTCATTGCTGGTGGGAATTGTATTAAGAAATCTGGTCACATCTCAGCTTACATATCTCCACTCTAAATAACTTAATCAAAAATAACCAGAACCCCACTAGGGATCCTAACAGGCCGAGTAAGTCTAAGTCCTTGCCAACCCTAGGCTGGGTCCAATGAAAAGGCTAGAAAACTTCCTTCATACCGAACCCAGATAGCGCTCGAGTCCCCTCTGAATGGCCAAATCTTGACCATTCGCATTCATTCGCATAAAAAGATGAAAGAAATGAACCCGCTATCATATGGTAAGGACAGTAGCTCCATATTTCCCGGCCAGAGTTCATTGAAGCAATTAGAGGGGATATGGGTAGGCTAGAAGAGCTGAATGAAAAGCTTGTGAGCTTATCTTGTAAGGTGACGCTCGCTCCTTGGGCCCTCACTCATTAATACAAAAGGAAACATGTCCTCTGACACGGTACCCATGAATCATGGTTTCATGCTGATTAATTTATTGATCATTGGTGAAGTGGATCATGCATCTAGGAAAGCCAAGATCTAATGTGGCCCCCTCTACCAAATAATTAGCCTGGTGGGTAGCGAAGATCCATTGAACTCTTTGATGATCTGCATGGATCATCCATCCACGTCATGTTTGGATGGAGATTCTTGTCCAAGTATTTTGTTAATGAATCAAGAGGAATAATTGTGATTTTTAAGAAGTGGTCAGGTCTGAAGAATACACATAAGTAGGATTTTGGTGGAGATTCAATTCGATGTGATGGTGGAGACGGCGACTGAAGAAGAACTAAGGATTTATAGATGGGTACTTGTTCTCTTGGATCTATTAATTACATATTTAATACGTTGCATGGATTGGGAAGGAAAATAGTCAAAAATGGAATATCTTAGACACCATCTACGAATTATTCTGAAAATGGAAGATTCAAAAACATATATGCGCGAGAAAAATAATAAGATCGTTATTCCGTGTGGTTCAACTGAATTGCAATCCATTTTTTATTTTGCCATATGTATATATGTCTATATATATATTATGGTTTAAAAGCAATAGATTAGAGAAAAATGATTATTTAAGTACACACGTTAGAAAATATCTGAAATTTAAAACAAAAAAAAAATTACTTCTATAAAATATAGAGTTTAATCTATCTCAATCACGGATAAAGAAATAGCAGAACGAGAAAGGATTTTCAATATACCCATTATATTATGATTTAGTTTTGATAAAAACAAAAAAACAAGGAATCCACGGATGAAAACGACGATAACATTTATTTGGACTGGCATTCCCTCTATTTTCTCTCACTTTGATGCCAAGAAAATAAAGAACCGTAAGTCTTCGAGTATACTATAACCCCAGAAAAAAAGGTTGCGATCTTGGAGACGAGCCCTGCTTAATCCCATTGTTTTCCTAGCTCAAGCGTCACGATCAAAGTCCACAATGAATGTAAGAATCGACTCAGCCATACTTGGTCAGTTTTCTGGTGGGTCTACCCCTCCCAGGTCATCAAGTTTCTTTATTCAACGATATGACTGTGTCTTGATCACTCACCGGTTTATATACGAATATGCCGAAGCCTGGATTGGGGTCTAGCTTCGAAGGGGTAAAATCTCAAGCTTATTTTCTAGGCTTTTTATTCAAGTCCTGGGTTTTATAAGGGACTCGAGATCAAGTAATGAAGGTTGTGATTTCCCCCAGGCATAACCTTTCCGGAGTCAGAATTTGCCCATTCCAAGGGTCCAAGCCGAAGCCCAGATTGTGTTGGGGTCAAGCTTCGAAAAGGTCTAATCTCAAGGTCTCTCTCTCTCTCTCTCTCTCTCTCTCTCTCTATCCCTCCCTGTATATACAGATATAGAAGTATCCTTTACAGCCAGATGCACTGTGCACGGATGGGGGCAGCGTTCAGATTTAAGGCCGTGGGCTCCACCGTGACTCTCAAACGAATTCGGAAAGACGGTGGATGAACGTTGTAGGGACTGTCTTGGCTAGAAGAAGCTCAGGAAGGATGGCCTGGAGTTGCCGAGCTTCTCTTTCTTGGCTTTTAGGCTCTGGAAAAGACGCCAAATTGCCCCCCTACTTGGACAACTATGAACTAGCGCGAGACAGAGAGAGAGAGAGAGAGGAGGGAGGAGCTTCTATATGGCTGAGCTCAACCCCAACCGTGAGTTTTTCGCCATTAAAAACTCTCATTCGCCTTCATCCTTCTGCTTCCTGACAAGCCCTAGCCCGCCATGCAAGAAGAAGATTCCAGGAGAAGCAGGCCCACTTGAAACGGAGAGATGAAGTGGAAAGCTTTCCATCTCATTTTTCATCTCTCCGTCTTTACTGGGGTATCACCCGTAGCGTCACCGTGAACTCCTCCCCCCAACTTGCTAAACGGTATCTCTCTCTCTCTCTCTCTCTCTCTCTCTCTCTCTCTCTCTCTCTCTCTCTCTCTCTCTCTCTCTCTCTCTCTCTCTCTCTCTCCCTCTCTCTCCCCCCTCTCTCTCTCCCCCCTCTCTCCCTCTCTCTCCCTCTCTCTCTCTCTCTCTCCTCTCTCTCTTCTCCCTCTCTCTCTCTCTCTCTCTCTCTTTCTCCCTCTCTTTCTCCCTCTCTCTCCTCCTCTCTCCCTCTCTCTCTCTCTCCCTCATTCTCTCTCCCCACTCTCTCTCTCCTTTCTCACTCTCTCTCTCCTCTCTCTCTCCCCCCTCTCTCTCTCTCTTTCTCCTCTCTCTTTCTCTCTCTCTCTCTCTCTCTCTCTCTCTCTCTCTCTCTCTCTCTCTCTCTCTCTCTCTCTCTCTCTCTCTCTCTCTCTCTCTCCCTCTCCCTCTCCCTCTCCCTCTCTCTCTCCTCCCCTCTCTCTCTCTCTCTCTCTCTCCCTCTCTCTCTCTCGCTTTCTCCCACTCTCTCTCTCTCCTCTCTCCCCTCTCTCTCTCTCTTTCTCCCTCTCTCTCTCTCTCTTTCTCTCTCTTTCTCTCTCTTTCTCTCTCTCTCTCTCTCTCTCTCTCTCTCTCTCTCTCTTTCCCTCTCCCTCTCCCTCTCCCTCTCTCTCTCCCCCTCTCTCTCTCTCTCTCTCTCCTCTCTCTCTCCTTTCCTCATCTCTCCCTCCTCTCTCTCCCTCTCTCGTCTCCTCATCTCTCTCTCTCTCTCTCTCTCTCTCTCTCTCTCTCTCTCTCTCTCTCTCTCTCTCTCTCTCTCTCTCTTCCTCTCCCTCTCCCCTCTCCCTCTCCCTCTCCCTCTCCCTCTCTCTCTCCCCCTCTCTCTCTCTCTCTCTCCCCCTCTCTCTCTCGCTTTTTTCTCCCCCCCTCTCTCTCCCTCTCTCTCTCTCCCTCTGTCTCTCTCCCTCTCCCTCTCTCTCCCTCTCGCTCTCTCCCTCCCTCTCTCTCCCTCTCGCTCTCTCCCTCCCTCTCTCTCCCTCTCGCTCTCTCCCTCCCTCTCTCTCTCCCTCTCTCTCTCTCTCTTTCTCTCTCTCTCTCTCTCTCTCCCCCCTCTCTCTCTATTTCTCTCTCTCTCCCTCTATCTCTCTCTCTCTCTCTCTCTCTCTCCTCCCCCTCTCTCTCTATCTCTCTCTCTCCCCTCTCTGGTCTCTTCTTTCCAACCTATTTATAAGCTGACATCCTCAAGCGCTCTGTTTTTCTTCTCTCCATAGGGAAAAATTATACCCCTCCCTCTTCGCATTTTTCTCTCTAACCCGCATGCTTGGGTGTCGAATTCTCCGCCGCTAGCGCGGCGACTGACTCAGCGCCTCCCCTCCCGGCTCAATCATGCCGTTTAGCTCGTTCTCGACGAAGCAACGCGGCCCTCCTCCACCGGAGACGAGTGCGAGCCAGCCGATCCCGCCGGAGAGCCTCCGGAAGGTCCACCGCGAATACAAGTGAGAGCGAAGCCTGAAACATGTCCGAAGAGTCCCTCTCCTTTCCTCGCTTCTCTCTCTTAATCTGTGTTTTTCTTCCATGAAAGGGTCTTCGTGAGCACCTGGAACGTCGGCGGCGTCCTCCCTGACGGCGATCTCCGGCTCGACGACTGGTTGGACGCCGGAAACACCTACGACGTCTACGTTCTCGGGTACTTCTCCGGCCCCTTTACGACCGCCCTGTTCGCTCCCAAATTCCAGGAGGTTTCTCCGTTAACAGTTTCTTCCCTGCAGATTCCAGGAGGCGGTGCCGTTGACTCCTAAGAACGTGATCTCCCCAGAGAGGAGGCCGTTGTCTAGGTGGAACTCCCTGATCAAGGCGGCATTGAACCGATCATCATCATCTTCTTCTTATTTTTCGTCGTCATCGTCTTCCTTACCTCCAACGGGGGAGAGGCAGAAGATCCACCCCGTGAAGGATGGCCCCACCCCATCGAGGAGCTCCTCCCATGCCTCGCCGGAGTTCCTCTGCGTGGCCAGCAAGCAGATGGTAGGGATCCTGGTCTCCGTGTGGGTGAGATCAACCCTCCGGCGGCGCCTCCACCACCTCAGCGTCTCCTCCGTCGGCTGCGGCGTCATGGGTTTCATGGGCAACAAGGTCAGCGCCGCCCCCCGGCCATAGATTCCCTAGCCATCTGAAATGAGGTTGACGTCTGAGCTCCATCGCAGGGCTCGGTCTCCGTGAGCTTCCTCCTCCACAACACGAGCTTCTGCTTCGTCTGCTGCCACCTGGCCTCCGGGGGAAAGGAAGGCGACGAGCGCCGTCGCAACTGCGACGCCGGAAAGATCCTCTCCTGGACCACCTTCCGCCGCCGCTGCCGCCCGCGGAGAATCCTAGACCACGAGTGAGTACCCAAAGATCAATGCCCCGTCCATTGTATCAAGACCAATTCCGATCGAACAGTATATTATTCGGATGATCTACTAGAGTTATTTTCCAACGTGGGATTATTCTGACAGCCAGATTATACTCCTGGGAGACCTGAACTATAGAGTCTCCCTCCCGGAAGCCGCCGCAAGGAACCTGGCGAGGAAGAAGGAATGGGGAGAGTTGCTGCAGAGGGACCAGGTGAGCCCTCGAAAGAGGTTCTGAGAGGCCGGTCCTCGTCATGGCCTTCCGAGTTCTGAGTTCATTGGACTTGCAGCTGGCGGCGGAGGTCTCCGACGGCGGCGTCTTCGAAGGCTGGAGCGAAGGAGACGTCAGCTTCCTGCCCACGTACAAGTACTATCGTAACTCCGACGATTACTACGGCTGCGTCCAAGGAAGGAAGGGCGAGAACAAGCGAGCTCCCGCATGGTGAACTCTCTCTCTCTCTCTCTCTCTCTCTCTCTCTCTCTCTCTCTCTCTCTCTCTCTCTCTCTCTTCTCTCTCTCTCTCTCTCTCTCTCTCTCTCTCTCTCTCTCTCTCCCTCTCTCTCTCTCTCTCTCTCTCTCTCTCCCTCTCTCTCTCTCTCCATATATATATGTGCATAGAGTAGAGAACAGGAGAGGAGAGCATTGTCGGGTTTGACTCGTGGATATTTCAAATTAGCCCCTTTAGATTAAGGTATATAGACAGTTATTACTTATATTTGGGTAGAGTAAAATTTTTTGACTCAACGGTGTGGATCGTCGGCGCAGGTGCGATCGGATCCTTTGGCGGGGGATGGGCCTGAGGCAGATCCGATATGATCGATTCGAGTCCAGATTATCGGATCACAGACCCGTTAGGGCGGTGTTCGTCGCCGAGGTGAGAGAAGACCCGATAAGGGAATTACCGGGTCGGATCCCTAAAGCGCGAGGGCAACCCCTCCTTTCCCTGATCTCCTCTCCGCCGTCCGATCTACTCGCCCCATCGATCCACAAGTGCCCTTGATGTGTATCATCTGCTGTATATTTTCCTACGTGGAATAAGATTCTTCACTGCAATGCACGTGAAATCATTGACCTCTGACACATCTTGTCCTATCGGTTTCGGGCCCACAGTTTTTGGCTTTATCTGTTTCGACGTGGCCAACGGGTCCTGTACCAAGTTGGGGCTGACCCGTACCGATTAGGCCCTCATAGGGCGACTAGGTGATGGACCACCACAGTTTTTTTCTTGATACGTCCCTATTTGAAAGCATAATTTACAATTTTTTACCCTATAAATTATTTCTGAGGACATACCCCTGAGGGGACTTGCCGACAAAGTCCAAGTCAGATTATGGGGTATTTGTGAAAATTAATCTCCGAAGCCTATTTAAAGGAAAGTATTTGTTGTGGTGGTCCTGCGTCACAACCTACACGAACCGTTCTCCTTTGGATTGGCCGCACGCACAAGGACGCGTGGCCTTGGTCTCACGCGCTGCAGAGTATTTCAATTCTGCCCTCCAGTTCAGCAAACACCCTCCTCCCTCCCTCCTCCCCCTTTGAGAACGATTCCCTAGGAATCGCGGTTGAAGCGCAGGCCCGCCTCTGGAGATGGCTACGAAAAATCTGCCCCGCTGGTCGCAATTCGGCCACAGAAAGGCTGAATGTGGGCCCCTTGCGGGTCCCACATAATTACATTGACAGGTGGCAATTGGTGGGCACCAGTTCTTCTGGAGAGACGATAATCCACGCATTTTTAGGCATAAATCGAATCATGTGGGCTAGAGATTTTATTTATTTATTTATTTATTTAAAGGTCTAATTATCTAAGTGGGGTCCGGGGTCCACGTTTTACCAAGATATCTCCGTATTTGGCGGGGGAGATGCATGGATCTAACGAGGAAGATGGTGGGACCACCTTGTCGGCTCAAATCTCGAGGATAACATGTATTGACTAGTCAAATCCAGACACACAGAATTTGTGCGACCCAAGGCGGGTCCCATTCTATCAAGGGCGACCCTCAGACATGAACGGCGTCGAGGCCCAAGGTGAGGATGGGTCCTACTAAAACCCGGGCCCCATCCCTTCCAAACATGCTAAATAATCCTACAACCGAGTGGCTCTCTAAACTGTACTCCGTTCCTGCGGCTACAATCCCAGAGATTAAGAGAGAGAGAGAGAGAGAGAGAGAGAGAGAGAGAGAGAGAGAGAGACCCATTTGTCTCTCATCGACCAGACATTTGCCCATAATCTATGGCGAGAGGTGAGAGAAAGCTGCTCGTTGCCGGAAGCCGCCGGTCAACGGGGGGGGGGGACCACCCCCGTCCCTCCGGTGCAATTGTGGCCTCAAACAAGATGTCGCTGGAGGGGGAGGGGAGGTCCCCCATATCGAGTGATGGCGAGTCGGAGCTCTTCTTCTATATCTCCTGGGCCTTGAGAGAGGGAGAGAGAGAGAGAGAGAGATGGTGGGTAGCTGGCCACCGCTGTGGCGGAGATGAAGCTTCCAAACGAGGCTGCGGCGTTGAAGCTACTCGTCTGAGAGCGACCCCGGTGGTCCACATCCATGTGCCAGGAATCCTCTTCTCTCTCTCTCTCTCTCTCTCTCTCTCTCTCTCTCTCTCTCTCTCTCTCTCTCTCTCTCTCTCTCTAGTTGTGTGGAGGGTGTGGCTGAGAAGGGTTGACTCGGAGGAGAGGAGGGGAGGAGGGGAGGAGAGGGGAAATGTCCGACCCAGAGCTTCAGGGAGTCGGGAGCAGAGGGTGGCTGAGGGGTAGCCGGCGAGCAGCACATCCGACGATCCAAATTGGGCCGGAGCTATTGTAATCTTGGTCCGCATTAAAACACGGCCCAATATCTGTTTCCTAGAAGCTCAACTCCTCCTCACCATGTGTGACTGTTTAAAGATAGTGCGACGGTACAACATCAAACCTAGCAAGATATTTAAATTATATATATATATATATATCAAGAGAGAGAAAGGAGATATCAATTCTATGGGTAATGGGCCAAAGATTTTAGGTCACTTCACAAAAGAGGACCCATTATATGTCCCAAATATTTATTATGGGTCCATAAATAAACTCAGCCCATAATTCCTAACCTGGCCTTAGATTTGAATACCTCAAAAAATAAAAAATTGATGATTACTCACAAGTGGTCATGTCTCTCTGACCCAATTTCTTATCTCACACATGGCTGATCCTCCCTAATGATAAGGGCACAAAACTAATCATGTTATTTTATTTTTATAATTCTTCTATTTAAATATGTGGAGAAATTTATATTTTATGGTTAAATGTGATCTCTGATTATCTAGAAATACATTTTTATGATAATTGCTCACAATGTTTCCTAAATATTCCACACTTGGAAATCACTTACTAGAAAGGTACATGAAGAAAAGCATAGATAAAGAGAAAGAATTTAAAGAGAGAGAGAGAGAGAGAGAGAGAGAGAGACTATTTTGTTGAGTAAAAGCATAGATAAAGAGAGGGAATAAAGAGGGAGATGGACTAATATGGGTGAATGAACAAACATGGACTAATAATGATAATTTAGAGAGAGAAGAAGACAATTAAGGTGAACACCGACATAGATAAACATGGCATATTTATAGAGAGAGGGAAGGAGAAGAGGTTCTCAATTATTACAATCATAAATAAAGGGAGCCATTTAGAGAGGAAAACAACCAATGTGAAAACTATAACAATTATAATATTTATGAATTTAGGTAGAGAAATAGTTAGGAAGTAATCACAATCATTGAGAAACAGAATAAGTTACTAACAAGATTTGGCTATAAATATTATTTTTTTATCGAGGAAGAATAAGAAAAAAACCAGCCTTTGGTTGTATTAGATTCCCTATATAATGAAACCCAATAAGAAAGTTTAGAAAGCCTTATCACATATCAATAGTGGAGCTCTCAAATTATTTGAGGCACATAATGAGATAAATTAAAATTTTATGTTAGTGATAATGAAGCTAACTGGTGCATAATGAGTGATTGATTAGGTGAATCTAAAAAAAATGATAAAAGTAACTCTCACAATAGGTTTATGATTCTTAATTAAATAAATCAAGACATATGTAGGTGATCTTAAATATTAGAACACTCCATTTACAATATGGATTTAGAACACAATACATTGGAACAAAATAGATCAACATAGTTAAATAACAACTTAAGATTAGAACACTCTACTTACAATATATCCACTAGCTAAAATCAATAAGATCTCACTTTACTTTCCACTAGCAATCGAAGTCAACAGCTTAGATTATATTAAATAAAAGATAATCAATTTAGAAAGAAAGAAGTTAAAAATATATCTCTACACTAGAGTGAATGTCTCAAAGAAAAATACACATCAAAGTTGGACTCTTATTAATTGTCCATCGTAGTTGATATAAGTGAAGTTGACCATTGACCAATGGATGTCAGAAATCAATCATTGATTCATACTTAGTGGCTCAATGGGAAGCTAGTGGTTGGTGATTCACTAGCATATTAATGCTTAACAGCTCATTAGATCACAAACTGATAAAAGTGTGGCCTTAATCTAGTGGGACAACAAAACAAGTGGTTCAATGAACCAACCAAATTGATATAGTGGTGAAAGGACATAAAGTGATTTCAATAATAATATGTCATCTGTCAAGACAGCCAATAATGGCCAATAGTAGTAGATGGTGGTCGATAGTGGCCAAAAATGGCAAATAGAGGATAGTGAATGGTAGATGATAGATAGTGGACATTGAATACAAAAGACAACGATGAATGGTGGGCTGTAGATGACAAATGTAAAATGGTGAACAATGCACAAAGTATGGTGGAGAACATGTGGTAGTTGGCAATAATAAATAATATATAGTGAAAACAGGATAATGGACAACGAACCATGATAGTTAGTGTACAGTAGATGTCAAACATTAACTTCCTTACTCCCTCCCTCACAAAGTAATGATGGACTACGACAATAAATGACAGCCCTAGAAAAATGGTGGCTCTAACAATATCTCTCATGAAACAAACTAAAGGATTAAAAATTCAAATCAAATGACATCTTCATTGCCTAATCTTGAGGTAATAAATGTTATTTATAGCCTCACTCATGTTCAAGATAAGAACAATCAACACATACTTATTCAAAATAAAAAATTATAATAAATAAGTTCATCTCATAATCAACCTAAGATACAATAATGGCAACATGGATAGTGATCCTCTCTACTTTGGTCTTCATCAACTCTCAATTGGTGAAAATAACTCAATTGTGTTTGTAGTGTTAGTCATCTCTAATAATATTATGAGAAGTCTATATTTAAATATTGTAATTCCTCTTTTTAAATTCATAAATCATATGACGGTGGGCATCCCTTCTAATGTAGGAAGAGTGATTAAAAATTTAATAAATACAATTTATACATCCAAATTTTATCATCTATTTGCACATGTTGTGTACGAAATATGACTATTGAACATTTACATTCTTATTCACCTAAAAGTGGTAGAAAAATATTAATGGATCACTAAGAATAATTTATCATTATTGACATTTAATCAAATTGAAATATTAAAAGTGGAGTTAATTTCTTAATAAAATGAAAAATTAATAACATATACATTTGTTTTATGATTTATTTCTAAATCTTAAAAGTTTATACATTATATACTCATAACTTTATAGAAGCATTTGACAAAAACCTCTTAGGTCCATTGCAAATCTTGACAAATTATCTCTAATTAAACTCTTTGGTCCATTTGTAAAAATTTAATAGATGATTGTTTGACTTATTATCAATAATAATTTATTTATGAATGTCATCATGAAAACTCAATGTGTTAATCAAAAGACCTAATTTATTTTGAAACTCTAACATATATCAACATGAAATTAATTAATCTTGTTAAGCTTGTAATGATTACAACCTCAATTGTGCTAAAACTATGGGGTTAAACAAAACACAAGGAAAAGGGTGAATTAGGGTTTCTAATTTTTTATTTAAGTTTGACCTATTTATATGTGTTAATTGATATATCAACACATGTATAAAGTGATAAGACTTCAAAACTCTTTCACCAAGAATACCAAGCTTTTTATATTAATTCATGCTTTTTATATTAATTCATCCATCTACTTTCAATTTCAACATAAATTTTCTTCTAGTATTTACTTATTCCCCCCATAAATATACATTGATAGTCATGGGATTAATATCTCAAACAACTCAATTCGTCTCCTCAAAAACCCAACCCCTTTCATACCAAATGTGGCTACCAATATCTCATATCTTTACTCAAAGCACTTGTCTCATCACCTAATTACCTTAGATCAAATGGAGAGAAACGTTTTTGATAGTTGAGTTACATGTTTGTCAAAATCAGTTGATGAAGAGTATGTAGTGTTCTTGTGTGTCGTTGATGTGTGTAGTTGAAAGAACTTAATTGTGAACATTGAATCTTACTATGTTCAAATAATTTTTGTTCCATAACTTTCTATCATAAATAAGACTTCATCATTTATTTCATGTTTTATTTGATCTCTAACATTCAAAATCTTCATTCAAAAACTTGTTATTTTTCTTATCCTCACAATTAATTTTGTTTAAATTTGAAGTAAAATTTTCTAACTTAATATAAAATAATTGAATGTACACTGCATATCTAAATCATTAAGTTTACCCTCACACTTTTTTCACATTAGTAGTTAATATGTCACTATCAAAATATTTTGAAATTTTAATATCTCATTCTTTTTATCATTTTCCTGATGACTTAATATACATAATATGGTTATATAAATATATAATCAAAAATAAGATATTTTGCCTGATTTTCTTTGACTTACACCCATGTAATCATATATTAATTATTTCATTGGAAGATAATTTTTCAATTGATACTCTTTTATGCTCGAGTACTCATAAGGTAATAATCACTTTATCTCAACTATTAATATCTTAGATTTGATTTTTAATTATATAAAATTATTTAATAAAAATAATTCATGTAATAACTATGTTGAATGTGTTAAATATTTGAAACATATGCTTGTCATACATAAAAAAACTATAAATATTAAATAATCTATTATTAGTGAAATTTCACATATAATTATCAAAACTATATCTCTATCATATGATTCAATTAACATAATTAGTATACATAAACTCAAGTCAAGAGATAATTAAATCAAAAGTCCCTAAATATTCACCAACTAAACATCTCAAAAGATTTCTTAAAATCTTATTCATCACTTACAATTTATCATGAATTAGAGGGTAAAAGGCTATGAAAAATTACAACTCAGTTCTTATAATATATAGCACACGAAGATGATACCTTCAAAATAAATACTTACTATGAAGTATATAATCACTGAACTTTTCTGATTGACCTTCTCTAACTATTGTAGTTACCTTACTAAAGTCTCAACAACCTTCACTAGTCAATTTCATACTCTCACAATTAATTACTGCAACACTTAGTATAAATAATAGATTAATTCAAAATAACTAAATATATGTAATTAAATTATGAACCCTTAAATTATGCTTAAGAATTAAGGAGCCTATTTTGAGAATTTCGATTCAATGACAATGTTAGAGTTTTAATTTCTTTTAAGAGTTAAGGTAGCATAAGGCCTCATAATTAGAGTAAGCATATTTTTTTAGGCAATAATTAATGACTCTAATAATACAAAGTCTAAACAATGCTACAGAATTTTTACTTATATATATAATTGTTTAATTTGACATATGAAGTTTTCTTACTAAAGAAGATTATAAGGTGATCCTTTTGAAAAAACATTCCTTCAATAAATATTCTTCAAACATTACAAACTACTTTCAACACCCCAAAAAAAATAGAAAGTATGAGTACATGTGTACAAGTCATTCTCTATTTCATCTCATAAACTACATTAATAGTAATCTTGGTCCACTTGATTGCTCACTTCATAAATCAATGGTAAAAGTTATAATGGTGATAAAATTTCAAATGAAATAATAGTACAATGTCTCTAACTTATGAAAGCCTCGAACATCATGGAGGCTATTTGATTAAGGCCATTTTGTGGTGACCTTGACTTTCTAAGAGTCAACAAAAACACCCTCTAAAGAAATCACAAAAACTTAGAATGACATGATTAATTATAAAAACACACTTTCTAGGGTTAGTATATAAACTCACATTCCTAACTATCTCACACATCCTATGTAAAGCACTAAGTATCTTCCATAATTTGACTATAAATAAGAATGTTACCAAAATATATAATAATAAATATGCTAATAAATAGTCTTATTACTTGAGTTATTAATTTCATAAGGGTACTCAAGGTATTGATTAATTGAAATTACATAATCAATCACTCATATAAGTCTTCTTTGATCTCAAAAAATATTTTTCACTTATTTTCATATTTTATATAGATTTCATGATAATAAATATTAAGGTTAATTTTAGAAAAGTGGATGTCCATTGTCACCATGTCTAGCATATCATCTAAGCATAAAATGAAAAAGTGGTATTCAATTGTGATCTTGTTGATTGTTCAACTATTCGCACACATCTTCTAAGATCCATCTTTCTTTGGTGTGAATAGTGTATATATGGCACAAAGACTAATTAAACCCTTCTTTAAAATCTTCATAATTTATCTCTTTAATTCCTTATACTTAGTAGAACTAAAAGTCTTGAATGAGACAAGTTGAGCAAGGTATATTTCGAGTCTAAGTTAATCACAACTAGTCTTAAGGGTAATTGGTTTAGAAAGTTTTAAAATTGGACATCTTGAAACTCGCTATGAAGAATAGATACTTTTGCAGGTATTTCTAGTTTTTAAGATCATTGACAATTACTCTTATCAAAACAATGTACAATAATACTTCATATTTATTTATTTTTTGAAATCTATTTTTATTAATCGAGTACAAACCCTTGGTAGGAGATGGTTTATCACAATTAGATAGATGGGGTTGATGAGAATCTTAAGTGAATTGTTTACAATTGCACACAAAGGAACACACATGTTAGACTCTCTATTTTGTGTCACATATCAATCTATAGTCATGATGTTCCTAATATAATACTTTCTATTTCTATTGATAGAACATCACACAAAACTTAATCATCACATGAGTTAATCTTAAGGGACACAAGACATTTTTTATGGATAAGAATAGAGGATGAGTTTACTCAACACACCTTGTATGGGTTATGATAGTTAAGTGGTGCTAGTAAGAATTACTTGAAATAACCCCAGGTATCCATTGTGATTTTATCACTTTTTTCCTCAATCTTAGCAAATGTGTGAAAAATATAATTTTTCTTCCTTATGTTGTATTATAATATATCTCATAGCTTTCAAGCTTACCTCATCTAGTTGATCACCCATATAGTTTAGTGAAATATCTTTTCTTATAATGTAACCCACAAAACCTCTGATAAACTCAAATTTAGGTTTTTATAGTCGTTGTTATGCTTTGAGTTTATACAAAATATTTATATTTATTTTTTTCTCGACTGATTTATTCTCTTATTGGAATAGGCCAAGTAGGGGGTCGATCCTCAAGGAAATGGGATTTATATTTCTAATATGGTCTAAGCTAGAGATATTGGTAAGGGATTAGAGAAATAAGATGGAGAGGAGAGAGTAATGGAAGAACGAGAATCTTGATTTTCGTGATTGTGAGTTATTCCAAGAAAATCAAGATTCTGATTTTAAAACTTAGAGATATTTTAGATGCTTATACTTAGGGCTTAGGGGAATGATTTGAAAGAGGAGAAGATGATGAAAGATAAGAGGTTCAAGGAGATCTTGATCTTCCTGCAAAAATAAAGATATATACGATCTCAAGAGGAAAGGACAGACTAGGGTTTGATTTTCTGAGGAATGGGAAAGAAGATAGGAAGAACCAATCTTATTGGATACCATAAGATAAAACTATGAATTTCATGATCTGAAGTGCATACCTTGGGTCTGTATATTTTGCCCAGACTAGGCGGTTTCTCCAGCAAAAACACACTTGAAAGATGAAGAACAAACTTCACAATAATTCACCTCCATTCAAATTTATCAATCTGGATCTTAGGAAAGCTTTTTCCTACGGCCAGCCTCTGTTAGGGCAATCTTTAACATAATGTCAAAAGAAAAGAAAAAGAGGTTTTATACACATGGATGCATTTCTCAAAAGAACCCTCTCCCTTTTCCTATTATCTTCGCATGCCTTTTCTCCTTCCTTCCTTTTCTTGGGTGCCCATTAGATCTCAAATTTATGGCTCATCTTAGAGAGTGAGGTTGAGGAGATATTGGGTTGGAATAGGTTGTGCTCCCCTCTCTTCCTTCAAGCCTTTCTTGACCCAAAGCACTTTGCATGATCTCTAAGGAGATATTTTAGTTGGCATCCTTCAGACAAGAAGTTTTTTTTTTTTTTAATGTACTGCTCTAGAGGGTTGTGTTGATGAATCGAAGTGAGCTTTTCGTTGCCTTTTTTTCCCATGTAAATCTTTCTTTTGGATCCACAGATTTAAAATATTTTTGAATACCTGATTTCTAAGGGAAAAATTCCTGATTTTCCCTTTTCTAGATCTAAAAAAAATTCTCACATAAAAATACGTATGCACATAATTCAATCAAAATCTTACCCAATTAAATACACCCTACCCATAAACTGTTTTGAAACGCAATTTAAATACATCCACAGAAATTTTAGTTGGCACCCTACGCCATTTGTCCTTTATTTTTCTTCACATCTGACTCATCTCTACTTCCATCTGCCTGCACTCATTTCGTTCCTCATCATCAGCGCCGTCCCTTCTTGGTATTGGTAGCCGGTCATGGTGTCATCAACATCAATGGTGACTTTGCGGATTCATAGACTCTGAAAAAATGCACAATGTATATTTGGAAATGATACAGAGATATGAGCCCATGAGATCCATCTGATGGAGATCTGACCGGGCTCATGCCACTGGCCTGCATTGACCTCTCTCTCTAAGAAATGTCTGCATAAATTTTCTGTTAGTTCAATCTGTCAAGGGTCCATTCGACACCAACTGAAGTTCCACTTAACTTCAACATCCTATCCTATGTGTTTTTTAAATCTTATATTGTATGATATTTCCTTGATTTTATTATATTTATTCGACTGAGACGATCCCTTTTTTTTGTTCTGAACTAATCCAGGTGGTTTCCAAAACATCAATTGAGACAGATGTCCCGGTGACTCTGAACTATGGGAGTTTGACCAACGACTTTTTTCTTCTCGATTACGGATTTGTGATCTCCTCAAACCCGCACGACCATGTGGAATTGAAATATGATGGAGTTCTTCTGGATGCTGCTGCTATCGCTGCAGGAGTACCTTCTCCGAGCTTCTCATCCCCGACCGAATGGCAGAGAGAGATTCTATCCCAGCTCAATTTACATGGAGATGGAGCTTTTCTCAAGGTCGCCTTCTCCACTTCACCAACACCTGTGCATGCTTTCATCCCATGCCAAGAATCTCCCCTACTTCCATCCTGGGAAATTCAGGCATATGAGCATTTCTGTTTCTGTCCATTTGAAAACCGGATCCTGTCACAGCTGCCCAGCGTCTCCTTAAAGATGTTACGACCGTTGACTTCTGCCCTTTTGGTACAGGTCAACTTGGGAGGTGAGGAAAAAGTCGACGGGCGTCTGCTGGCCGCCTTCAGGGCTGTCCTCTCAGACGACCGAGAAGCAGCTCAAAAGTCTGATCTAAGCACCTTGATGTCACTGTCAGCTGAGGCTCCCCTGGGAGCCTCAGCTGAGGGTAAGGCCCTCCGTACACTCATTGCCCTCTGCGTCATCTCTCTGCAGCACTTCCCCACCAAGATCATGGAGGATGAATCCATTCTGAAAGGCGATATATCGGAGTCAACGAGATTAGCAGTGGAGTTTAGACTGCAGAAGAAATTAATGATTGTGGATTTAATGCGAGAGCTGACTAGAAGAGTCAAGGTGCTGCCAAAAGAAGCTTTCCTCAATCGGTAAGCTGGTCCACGAAAAAAACGTTGACTTTGATGGTTCCCACTAGTCTAACACCGAAAGAAGGCACGGATTTAATGCCCATCTGCTTAACTTGGTCTGAATATTATTATTTCCGATTATAATCCTATGTTAAAGTCTAAGATTAGAGGGCATTGATTGAATCATGTGATTAGATTCATGGGTTTAAAGTCAATCAGAGCTTCAAAGAAAAGTCGTCTGTTATCTTTTTATCCTGGAGCTTTTCTTTTTTTTTTTTGCTATTTTTAATTCCGGCATTTGTGCACAAGCTAAATCAAAGTCAACGACAATGGGTGGAATTAATTGTCCGATTTTTTAATCCTATCAATGTTGTATAATTATTGTTGAGGTCCTGTTAAAAAGTCAACCGCCGGTGGCATGCAACCTCGGTGGATCCAATTTGCCTGGTTTTCTTTGGAAAATCTTGGTATTTTCGATTTTCTCAAAATATATTTTTTTTCTTCGCCGAATTTTCAGGTATTCGTTTAATTTCTAAATTTGCCGGCCCCATATTGCAGGAAAAATGCTGGAATCACAGCACTATGACATGTCTGCATCATACACTGAAATTGTGTATTCTCTCTCTCTCTCTCTCTCTCTCTCTCTCTCTCTCTCTCTCTCTCTCTCTCTCTCTCTCTCTCTCTCTCTCTCTCTCTCTCTCTCTCTTCCTCTTTCTTTCTCTGTCTAGCATGATCCTTAAAGCCAAATCGAAATATATGTGAACAAGTAGATAAAATTAGGTGTAGGAGATAGATAGATAGATAGAGAGAGAGAGAGAAAGAGAGAGAGAGAGAGAGAGAGAGAGCTCTGGCCAGTGGTGTAATCATGGGAGATGGAGGTAGCAAGAAAGGATATGACTCTATGCTTTCTAGGTTCTCATGCTACCTACATTCTGCGCCACATCTCTCTCTCTCTCTCTCTAGAACTCTCATACGTGAATAGTTAGCATAACTCTCTGCACCCTGCGAAAAAGGCTATTTTTCAAACTGCGGAGGAAGCCATAACATAAAAGAAGCCATTCCTCATACTGCGGAGCAACTGAGGTAGGAGAATCTAGCAGGACTACTTCGACCGAGTTCCCCGCTCCTCCATGGGCGCGGAGGAAGCCTCTGAAACCCGACGGCGAAACCCCACCGGAGAACCGGCGGTGCCGCCGGCCCCCCATGAGGAAGGCCGAGGGGCGGCGACCTCTCGTCGAACCCTACGAGCTCCTCCTCCACGCTCTCAACCGGGCCGCTGCATCGTCTTCCTCCTCCCTCCTCCGGCGAACCCACGCCCTAATTCACACCACCGGCCTCTGGAGGAAGCCCGTCCTCTCCTGCAAGCTCATCTCCTCCTACGGACGCCTCCTGAATCTCCGCCATGCCCGCAAATCCTTCGAGCTCATGCCTGCAACAACCACCAGAGCATTCAACTGCATCCTCAAAGCTCACGTCGATGGCGGACAGCTCCGATCAGCGCTCGATCTCTACTCTCTCTCTCTTCCGCCCACCACTGCAAAGATCTTCCATGACGCCATAACCTTCAGCGTGCTCCTCAGAGGCTGCTCCGATCTGGGTTGGGCCCGATCGGGGCTTCTCCTCCATGCCCACCTCCTGGTTACTGGATCAGAACCAGACCTCCATCTCGCCACCGATCTCGTCCATTTCTACCTGAAATTCAGCCGCCCAGATCATGCCCAGAAGGTGTTTGCCCAAACGCCTCACCGAGATCTTGTTCTTTGGACGACAATGGTGGATGGGTTCTTGAGGAATGGGGAGCATGGAGAGGCCATGAGGCTCTTCTCCGAGATGAGAGCTTCGGGCCTGCAGGTCAGCGCCGCCGCGTGGAACGCCCTCGTCGCCGGATATGCCCGCGGCGGCATGGCGGCGCAAGCCCTTTGCCAGTTCCGCCTCATGCAGGCCGCCGGCGTGACCCCCGACTGCGCCACCATCTGCACCATCTTGCCGCTGTTATCGAGGTCAGCGGTGCTGAGCTCTGGCGCGGCGGCGCATGGCTTCGCCCTCAGGAGGGCTCTTGAAGGGGACCTCTTCGTGGTCACCGCGCTCGTGGACATGTACGGCAAGTGCGGGAAGCTCAGTCATGCGCGCCACCTGTTCGAGCTCGCCGGCGACAAGGACGCCGCCCTGTGGAACGCGGTGATCCTCGCCCACGGCGCCCACGGCGACGGCGAGGAAGCCCTCCGCCTGCTCCGCCGCATGGAGGCCTCCGGCGAGAAGCCCAACGGGATCACGCTAACCGCCGCCCTCTCCGCCTGCAACCACGCCGGAATGGTGGACGAAGCCCGCTGGCTCTTCCAATCCATGGCCGAAGATCATGGCCTCCTCCCCTCCGGCGAGCACTTCTCCTGCATGGTGGACCTTCTGGGCAGAGCAGGCCGCCTCCAGGAGGCCTTCTTCCTCGTCACCGGCACGCCGGCGCCGCCCCCGGAGCAAGTCCGGGGAGCCCTCCTCGCCGCCTGCCGGACCCATCTCCCCGACGCCGTGCCTGCCCAGCTCGACCTCCCCGGCGGCGCCGCCGGCGTGATGCTGTCGAACATCTATGCAGAGTCGGGAAGGTGGGAGGAGATGGCGAGGGTGAGAACTGTGATGAGGGACGCCGGAGTGAAGAAGACGACTGCTTTCAGCTGGATCGAGGTTGGCGGCGCAGTCCACGCCTTCAAGATCTTCGATGCTTTGCACCCCCAGATGGAGCAGATTTATGAAATTCTCAGCCACCTGGAAGCCGTCGTCCGCCTCGAGCACCACCAAGGTGGCTGCTGATGAGGGCCCCAGTAATTGTCCCCGCGGCCCATATGGATGCTGATGGACCTGATAAGTCTCTAGGTAGGGGAATTATAATGGACCGTTAAAAAACATTGGCCCGGCATGAAGTTGGGCCTGAACAGGGCCCACTGATTATCCATATTTCAAGAGAGAATGTTAATGGGCCTTTTGAATCAGGCGCATATACGAAATGGGCCTATTCATTATCCGTTTGTAAATGGGCTAACGTAATCAAGCCCGGAAGTTAAGATGGGCCCCAAGCCGTCGTCTTGAGGACCAAGATAGCTGCTGATGGGGCCCACAGCCGCTAATTATCCCCCGGCCTTTAAGGATGCATATGGGCCTTTATAAATCAGGCCCGATATTAATATGGGCCTTCACATGGCCCACTGATTATACCCTTTCCAGAGAAATGTTAATGGGCCTTTGAATCGGGCACATATATGAAATGGGCCGATTAATTATCCTTTTTTGTAATGGGCCGACATAATCAAGCCCAGAAGTTAAGATGGGCCTCAAGCTGTCGTCTTCGAGGACCAAGGTGGCTGCTGATGGTGCCCACCACCGCTAATTGTCCCGCGGCCCATTAAAGATACTTATGGCCCTGGTAATAGGGATGTGAATGGGCCTTCAGAAACGGGCCCCCGAAATGAAGATAGGCCTGAACGTGGTCCCTCTTTCGAGAGAAATGTTCAAATCTACCAGAAGCAGTTAGAAGGTTGACGTTAATGGGCCATAATGAGCCCATCAATTATCCTCCCCAATGTGCTGCAGTCAAAGGATGTTTAATGAGCCTGGATGTAAGCCTGACCATGGGCTTTCTATCCGAGTGGCGTCAGTGGGGGCGCGTTAACACACCGCAACGTGGCAGCCATAGCGGCAATGACGCGTGATAACGATTACTGTAACCGAGTGGCGGCTGATGCACGACGGCCACTTGCGTACGTGGATTCGCGGCGGTGAGTCCCGCCAAAATCCCAGCCGCCCGCAGAAGGAAAGGTCAAAGTTTGCATTGGGACCGACAGATATGAATCAGTTGTTGGGCGGGGCCCACTTTATCACGTTGATCTCGATGGGCCCAAGGCCGGCCCCACATGCATTGACTTCAGTCAGTGGGCCCACAACTCTCACTAAACCGCGGGAATTTATTTTTTTTCCTTATTTATTTCATCACCAAATCCGAGTGTGCATGAGTAACTTCGCGTCATAACAACGGAAAAACGGGGTTAATAAAAGGAGGACCCACTTGCCGACATGGAAAATTTTGGGTCCCACCGTTGACTCTGTATTAAATTCAGATCCCGCGTTCTCCCGTGGCCACCGCGTACGAGCCACATCTCTAAAAAGCGGAGGAACGGTAATTATCCTCGCTAAGTCGTCTGCTCATCATCACCAGCACCAGCAGCTACCTGGAGATCCTGGTGAAAAGAGGGAGTTGCAGAGGCGGAGGATTAAGCCCGGCTAGGATTTTCGGATTTGGCTCTCTGGTTTCTGTGGATTTTGGGGGATTCGAGTTCATCGCAGAGAGAATGGTCGCCCTTGTTGCTCGCCGGGGGAGGGATTTGCAGAGGTACAACGACCAGGGCCATCGTCTCGTCGTCGGGTTAGCTCTCCATCTCCGATGGAAACCCTAGATGGGTATTCCATTTCAGAAGCTCGATCAATCTCCATGGCTGCGATTGCTGAATGATTTCCCCTTGCAACAGATGCATCCCCTACAGATTGAAGGTGGATAATCCTCGCCGGGACGAGATCGGCCAGGCGCTGCAGGTCCTCATCATCAGCTCCCAGAAGGGGCACGATATCATGTTCCCCAAGGTAGACGAGGCCTCTTCAACCCTGAACATCTCCCCCACTCCGTCTCCATCTTCTTCCTCCTCTTTATCTCTCCAATGCATAGATTTCGAAACCCTAAAAATTCCGCGGCCATCTTTCAGGGAGGATGGGAGAGCGACGAAACCATCGAAGGGGCGGCTTCTCGGGAGGCCGTGGAGGAAGCAGGCGTGAAGGGTCACATCGAGGTCGGTTCTCCTCCTCCCTGGAATAATCAATCCGCCATTTTTGCCCCTAAAATCATTCCCCAACTCGGATCATATCAGATGAATCAATCCGCCATATCCATGTTCTTCCCCTAATCCTCAGAAATCTCACAGTAGCTCGAAAATTTCTTGCAGGGTCAGCTCGGCATGTGGGTCTTCAAGAGCAAGACGAAAGACTCCTGCAAGGAGGGGTACATGTTCCCCATGAGAGTGACGACGGAGCTCCATGCCTGGCCGGAGAAAAGCAGCCGGCGGCGGCTGTGGGTCTCGGTGGCGGAGGTCCAGAAGTCCTGCAAGCAGCAGTGGATGAAGGAAGCCCTGGACAAGTTGGTGGAGCAGCTCTTAGCTCGATCTTCAAGGTGACGCCATGGCAGGTGAATGCTCCATGGAGGGAAGCCCTTGCTCGTCATATAGACGCAGAAGATCAGAGGAGCCCTGGGGATCGATCGTTGACGAATGGAAGTGGAGGATTTGATGGGCAAATTGCCCATCTTCTTCCGATATTATTCTCCTCTCCAATATGCCATCATCTCGGCCTATCCATCTCTCGGGATTTTCAATTCATTCATTCATTTATTCATTTTTTATTCAAATCACACATCTTCGGTACCTTCTTGCTCATGTTGGGTCTAGCCTGCAAACCCTAATCCGAGCTGGTCAACGATTCCAATCTTAGTCGTTGTATATTAAATCACGTAAATTTAAAATTTATAAAACTAGAAAATATGAATTTTTAGATATTTAGATGTATTTATAAATGAATATATCAATTATAATTCAATAAAAATTCCAAAAATAACAGTAATTTTTCAGGTCGATCACAGGTATGTAATATAATATCTGGTAATTATTCATAAATTTTCTCAATGAATACGATTTTCTATGAATTTTATACTAAAAAATAAAAAGGAAATATATTTAAAATTCATAAAAAAGGGAAATAAGGGTGTAGATGTCAGGATGATGTCAGCGTCTGGCGAACGTGAATCAGGCGGAAACAGAGTTCTGCACCGTGATTCTTACGTAAGCAATTATATATGATTTAATTAATCAAATTAAGATTTGTAAAAGCTAGAATAATCGTAATAGAACAAAATATATTTTGATAAATTAAAATCACAAAAAATATTACTAAATGAAGCATAAAGTAAGTTGAAAGTAAGAAAACAGAGTTCCGGCGTTGCAACGGTGATGCATTGACGATGCACTAAAATCCTAAGTATTCGGAAGGATTGTCATGTAGTGTCCATGGCCTCAAAGTCTCTTTTTAGATAAAGATAACGTGAGTAATCTCTAAATCTCCTTGCAAAGTCTAGAGATCAATGAAGTGAGTTGTTAAATCGTCTCCAGCGGTTGTCACCTAGTGGAGTGAAAAAACAACGTCTTTGCGGCTCTCTGACGGCTGTCACCCAATAGAGAGGAGCTGGATGGAAGTGGGGCGCATGTTAGAGAGCTTCATCCTCAGGTCCGCATAGTAAGAGGAGGTTCTTCATCGCATCTAGTACGCTCTCAAGAGGTGGCGACTCATCTCCCGACGGATCGTCCTCTTCCCGACGACGACTTGTTCGTCGATCAATCGGAGATGATTTACTCAATAGATTTGTGATCCTTTCTCAATAGATTTATCGCGAATTGTTCAGCAATTTTAGTAACAATGCTCCGCAAATTGTGTTAATGAATTTTTTGTCGATGATTCATCGATTCTCGTTGCTTAATCCTTCACCGGTGATCTGTAGGAAAGTCACGATAATCAGATAAAAATATATAACTTTTAACTCTAGAAGGACTCGAATCATCACCGGTCGCCCGTCTCTTTTGAAGGTGTGACACAAATTTAGTCCCACATCAATTATGCGCCGGTTTTTCAGGCGAATATATACTAATGTTAGATTTTTAAGCAAAATTTCAGTGTATGATACAGACGTCACACCACTATGACATGTCTGCATCATACGTTGAAATTTTGTATTCTCTCTCTTTCTCTCTCTCTCTCTCTTCCTCTCTCTATCCTCCGACACATACCTAAATCTCTCTTTCTTTCTCTATCTAGCATGATCCTTAAAGCCAAACCGAAATATATGTGAACAAGTAGATAAAATTAGGTGTAGGAGATAGAGAGAGAGAAAGAGAGAGCTCTGGCCAGTGGTGTAATCATGGGAGATGGAGGTAGCAAGAAAGGATATGACTCTATGCTTTCCAGGTTCTCATGCTACCTACATTCTGCGCCACATCTCTCTCTCTCTCTAGAACTCTCATACATGAATAGTTAGCATAACTCTCTGCACCCTGCGAAAAAGGCTATTTTTCATACTGCGGAGGAAGCCATAACGTAAAAGAAGCCATTCCTCATACTGCGGAGCAACTGAGGTAGGAGAATCTAGCAGGACTACTTCGACCGAGTTCCCCGCTCCTCCATGGGCGCGGAGGAAGCCTCTGAAACCCGACGGCGAAACCCCACCGGAGAACCGGCGGTGCCGCCGGCCCCCCATGAGGAAGGCCGAGGGGCGGCGACCTCTCGTCGAACCCTACGAGCTCCTCCTCCACACTCTCAACCGGGCCGCTGCATCGTCTTCCTCCTCCCTCCTCCGGCGAACCCACGCCCTAATTCACACCACCGGCCTCTGGAGGAAGCCCGTCCTCTCCTGCAAGCTCATCTCCTCCTACGGACGCCTCCTGAATCTCCGCCATGCCCGCAAATCCTTCGAGCTCATGCCTGCAACAACCACCAGAGCATTCAACTGCATCCTCAAAGCTCACGTCGATGGCGGACAGCTCCGATCAGCGCTCGATCTCTACCCTCTCTCTCTTCCGCCCAACACTGCGAAGATCTACGCTTCGTCCGCCGCCCTCTCCGCCTGCAACCACGCCGGAATGGTGGACAAAGCCCGCCGGCTCTTGCACTCCATGGCCGAAGATCACGGCCTCCTCCCCTCCGGCGAGCACTTCTCCTGCATGGTGGACCTTCTTAGCAGAGCAGGCCGCCTCCAGGAGGCGTTCTTCCTCGTCACCGGCACGCCGGCCCGCCCCCCGAGCAAGTCCGGGGAGCCATCCTCGCCGCCTGCCGGACCCATCTCTCCGACGCCGTGCCTGCCTACTTCGACCTCCCCGGCAGCGCCGCCAGCGTGATGCTATCGAACATCGACGCAGAGTCCCGCGAGTGACAACGACGCGTGCAAAAGATTACTGCTCCCCAAGTGGCGGCCTGGTGGACGGCGGGCACTGGCCTACGCGGATTTGCGGCGGTGAGTCCCGCCAAAATCCCCCAGAGATGCAAAGGTCGGAGTTTGGCTATTCGCTCGGATGAGTGGGGCCCACTTTAACCTGCGTTTCGACGATTTCAGGCGGGGTCCCACATCAACGCGCATTTGGCGAAACCCCTCGAGGGGTCCCACACACCCCCAATCAAACCAGTGAGCTTCCGCCTACTAGAGGTAAGGTCCACATCTAAGTGAGGTTGTTTCATCATTAAACGGCAACGGTAAGTCATTGCCCGAGCGTCGATCCTCCCCCTCCTTCCTCTTCTTATTATCCGTCTCCGGCGCTGCCGAGCCCGAGACGATGGCGACGGTGACTCGCGCAGCAGGGCATCTGCTTCTCCTCCGGCCGGCGATCCATCCCCGGTACGTCCCACGGCGAGGAAAGGTGCTGAAGGGAGTCCTCAGGGCAGCGCTCGCGGCCTTCTTCCTAGGAGCCGCCGCGGCTGCCGGCGGCGAGAGGTCCCACGCCACCGGAGCACCGGCGGCGTATCAAGTCTGAACCAATCCCTCGACCGTCCTTCGTTCTCTCCTCCAGCTGAAGAAATAAGGATGCGTTCTTGAAGAACGGTCTACATAAATCGCTATAAATGAGGGATCGCCGTGTTCGTCGATCGATCTTGAATCATTGTGAAAGAAATATTTCGATCATGTTCGTGATTGATAGAGTCAAGAGTTTTCCGGTGTGGAGTTTTTCAGCATGGTCTTCCACGGGAGAGAAATTCTCCTGCTCCGACTGATCCTCGGGGGCGGCTCCCCTTCCGGCGATCGTCGCCTTCAGCGACCTGAGGAGGCGCTCGGGCGATGGCAACCGCGGGAAGATGACGGCCCGAGAAGCTTCCCAGAAACCAGCTGCGAAGTGTACTCCATGCACGTACATGGAGAGTTTCTCGGACTAATAATCATAATGAGGAAGACGAGGGTCCTCTCTCTCTCTCTCTCGCTCTTGATGATCCAAGAGCTCAAACTGGCAGCCCATCCCTCGCGACCACCCAGTAGCACCACTGCGAAGTGTACTCCATGCACGTGCATGGAGAGTTTCTCGGACTAATAATCATAATGAGGAAGACGAGGGTCCTCTCTCTCTCGCTCTCGCTCTTGATGATCCAGGAGCTCAAACTGGCAGCCCATCCCTCGCGACCCCCCAGTAGCACCACTGCAAAACAAGAGCACCGCTGCCACAAAAGCGCTCAATCTACTGGTAGTAGTAGAAGAAGAAGAAGAAGAGAGATAAGAACACAAGCGATGACGATTCCCGGAGGGACGTGGAAGAAAGTACAAGTCCATGGGCAGGGGAGGGAGAAGCTCAGCCTCGTCCCATCCAAACAGCACCATACGAGCAACCCCGCAGGAGAGAATAATCACAATCATATACAAAACGAGCTGACCCCCCCTTCTCCCATGTTACAACACACCCTCCGCCGACTGCCGGCCACGGCGGCAGCGGTGACGATCCCGCCGCCACCCACAAGGGACCCAGCTGCTGCTGCCGGGCATCGGCCGACGACCCGCCGGAAAAAATTGCACCGGCGATCATCTCACGAGGAGATGGGCTCGTAGGGGTGGGTGATCCAATGGTGCTTCAGGGCCTCCGCCGCCGAGGGCCGCTTCTTAGGGTTGATCTCCAGGAGGTGGGAGACGAAGTCGATGAAGCCCTGGTCGCCCATCGGCAGCCGGTGCCGCAGCGAGGTCTTCTTCGGGATCAGGCACTCCAGCCGGTTGGTCTCCTGCGAAGAACGAAACCCAAATCAGCAAGCCCCCACTATTCATTTTATTCATCTCCTTCTATCACATTAATGGCAATCTCTCTCCGCTTGCTCTCTGTCCATCTCTCTTGCTATCTATCTATCATCTCTCTCGCTTGCTCTCTATCTATCATCTCTCTCTCTCTCTTACCTGGTTGCGTTCATAGAGCAAGTGGCCCTTGGTGAAGTATTTGTACGTGTCTCGGCCCTTTGCCAGCATAGTCTGATCGATGGGACCAATGATTCCGACGACACGCGCGAGCAGAGTCGCTGGAGAATCGTTCTGAAAGAGGACCTGTTGAAGAAGGATATATCAGTTCAACCCATGAAGACCGAAATAAATATTTTTTTAAAAAAAAAGACAGATTTGATCCAACAAGGAAAATTGGTCGAAGAACTCGTTATGGCGTGCCATATCTTGACGATTTACAGCGGAGAAAAAAAAATGGATAAAATCGGAAGATAGAAGCAAAAAGATGAACTCAAAGTCAGCGTGTTGACTTCGTACGTATCATTTAATAGCATGTTTTCACTGGATCCAGGGGTCTGAGTATGCAAGTCAACAGCGAGCCAAGAGACAAGCACCAACAGAAGGAATCTAGGGAACAGTTATGCCAGAAAAGGTCAACACCCACTTCAAAATCTCCAAAGACAGGTCATATAATAGGTAAAAAGTCAAAGCACGCATCAAACAAGGGCGAGGGGAGAGTTCAAGCTTACATTGCCGGTGCAAAGTTCGGCCAAGATGCAGCCAAGAGACCATATATCTATTTTTTTGTCGTAGGGAAGGCCCAGAATGACTTCAGGCGCACGGTAAGATCGTGACTGAACATATGAGCAAAGATGGTCAGTCTCGAAGCAGCTACTTCCAAGATCGATGACCTTCACTTCACATCTGCTATAACTCTTGATCAATATATTTTCTGGCTTCAAATCACAGTGAATGAGACCGAGCCCATGTAAAAATTCGAGCGCTTCCAAACACTGGATGGTGATCGACTGCAGATCCAAACATTCATAAAATCTCAGCGAACTGTGAGAAAAAGGAGACAAAGACTGAGGTTTTCAGTGTACTCATCCATGATCAGAACACACACCTGCAATCTTGACATCGTGAAATAGACCTCTCCTCCTGATTCTCGATTGAACTTGTGGAATTCGTACAGGTTTGCCTTCAGAAGTTCACAAACTATAAGCAGATGTTCCTGCACCACAGAAAAGAATCAGTCAAATAAATAGGAGCCCAGGGCACATGAAATTCACCAATAGAACTACTGATTAATTGTGTAATTCGATTAAGAAAACATTAGAATCACACTGATATGAACACATATGAGGAGTACAATCGTCAGTCATCGAGATGGCGCATGTATCGATTGAGTCGATGTCAATATGAGACGATTATGGGTAAAAAATGATATATTGATTTGAACTATAGGCCAAGCAATCATTATATCAATATCATAGAAGACACGGATTATCAAGTAATCGACAACTGCGCAATATTCCTAGAACTTATAGAAAGAAGACATGGAAATGGATATAATAGTTTATAAACAGAATGATTCTCTAGGCATCAAATATCCAGATCCAACTCAACACTACACAAGTAGATGATACAAAAGTGAAAGGGACACACACACACAAACAGACGGCAAGTTCAGGAGAGGTATACATCAGAAGGCAAAACAATTTGGACCACAAACAGGAAAACATGGCCACAAAGGGAAACACCATGTGCAGTAGGACCATATCGCTCGCATCCATAAACTACCAATAGATTTGTCCAGAATCAAGATAAGAATCAGATTTTTCAAGGATGCTGTGGAACTATCAGTTTGTCACCAGTCACCAGAATCAGATGAGAAAAGAGATGTAGCTCGTTTAGCAGTCTGTGAAGTCAATGGTGGACTGATAACAGTACTGGGAGGAAAACTCATCTCAGTCTCTGGATCATACAATGTCTGTGGACAAAATCCCTCTAAAAGTAGTAAACTACCTTTTAAAGTCTTAGAAGTCAACTGACGAGGTTTAACTTCTTCCGAAACGAAAGATATAAGATCACCCTTCAGATAGCATCCACAAGGATATTCCCTGCAGAGCCATGTTCAGTCAAATTTAAAGCTGATTCGTGTGTGGTGAAGGACTTCTAAACCAAAGAAGTGATTGGTGGAGGCGCCAGCGAGGCTCTCTACTCTTGGAATATCGAGATGTGTTCGCATGGACTTACGAAACGTAAAAATTCGACTAATTAAAAAGCTGAATCGTTACCGCCCTCCCCCCCCCCCCCTCCGGGGATATTCTCTTTAAGAATAGAAAGAAGGAAGAGGTGTTCTCAGTCAATGAAGCCCCACTCCATAACTTCAGTCATAAAATTCTTCATGTCTAACTCCATAATCGGGAGGTGAGCCAGAGAGAGGAAATCCCTCGTCCAGCAAGGTCCCTTTCACTACTTTGGTAGAGCGTTTGCCCCTCAGGGTGGGTCCCTTAGTCTAAACTATATCTTTTCTTATTATAAACTTTATGAGCTTTTGTTATGAGACATCTTGATATAAAGACATTAATTTTGTAGACGAAGTTTAGATGCACTGTGGCTCTTCGGGATAAGAGCAATGAACGAAGAAGTGTAGCCCATCTTGCTTTCTCGGATTTATATGCATCTCCGGTTAAACTACTGAGTAAGCTACTAGACAACTTGAAAAACAGGACAGGTAACATGATTTGGCCTAAGTCAGACCGAGTGAACAAACGATGTTCTACATAAATACTATCACCGAAAAACATGCAATGCAGGGTGGTGATTCATGGAAGACAAGTCACTACTTTCATTTTTTGTTGTGTATGCAAAATGAAACAAAAGGCAACTGCTTAGAATAGACAAACATGGACTACTGTCAAATCAGAGGTTGAATGAATAAAAATGTAGAAAATGACCAATCATCATCATACATAATTCTTGAAGAGAAAAAACTATGTTGCTATAATAATGATAGAAAATGACCCCGGGATAGGAAAAAAGAAGGCAAAGGACTATGGCTGCCAATAGTAATGAAATTCTTACTCGGTAATAGAAGTAATCATACAGGCGGAGAATGTGGTATTTGTCAGCAGGATCATGCTTGTTGACAAACTTCAGTAGCTTGATTTCGTCTAGGCTCTGATCAAAAAAGTCTTTGTTGTTCTTTATAATTTTTACACAAACATCCATTCCAGTGTGCAAGTCATGTGCTTGGATAGCTTTGCTAAATGCGGCTGATCCTAAGAACTCAGTGACATGATAACGCCCAGCAATCACTGAATTCAGGACGACCTGGAAGTTTTTTTCTTCTTCAAAGCCAGTTCTGATTAGCAGTGAAAAAAATGGTAAATAAGAGACCGAAACATAAAGACCAACACTACCACTCTGTGCATAAATAGGATGTCATAAGGTATTACCAAAAGACAGATGATAGAGAAACGAGTTCATCAGTTGAGAAAATCAGACTAGGCAACAGACTCTACCTGTTTTTCCTATGAACAATCTTAAGATTGAATGTTTCGAATTCCTCTTCCTGGGCTTTTATCTGCCTTATCTGTTCCTGGACTGCTGCTGCTTCCTCATCCTCTAGTGTTGCCCCTGGGTCCTCTTCCCTTGCGTCACTTGTTTGATCATCTTGTTCCCTCTCCATATCATCCTTCTCAGCATAATCATTGTGTGAGGCTGTTGATCCAGTAGATGTTCTCGATCCACCAGTATTAGCAAGATGCTCACCTCCAGATATATTTAGAAGCGAGGAATCATTGCCTTTTTGCCTCCACGTGGCAAGCATATCATCATTTGTCACAAAACCATTACAATACTCATCTCCATCATCACAACCCACACCAGTGTCCTTCGATGACCACGAGGACTTTCGAGGTTCCATGTGCAATGCTTCATCAGCTCTTATAGGTGGTGTAAAAGAAAAGCCACCATCACCATAACTCAAAGCAGAGTTACTAAGACCTCTGTCAGGGTCTACGATGTACTTATCTGAATCATTTCTGCCAGTTCTTATTTTATCCCTTTTTGCCTTGTCAAAGTAGTTTTCATTTGCATAATGTTCAGACTGTCCGGGTCCTCCAACAGTATGATCATGACCATGAAAATATTCAATGTCCCCTTCACTGCTGCCCCCTATCAAACTTTCACGCACTTCACTTCCAATATCAGCAGCATCACTGCTTATACCCACACCAATGGATCTGACCGAACCATGATGGTCGTCATCGATGCAAAAGACACCAGGCTGAGGGTGCTCATTCTCATTCAAAACACGATCATTTTCCAACAAAACCAACTCATTAGATTGGGTAACAAGCCCCTTCCAGACAGGTTCTGCACGCATCAAATTAAGTTCCTCAGCATCCATTAATTGCCCGTCATAATGAGCTATTAAGTCATTTTCACGTGTTCTGCCAAATGTTTCACCTGCGGACAGCCCAACTGGGTCTTCTGAAGAAGCAGCGTGATCAATGTTTTTGGCTTGGAAGTACTGCTCACCAGAGAAATAGGAGTCCTCTTCAGCAAAGGACTGATCATCATCCTCATCTTTAGTTTGAACCCTTGCTTGCTGATCTGGAATACTACCTTGCCCAGTTCCTTTTTCATTATCACTTGGATAGTCAATCTCATGAGCCAGAAACCATGTCTCATCTTCAATGGGTTGCCTAGTATATCCAACATCATCGTCATCATCGTATTCATCAGAATCCCAGTAGTCATTCGGATACTCGACTGTCTCATCACCAACAGTCGCAAAACCTGAAACTAAATCAGCATCCTCAGCAATTCCTTGACTAACAGAGAGCCAACTGCTTCCCAGCGTTCGCTTTCCACCTGTTGTTAGTCATTATGATAAGTTAAACAGAAAAAATGAGGCAATTGCGTATATACAAGGTATCAATATGACAAACAGAAAGAACGTATACACTTCATCAGATATCAATAAGAACAGCCAGAAAAATATACATTATGTGATATAAAATAATGTTTAACCGCCAGAAAACAATTATGGCACCAGCATAAGTCATGTGTGGGCACGCATTACCTTCACAGATACCTTTATTATATGTACTTTTAAGTCCACGACATGACAAGGAAATTAACTGATTCAAACTTTTATTTTTAAGAAAAATGAAACAAAGCATGAATCATCGTCCCAACCAGGACTCAACCAGCAAATGCAACAAGTGAACATGACAACGAGCAAAACATTAAATTGCAACAATCATACGCACGAAGTGTTAAAGGGACTGTATGTTGTGGTAGGATTCAGACATTGAGGTAATTTCCAAAGGTTGGAGGCAAAGGCAATGACATCTGGTACACAAATAATGTCCGACAGGTCCCAGTAAAAATGAATGTGATCGAAATGTCAAATAAGGACCCCTAGTTGTGAACGTGTGCTACAGAAGATAATGGATCGGGGTGGCCAAAGTGTTGGTAAGAATCACAGAGGAGGAAGACAGAACTTCAGATGGGGCTTCTACAGTTACAAGCCGCTAGGGAACTCAGTTTTGAGATGATGCGTTGGATTTGTGCTCAGCATAATAGAAAACAAAATTTTCAACCACAAGCCACCAATGCAATTTTCATCCTCCCAATATTTGTTTGAAAAGTAGAATAATATTAATAATAATAATAATATCAAGAAGAAGATGTGCGTACAATCCTCACTGACAATGCCTCACCTCTACCTCTGTGACAGCCCTCACCGATAAGAATAACCTACTTAACTGCCTCCAATACACCTCTCCTTTACCGCATAACAATCCGTACAAAACAAATGAGTGATTATCAGAACTTTGAAACACATATAACCTATAATTGATCAAGATCTGTAGCCCACAACCTGAAGTTTCCTAGGGGCCAAAACTGAGACATCATCCACTTGAATCATTAACGATGCCACAAGAACTCCTCACGGTTTAACAAATACATATCATCCAAGGTAACACAAATAACTGCATATCTAGTCCCCTTAATCATCTCCTACATCATAAAGCATCGCCAAGACTCCTCTACGATTTTTTAGACTTATACACGTCCAAAATGAATTAAAGTTTTCAGCAAAATTTTACGTGGTATCCCATTGGACATTTGCCTTATGTGATATGAATTCCTAATTAGTTTACACTGACTTTTGGGTTGCTGTGGTCCACGAACTTATACAAAAATAATTTATAAAGGTATCCCAAGCATATTCTGGTTTAAAGTCACTTCAACCAATGTCTCCGGTCGGAATATAACCAAAATGAACAAGAAAACAAAGTCAAACAAATTTTGTGGCATACTCTCACTTCCACAAGTTCTTGTACAAAAGCCAAAGCCTCTGTCAAGATCCTAGCAATATCATTCTTATCGACCCTCAACTTTTAAAAGTGACGATGTAGAAATTCAGTCATTGCCTATGAATCGCGTAATGAAGCACCAGTGGCCACTAATCCATGAGGAAAGAAAAAATAATCTAGACACGAAAAAAATTATACAGACAAGTCTACAACAGATAATTGGATTCAATACCTCCACATCCAACTTTGAAAGTTATCAAAAAAATATGGACAATTTAAAAAAACAAAACTACTTGCATATTTTATCTATGAATAGAAATTGAACCATGGAACTTATGATTAAATATCAGACATCAACGGTAACAACCCGGATGTTCTCTCCATTGCCATTAACTAGGAAGACCAGGCAGTGAGTAAAATGAAGAAAAGCAGGCAAAGTGTGACAAACCAGAAGAGTTGATCTCTTGCCCGATTGGGACGTCAAGAAAAGAGCCAATCAAGAATGTGCTATCTGCATTAGTAAGCTTGATTTCTGTCCCATGATGATAAGCTTTTTCTTCCCAATGTATATGCGCAGGTTTGTCCTCGGACTTCAGCCTTACAGGAGGTAGCCTTGGTAGTTCCTCCCTGTGATTTTCAGGCATACGTGGCAGATCAAAAGATTCAATCCTCGCCGGCTCTTCAGATTCATGGGGCTTTCCAAATGGGAAAGGCCTATTCATCTCCTCTACTTCTATGAACGCGCCAGTGGTATCGTCGCTTTCCACTATCTTCCTCTTATCCTTTTTACTATCACCAGTTCTGAGAGAAATATCACGACTGCAGGATGCATCCCCCTTGGAAAAAGGAAAGACAGTTTTGACAGAGCACTCTCTCCACGATTCCTCATTTTTTGACCACGGATTATCTGGCAAATCATTGGCGTAGCAGGCAACACCGGCATTAGAGTCATTAGTTTGGCTGCTCCCGACCTTTACTTCAACCTTGCTCTTGTTCGACCCAGACCTCGAGATTACGTGTTCTCCAAATGTATCCATGCTGTTTTGGACAAAGGAATCGCATTTATCAGAGGCACTGGTACCGGATTGGTGCCTTGATTTGCCTGAAAGCGACAGCGCCGAGAAACTGGCAGATAATGAACTACTATCTTTAGACGACACAGGATCAGCGGAGGCCTCACTAGAGAACGCCCATGGATAAAGATCAACTGAAGCATTATCATTTCCTGAGACAGATGTCGGACCTTTCTTACTGTCGGAGCGGCTTCTGACGCTGCCGACCTCAACCTCCTTGACAACAAGCTCATTAGAAATGTCCTCGCTCCTTGTCGCAGAGGAGCCTTGCTTCGTGACATGATTTCTCCCACCAGCTTCTTCTTTTTCTTTTTCTTCAGAAACAGCCATCCCCGTATTCAAATCCAGTCGGCTGCCCAGCTCTCCTCGCAGTGCAGCCTCAGCCCTGTCGAACTTATTCCTTCTCAAAAATTCCAATATCGCGTCGACGGAGTCCCCCATTTCCTGGCCCTCGCCCCCACAATGCAAGACTGCCGATCAAGCAAGAAAAAACACTTTCTACTCCACTGTAGCGTAAGTTCGCGTGCTCGAGAAAGCTAGAAAGACCATTTCATGTTCATCTACCGATCAACCCTCACCTGCCGGAACCGGAAACTCACCCACCGCGTCTTCCAGGAAAAGCCAGCACAAAAAAAAAAACTCAGATCCCCTCCCAAACGCAGCGATATCTGAGATCCCAGCTCTCCCAACAACCGATCGAAAGAAAAAACCCTAGCTCTCAAGGAAATCCCCCTCCACCTCGGGCAAGGGGGAGACAAATCAAACAGACGAATCTGGCTTACAGATCGAGAGAGAGCCGCGAATAAGACGACCGTGCACTGATCGGCGCAGGACGGCGGCCCCGGCGGCGTTCCCCTCGGCGGCTGCCTCCATTGCCGGCGGCGGTAGCAACTTCGTCGACCACGCCATTTGCTCTGAGCATCTCCCAACCAAGCATTCGCATCTCCTAGCCGGTAATATTATTAAAATTATTATTATTATTACGGCTCAGCATATTTAATACGGGCCAGGCCAACTTTATGAAAACCTGGCCCGAAGCCCGGGATAATACTTATCGGCAGAGTGAACGGCTCTGAGAGAAAACTTTTAGATTTTATGGGCTAAAGTCCAAAAGCCCGAAAGTCACGGGCCGGCCTCTGGATGGTGTTTCTGGGGCCGTTGACAACTGATTTTAAATGTAATAAAACAAAACTCGTTATGATGCTCCTCGGTGTTGCTTAAGATTTGGCTGCCCTGCGAGGGTAATCCGACGGCCAGTAGGGCCCCATCTTCCGGGATGGTTTAACAAACGGTGGAGATTTCTTGGAAGTCTTGGGATAGGAGCTTTGGCTTTTCTCTCTGTGGCACACGTGACCACCCACGTGGGCAAGGACCGTTGGATTCTCACGTGGAGCCCACACATTGACCTACTGGGCTCCGGACGAATAGCTGAACCGTGGATCCATTAAGGCGAGTCGGATCCGAGACAATCCGTTAAACGGATTTTTGCATTAAACCCTTTTTTATTTTTATACATAAAAGATACCCTATATCTTATGATACTGTGTACTTCTATTTTGGGCTTAAATCTATAAGACATATGGTCATTTTTTCTATATTTCAGGCTTATTATTTATTATATTAAAAATATGGACCCCACGCACCTCCAAGTATAATTAGCGAGAGAGAGAGAGAGAGAGATAAGAGGGGGTAGAGAGCGAGAGAGAGAGAGAGAGAGAGGGAGACCTCCACACGAGCCATCAAAGCGATAATTACTAAAAATAGCCTTTGACTTATTAAATATGTAGCTTACTTAGTTTAAAAAATATTATGAAATTAATTGGCCTAACTATATGCATGGATTGGTCTTATGAAGCCTAATATATGCTATATTATTATTTCTCTCAAGGTCAAAGTCAACCCACTTATGAAAAATAGCTGAGAGTGGGTGATTAGTGCTACAAAGGTCCACCCATACCCTCGAACAAGGAGGACTGACATTTTGGGCGACAAGGTGTGGGCCACGTGTAGAATTTTCTGGGTCAACGGATTGCACGGGAAGCTGCAACCCTGCCCTCTACACCTTGGGAGGGCATCTGGACCGTCCATTCCTGGGGCTTGTCGATCGAGCGGTTCAGAGTGCCTGTATGCGGTGAGGGTACCGCTGTTCAGGTGAGCGGAATCTCTGTCGATCTTCTTAGTTCGTTGTCCTCGGAACCAATGTGGATGCTCTCTCTCTCTCTCTCCCTCTCTCTCTCATCTTCGTCTTGGGGATTGACAAGTTCTCACTCATCGAAGGAGAGAAGGGGGAGGGGGAGGGAAGGTAGGAGAGAGATGGGGAGGAGGGCGGCGGTTCTGGTGAAGATCTCAGGTCTCCTTGTGTGTTTCGCAGTTGCAGGGGTTGTCTGTGATGCGTCTGACCACAGCTACAAGCGAGGGGATCATGTCCCTCTCTACGCCAACAAGGTCGGGCCGTTCCACAATCCAAGGTGAAGGCTGCCCTCCTATCCCCGTTCCGGCCCTTTTTGCCCTATCCGGATCTGTGGGTGTTTTCTCTAACGTGGGGGGGATATTTAGGGATTCCGCACATGTGTCTTTAAATATTCATTCAATGCTTTTCTATTTGATGTTTGCAGCGATTGTAGTACACATTTGATAATCATGCAATTACTTTTTTTTATCTTTCCCGACGTCGGGGATTATTTAAGTAATGGCTAATTTACGTCATTTACGACGATATTGGGCGTATAAAGCTGTTAATTGGACTGATTTATTTTGGGATATGCGAGAATTTTTCCCAAGTCTTAATAGCTACCAACAGGCTTCGGACTTCTCATCATCTCCGTGGAATCTGTCTGAATGGTGCTTCTTCTACCGGATATCTTTTATGGTTTTAAGTTTCACATACCATTGCAGAAAGGAGATGGAAAGTGTAGCGCCTCCTAAACCTAAGATCACATATGTTTTATCAAAAATTATATAAAGCTTAGATAAACTTTGTCCAGAAAGTCTACTTTGCTAGTCAGTGGGTGTTGCATAACACCTTTGTTTGTTGTTAGATATGATCAGGCTAGTGTACTGGTTAGTTGTGCAACTTTCCATATTTATGCCTTGCCATTTTTCACTTATGTCTTTGTAGCGATCTCTTTTTTCTAATTTTACTTGCGCTTCTCATTTCAGTGAGACATACCGGTACTATGATCTCCCCTTCTGCTTTCCAGGTTTGAATGCTCCATGTAATTTGGAATCATCCATGTTTCTTAACCAGAGTTGTCTAACATTCTCATATCCAACTCTACACAGGTGATGTCAAGGAGAAACTAGAAGCTCTTGGTGAGGTCTTGAATGGGGACCGCCTTATTGATGCTCCCTACAAACTTGACTTCCTCATCGACCTGAATTCCAAAGTTGTCTGCCAGAAGAAGCTCACTAAAGAAGAAGTTTCCCGGTTCCGGAGTGTTGTCATGAAGAACTACTACTTCCAGATGTACTATGATGATCTGCCATTATGGGGATTTGTTGGGAAGGTGGAAGAAGATGGGAAGGATCCTAGTGACTCTAAATACTTCCTCCATAGGCACATACACTTTGATATCCACTACAACGAGGACCACGTGGTTGAGATCAATGCAAAGAATGATATTAATTCCCTGGTGGATATCACTGAAGACAGGGAGATTGACATAGAATTTTCGTACTCTGTCAAGTGGACAGAGACGGATATTCCGTATAAGAAGAGAATGGATAAGTATTCCCAGTCCTCTTCTCTGTCACGCCACTTGGAGATTCATTGGTTTTCAATTATCAATTCATGTGTGACAGCGCTTCTCTTGACGGGATTCTTATCTACAATTCTCATGCGTGTGCTAAGGAATGACTTTGTAAAGTGAGAAACTTGTTTAATCTCCCTCATTCCTTTTATTTGAGCCGCTTTATTTTATTTCATCCTGTCGATCGCACATGCAGTGAAATTAGTATGTTCTGAAGGCATTGTAATATTTTTAGTAGGAAAATATGTGCATAAAGCCTAATATTATGATGATACAAAGTCCTAAATTTCCACAGCAAGTATGATCAGCATATAGTTAGTATAAGTTCAGTTCCCCTCGAGAGATGATTCTATGCATGAAATGATTCCCGGCATTATAATCTCTACTAATTGTTCAAATTTTTGCATTTCAGTTTTCTCCTCTGTTTGACCTTTCCACTCATCAATGTTTGATGTGTGTTGCACTGAAGGGCAGAGTGGAACAGTTTTACTTTCTCCGAAAATAAGATTTTGTAGTTAGTTTCTCTGTCTTACAGAATTTTATAAAAGACTTCCATGAATTGATATTTTTGATGTGATTTCCTATTGCTGTTTCTCTGGATACTGAGGTTTCTATAGTTATGCCTAAAATAAGATTTTGTAGTTAGTTTCTCTGTCTTACAGAATTTTATAAAAGACTTCCATGAATTGATATTTTTGATGTGATTTCCTATTGCTGTTTCTCTGGATACTGAGGTTTCTATAGTTATGCCTCTTCTTTTGCTTACTTCCATGGTGTTCTTCTTGTGCAAAGGTATGCCCATGATGAAGAGTCCGTTGAAGATCAAGAAGAGACGGGGTGGAAATATATCCATGGCGATGTCTTCAGATTTCCTAAAAACAAGTCACTTCTTGCTGCCTGCATCGGATCTGGCACTCAACTATTTGCACTGTTTGTATTATTTCCTCTAGCTTATTTTTTTCATACGTTCGTTGTATAAGTCCATGTGTTGCTTAGTTCATATGTACTCTGTTTTAATATTGTCTCATAACCTGATTTGTGATTCTCTTGCATTGCAGTGCTATTTTCATTTTTATTCTCGCGCTAGTCGGGGTATTTTATCCTTACAACCGTGGCGCACTTTTCACTGCTTTGGTCGTTATATATGCACTTACTTCTGGAATAGCTGGTTATACAGCAACCTCTTTCTATTTCCAACTTGAAGGGACCAACTGGGTAATTTTTTGTTGCACTGTATTTCTATTTAATATCATCAATGTATTTACATCTGTCAAATGTTCATCCTATCTCAAAGATCCAGTTGTGTGATTATAAATTTGCACGAAGGAATATGTAAAACGATAGATAAGCTTTTTGGTCTGCTGACACTTCTACCTTTGTACTTAATGCAATAGGATTAATTCCTCCCCTTACTGGTCATATTCTTGATTTGAGTATTGCTTTACGGTTCTAATGCAACTTTTATTGGTTTGTGTGGCAGGTGAGAAATTTGCTACTGACAGGATGCCTCTTCTGTGGGCCCCTTTTCTTGACATTCTGCTTCCTTAATACAGTTGCAATTGCATATAATGCCACTGCAGCATTGCCTTTTGGGACCATTGTGGTGATCGCTCTGATATGGACATTGGTAACCTTTCCATTGCTTGTCTTGGGTGGGATTGCCGGTAAAAATAGCAAAACAGAGTTCCAAGCTCCTGTTCGTACCAGCAAGTTCCCTAGAGAGATTCCTCCATTGCCTTGGTATCGCAGTACCATTCCGCAGATGGCAATGGCTGGATTTTTGCCTTTCAGTGCTATTTACATCGAGCTGTACTACATATTTGCCAGCGTGTGGGGCCACAGAATTTATACTATATACAGCATCCTTTTCATTGTCTTCATTATTCTCTTAATCGTCACCGCCTTCATCACAGTGGCACTGACATACTTTCAGCTTGCTGCAGAAGATCATGCATGGTGGTGGAGGTAATCTACCCACTTCATACTCCTTTGTTTGATTAATGTTCTCTTGGTTTCCTTTCCCCAAGCTATGATCCAGCGTGTCACCTTTTTCCACTTATGATATGTTCTTTTGAATCACGTTGGAAACTTAGTTGATTGTGTTTCCAGTGTGATAGAGACATTATTTTTTCCTCTTGACTCTAATTTTTTGTTGTGGATATCCCTATATATGCATCGTATTCTTGAGGAAATATATCTCTATCCATAAAATAAATTATTTTGGAATCATCATTTTCTTCAGCATAGATGCGATGTTCTTGAAATAACCCTTTTATGACCTGTATGTATGCCTGGTTTTTGAATATTTACTCTCAAGTGTGATGATATATGCGGCATGCTGATCCTCATCTTGAACATTTTAATTTTTATGTCAACAAGTCCTGGGGGCTCCCACTCAGATACAGGAACTTAATCCCTTTTGAAAGATACCCACAGTACAGAGAGGGGGGCAGGAACTGGGCAAGGTAGAGGATAGAGAACAAATGGGGACAGCCCGGGTGGCAGAAAAGACTCAGGCATGAGATACTAAGGGAAGGGTTTCACTGGTCGAGATGAGAGATGGGCGTCGCATATTGTGAAGGAGAATGGAGAACAACATGTGAGGGGTGGGGCAGAGGAGAGAGGAAGACTGAAAACATGGTGTTTAGAAGGGTGAAGACGGATGGGGGGCTGAGGATTATCACCAGTGGGGAAGAGAAACATTAGCTGAAAATAGTAGGGAAAGATGAATGATAAAGTGAGGACCGCCTCCTTCGGCTAGGTCTATCCATGCTAAATCGAGTGTCAAAATCAAGGAACAGAAATCTGAAACACATGCTATTTCAGCTATGCATTCCTTTTTTCACCGAAATAAGTAGATTAAAATTCTCTGCATTTCTTTTTTTATATCCTTTTTAAAAAAAGAAAACAGCCATGTTTTCTTCTATCCCCTTTATATTCAAAAAGAAAAAAAAAACACAGACTTCTGCAACCACTATTTCCTGAAAAAGAGGCATCATTTCCACATGGTTACTCAACATTTTCACCGAAATAGTTGATTAAATTCTCTGCAGTCTTTTTTTCCTATCCTTTTTTAGAAAAAAACAGCCATGTTTTCTTATATCCCCATAAATAAAATAAAATAATTTTAAAAAAAAAACTCACACACACACACACACACACAAACCAGGCAGACAGACAGAGAGACTTCTGAAACCACAATTTACTGAAAAAGAGGCATAATCTTCCTGGGCTCATGGGTGCATACTGGTTAGTAGCTATGATTGTCTGTGAGCATGGGGTTGTCTGCGGTGCAGGTCCTTCCTCTGTGGTGGCTCGACTGGCTTGTTCATCTACGGCAACTGCCTCTACTACTACTACGCCCGCTCGGACATGTCGGGCTTCATGCAGACGTCCTTCTTCTTCGGCTACATGGCCTGCATCTGCTATGGCTTCTTCCTCATGCTCGGCACAGTCGGCTTCCGGGCCGCCCTCCTCTTCGTCCGCCACATATACCGCTCCATCAAGTGCGAGTAGGAGGCCCGGCCCGCCCCTTCTTGTTTGTCTCTCTCTGTACAGGGCCTTTTGGAGTGGCAGTTCATCTCGCTCTTGGGGGCGGACGTCTCTGGTTGGATGGTTTCCATGGCCCCCTGGGGAGTGGGAAGACCACTTAATTTTCTTGGCATCGTTGACTATTTTTTTATGTAGATTATTCGGCTATTCTGGGAAGACCTTTCTGGGGTGGTAGATCTCTGAAATCTATTGGCGCGCTGACCATTTTGATGTAGATTCCACGGCTATTATGACCAACTTGGATGCTAAATATTCAAGGGCATATTTTGAAATAGAATGAAGTGTAGAGAGAGAGAGAGAGAGAGAGAGAGAGAGAGAGAGAGAGAGAGGTGGGTCAGATTGCTATTTATTAATTAGTACATAAATTTCTCTTAATTTTTATTTTTTGAGTTAATTATGATAAAGTCATTTCAAAATACTAGATTTAGAGATCAGCCTTCCATCTTACCACTTTGAGAAATAACCCCTCAGATTAATCATCTCAAAAATCCTTATAAAAAAATTTGGAGAACATTTCGCTTTTTTCATAGAAGATAATAATATCCAACAAGGAGAGCGAGAGAGAGAGAGAGAGAGAAAGAGAGAGAGAGAGGGGGGGGGGGGGGGAAGCTGACACCAGCTGACCCATAGCACAACATTGCAAGATCTTGCAAGTCAACTCAGATCGAGGGTTGACTCGAGGGCAGGAGCCCACAAAGACGGTAATTTTCAAGGAACCCATCGACAATCTTCACAACAGCAAGATGGATCTGAAACAGAGCCCCCGAGCCAACAGTTGTTTAAAAAAAAATCACAGATTCTGATAGATCTGACGAGGAAAATAATGCGCAATAAAAAAAATGTAGCCGAGAATGGGTAATCGAGAGCAAAAAGTCAACCAGCATTCCTCACAAGTATGGGGAACTCAGGTGTGGTTCCACTATAGCAAGTAAAATCCGGGGCTCAGAAAGAGGATCTCAAGAAACCAGTTCTTTAAGCAAACGAAGAATTCAACTGCGGAAATAAGCCAAAATATAAAAATGAAAAATAAATAAATACATATATATATACAGGCAGAGTCTGGATTGTCCCTTAGTCAGCTGATTTTTTTCTTAAAAAGGAAAAAAAAAAAGCAGGAGACTTGTCAGCAAGAAATCCAATCTAGAGCGTCTGCTCAGATGATGGAAATAAGATACTTTGACCAAACACAATCTCGCGACATCAGAGTTCCTGCACGCCCAGCCCTTCTTTCAGGGCTCCACAAACCCTAATGAGGAAAATAACGTGCAACAGAAAGAAGGAAAAAAAAAAGAATGGTAGTAATATGGATATCAGCGAGATCAGCATCTTCAAAGAAATCCATTCCAGGATCAGCTCAGATAATTGAAATAAAACACCCATGACCAGAGAGTTTAGATAAATGGATGAATGATGACAAAATTTCCATTTTGATAACGTCAGAAGAACCTACACCTGAAAGCACAAATTTCCATCATTGACCTAAAGTCAGGAGAAGCCTGGGAAGGGAAAATACAGTCGTCATTCAAGATAACTGTGAGACTGAAATCCAACGACATGAGAACAGAAACAGATGCTCTCGTGCCAGCAAGAGAGGAAATATAGTGTCAGCAGTAGAGGAGTACTCTGGCAGCCGCTGTGAAAGCTTCAGAGAAAGTTTCCAAGGCTACCATGCCTTCTGGGAGCTGCTCCAGGGGATAGATCACATGGTAGGATGTACACAGAGTTCAGGCATCCTAGCAGCTTCCATTCAAATTCTACAGGTCTTTCACCTGATGGTCACATACTTGTTCGTCCCATGCTTGGCCCAGTGGGCGCTCAGATCAATCGGATTGGAAAGATTATACCCTTCACCTGCGAGCTTCTCCAACACCTTCTTAAATGCCCCCTGGCTCATCTTCCGCCCTGCTATTCGAGCCCCCCTCCTCTTCGTGCTCATTGGAAGCGGGTACATCGAAACAGTGGTGGTGCAGCAGGCTGACTGCCACCCACCGATGCCCCAGCGGTAGCATTGCTGAGGAGTGCCCGTGCAGGAGCAGACTGGAGTCGGGAGCCCGGAGATATCCAGGTTTATCCCGTTGATCACAATCCCCGAGCTCTTCTTCGCACCTTTTGCCCGAGGACCAGCAGAAGATTTCCCCCCCATCTCGTCTCGCGGCGCAGGAGTCTTCTTGGGCTTCTTCGCCCTTGGGGCGCTGTTGCGGCGGCCACCCTGCGATCTCTTCTTCGAAGGAGGTCCCTCCTTCCTGCCGCCCGCCGCATCAGAGACTGGGGCCGAGTCCGGCGGCTGCAGCATCTGAAGAGTTTGGGGATTCCCCGAAGCTTGAGGATCAGAGAGCATTGTGTAATTGGGCATCACATGGAGGATCCTGTTGCCGTCTCGAGGGCGGATCCAGTTGTTGTACTGCATGGAGACGGGATGATCAGGAAGAGCGCCGCAGTCGCGATGGAGGAAGGTCCCATTCGGAAGGAGCGGCTTGGTGTCCCCCTCTCCGGCCGCCATGTTCGACATCAGATTCAGCCCCAAGCCCTTCACCGCAGGCTGATGGTCATAGTATCCGCCCCAGTTCCGGATCCCCAATCCGCCGTCGTCCATGGAAGCAGACTGCTGCGAATGAGGAAACAAATTCTGAGGGAAATCACCAAATAATGCGATAATTAAACCCATCTATCCATAAACCACATCGAATCCTCCCGCATCGCGATAAACAGGACAGGAAAACAGAAGAACGCACTGGAGAGCAGAGATAGAAGGCGGGGGCAGAGAGAGAAATCGAAAAAAACCCTAACGCAGTAAAACAAAACAGATCAGAGGGACAAGGAAGGGAGTCCTGGGCAAAGATCCGTGAAGCCGGCGGAGGAGACCCCCAAGATCCGAGAAGCCCCGCAAGCTTCTCCGAGGAGCGACGACAAAGAGAAGGGCGGCGAGGAGACATTTGAACGAAGCGGGCGAAGGCATGGAATCTACTGTGGTGGTTGAAAGCGCCATTTGTACAGAGGAGAGAGAACACAGAGGAGAGAGACTCTTACTCGGAGGAGAGAGGAGAGAGGAGAGATAAACGCTCTCTAGGGTTCTTGCCGCGGTGCGATGGAGAGAGATTGACACAGAGAGCGAGAGAGAGAAAGAGAGAGGTGGAGGGGAGATGAGAGGGACGGTAGGAAACCCTTTGCTTTAAATACGCGTCTTTTATGGCACGTGGGATGCGGTCAGTGCCACGTGGAAATCAAATTATAAATGTAATTATCGACATCAAAGGGAAATAATAAATTATTGGGCTTGGGCTTCACTAACTTCGGCCCAAGGCCTGAAATAAAATGTCTCGAATACCATTTTTTCCCTATTCAATATTAAGAAATAAAAAATCGTATTACTCGGCCCATTTAAAGGGCCCAATATAATCAATTTGGTCCGAACACGTGCTTCTAGCGAGCTCAGTCGAACCCAAAGCCCATTATCTCCGTTCATGATACAGAGACGGGAGGTGATATCACGTGTCTGAATTAGACTTGTTCATTAAATGTAGGATGGGTTTTATGTCTCTTGCAGGCCCTGTCGGCGGGCCTATTTGTCCATGCACGCGTCTTCATCTGACACGTGTCCCTGTGTAAAAATAGACCCGTCAGCTAGAGAGAGAGAGAGAGAGAGAGAGAGTGGGGGGCAATTTGTTGCATGGGCTCAGTTTGCAGGCTTCTTCTTCCACTCATATCCATCTTATGACGTTTAATCTTATAGAGAGAAGAGAGAGAGAGAGAGGGGGAGAGTCCCATCCCATGCACGTGACTTTCTCTATCTTGTCGATGGTTAAAAAAAAACAAAACGCTTGGAAGGGAGGAGAGAGGATCGCCGTGGTAACTTGGGACGGTCTCCGGTTGCTCTGCTTACTAGGGAGGGGTTAGAGAGAGAGAGAGAAGTCCCCATGGTCCCATGGTAACTTGACGCATTTAAAAACCATGGCAAAAAAAGGGCCGATTTCATATATTACGTCAATAGATGCGCACTTTCAACCAAGATACCAGTTTGCAAGGCCATTTATTTACTTATATGGATCCTGGCCGGCCGGCCCAAGCCCGAAACCAGACTCAGCTCAGCTTCAAGAGGGCCCGACCCTGACAGAAAAATGGCCTATCTCTCTCTCTCTCTATATATATATATCGTGAGAAAGTTGCTTTGGGCTTCATAGAACGGGCCCTTTGGGGATCAAGATGGGTTCCCACAAGGCCCTGCCCGGCCCGACACATTGATCCCAACGTTACGTAGAATTTACCATGTTACAGAGAGAGAATGTAATAATAATATTTTTCTTATTTATGATGTTTAGTTATTCGCAAAATATTAACGAATGATATTGATCAGTAACTAGTGGCAGATATGTAATTAATGAGAATTTTTATGACTGAGTCCGTCATTTCGTGTCCAGCTTTCATGGCGCTTATAAAAATTACGTTATGCGAGATTAGATCCCGGAGACGTCACCAGTGGCCCCGAAAAGAGAGAAAGAGTAGAAATCTAGAGAGAGAAGAAGAAGAAGAAGAAGAGAAGAGAGAGAGAGAGAGAGAGAGAGAGAGAGAGAGAGAGAGAGAGAGAGAGGGGAGGATGGATGCAGAGAGGAGCAAGGAGCAGTACAGAGAGTGCATGCACAACCATGCGGCGTCGCTGGGTACCTACGCGACGGATGGGTGCGGGGAGTTCATGCCGGACATGGCGAGCGGCGGCGGGCTGCACTGCGCCGCCTGTGGGTGCCACCGGAACTTCCACCGGAAGTACGTGGCCCTGGAGCTGGCGGAGGGGGGGGCGCCGCCGCCGCTGTCCTCGCCGGCGGCGTCGGAGGAGAGGGCCGGGGAGAAGAGAAGGACGAGGACCAAGTTCTCCGCCGAGCAGAAGGAGCGAATGCAGCAGTTCGCGGAGAAGATCGGGTGGCGGGTACAGAAGAAGGGCGGCGCCACCGCCGCCGCCGGCGACGAGATCGCCGTTTTCTGCCGGGAGATCGGCGTCAGCCGGCAGGTCTTCAAGGTCTGGATGCACAACCACAAGAACTCCTCTGCGTCTCCGCCCCCCGCCGGCGGCGGGGGCGGCGGCGTCGCCACATCCGTCAGCCCTCTGGCGAACGCCACCTTCGCCGACGACGACGACGACGACGACAATGACAACATCAAGGGCAATGTCTCTTCCCTGACCCAGTAGAGAGAGAGAGAGAGAGGTAGAGCGAGAAGGAAGGTGGAAGAAGGGGGAGAGATTATTTTCTTTTCGACTTCCAGGTAGCTTGATTTTTCTTCTTCGGTTCGTAGTTTATTTTTCATTGCCATGGTTGATCTCCTCGTCGGCCTTCCCGTTTGAGAATGTTCTATGATATTTGTGTAGATTCTCTTCTCCGAAGGGAGAAAGAGTGAGAGAAGTGCAGATGAAGGGAGAGAGAGTAGGGAGATGTACAGAGAAAGGAAGAGGGTGATAAATTGATAGAGAGAGAGAGAGGGCTCTTATTCATCATTTGCAGCAAGCCTTAGATAGTCGGGAGCTCTCCTCCAATGAGGAAGAGAGAGACATCGTAGATAATCGTAGAGATAGATAGATAGAGATTTAGAGATTGAAAGACTGATATATAGACAGGTGCACAGAGATGGACCTCATTTTGAACAGCTGAGAGTGTGAAGATAGAGAGAGAAAGAGAGAGAGAGAGAGAGAGAAAGACTCCACTTTGAGCAGAAGGCAAGAGAGTGGCATATGAAAATCGAAGGATGGAGGTATAGAGAGAGAGAGAAGGGGGAGGAACAAAGATTGACAAAACACAAGTAGAGAGGAGACATTGCTAGCTAGAGAGAGAGAGAGGAAGGTAGAAAGATTGGCTGGCAGACACGTGGATAGAGATAGATAGATAGAGAGATCGACAGCGAGAAAGAGAGAGAGAGATCTCATTTGAACAGCGGCAAGCAAGAAGATCTCTCCTCCGGGGAGGTATTTGATTAGTAAATCCCACTGCTCATCGGCCCCAGCAGCAGCAGCAGCTGCAGCAGCTCTCTGTCATCCTCCTTGTCGCCATTTCTCTCTCGGGAAGGACCACGAAAGCCCGCCCCGAACCAAACGACCACCCTCCCTCTTCCCCCACCCCCCCACCGTCTCCTGCTCTTAAACCCTAACCACATGATCACCAACAACAACAACAAGAACAAGACCAAGACCAAAGACAGACCATCTACCACGAATTCTCCAAAGAAACGGGACGCAATGGCCCGTCTCCTCCTCATAGACAGACCCATAGCGAGAGAGAGAGAGAGAGAGAGAGAGAGAGAGAGAGAGAGAGAGAGAGAGTGAAATGGGGGGGTGGGGGTCCCCTTCCCCAAGAGCCTCCTCCGCCTTGTCTTGTTGCAACGCATACCAACAACGGCTGTCTGCTACGACGCGCAGAGCGGTCGGTGGGGCCGGCCTGGTTCGGTTCTCCGACACGGTCGGATTAATTTTAATTTATTTGTTTCACTTTAAAAACATAAAAAATTAAAGGCCCGGTATTTTCAAACGAGCTCAACAGACGAAAGCCCATCTCCTTCTCTCTCCATCACATAACGATGATTTGGGCCGGGCCACCTGGGTTAGGTCCGGGCCCGATGGAACTCGGCCCAGAGCCCAAAAATCTCCCCCGGAAATGCGGTAATATATACTGATTATTTTAAAATGCGAGGAACAAGAGTTGTCACCTCGGAGGCGGTAAGCTCACTCGAGAGGTCGCATCGAAGTGACGCAGAGTGGAGGGATGGGGCCCGCAGGTCGGGGGGGTGAGTCACGTCGTTACCTCCTTGTTTGGATGCGCCGCCGCAGAATCTCCTGCGGCCGACATCCCGTCGATGACGACGACCGCTGCCGCCCGAAAATCCGATTCCGATTCCGATTCCGATTCATACTCCTCCTCGGGGAATCACAGCAAGAGAGAGAGAAGAGAGAGAGTCTGGGCTCAGGGGTCACGGGGCTGGATCGAAGTAGCTGTATATCGGGCAAGTTAGTGGACCTTAGAGAAGCCCATTTAAAAATGATTAATTTAGGAAAATAAATAAATAAGATGCATCCAAATTGTTTATAATAAATTGATGTATTTTAAAAAAGGGTAATAAGATCCAAGGGTGGAGGGAAATATATTTTTATTTTTTGGCAAGTGGACCACCAGAGTCAACCCAGTGGAAGCCCATTTAACAATAATTTAAGTGAATAAGATCCGGCTAAATTTTTTTAATTAATTTTTTTAAAAGGGTGGACGGAAATAAAATATATTTGTTTGGGCAGCCTAATGGAAGCCGATTTAAAAATAATTCAATTTTAAAATGAGGAACAAAGTAAAAAAAAATTAAACTAAGATGCATCATATCTTCTTAAAATATGCATATTTTAAATAATAATAGGATTCAGAGGTGGAGGGAAATAAAATAAATTTTGGGCTGCCCAACGGAAGCTCATTTAACAGTAATTTAATTGGAAATAAAAAAATAAGATGCATCCTATTTTATTATAATATACATATTTAAAATAATAATACAATTCAGAGGCGGATGGAAATCAAACATATTTTTGGGAGAGCTACACGCTTTGTATCTCCCGTCGACCATCATGGGCTACGTTTTAACCTCAGACCGGCCCATTAAGAATAAATGGGTTACTCCCCTAAATACTCCTCCTATAAGACCCTGGGATTTCAAAAGAACAAAGACTAAAAAAAATTAAGGTTAATCAGGTTGTAATTTCCCACAAAATCCGTATTTAGAGATAAGTCCCTATATTTTTCACTTGTTATTGCAGGGCCGCATTGAGTTTTCAAAATTAGTAGTTTATCCATTGTATTCTTCCAATACGTTATTTATTTTTGAAAAAAGGGTAACTAATTTTTCTAAAAGATAAAAAATACAGTATTTTTCCCAGCAATGACGAGGAGAGAAGTATGGCGGCACTTGAGAGAAGCAGCGTGTGATAAAGGGGTAATTTTATATTTTTATCCAACTTTATTATATATCTTTTTTATTTTGCATTACTTATGGTTAAGAGGATATAACTATGGTTGATTGAGGGAATAAATATATAATTCAGAGTATTCTGAAGGACCAATAGCGATAGGTGAAAAAGATGAAGGACTTTTTCCAGAAATATATAATTGATCATAATTAATCTTAAAAATGAGGATAATAAAAAAAAATCTGGGCGGAGTTGAGTCTAATAATAATAATAATAATAAATAGTAGTAATAATAATGTTATTTTTAAGGTGAGGAGTATGTGATCAATTTTTACGTATTCATTATGAGGATCTATAAATAATTATAATATACATTTTTAAAAATGTGGAGTTTAGTGTAATAAAAATATTATGAGGGTAAATGTGATAAAATGTAAAAATTTAGGAGACTACTCGGTATTTTCCACCATATCTTTTGCGTGCCCTACCGTGTGTAATCCCGCCCAATCCTGCCGGCACCGTCGTCCCTTCCACTGCTTCTCCTCCGGTAGACTCTTCGCCGGCGATCTCCGCCACCGTCCTCCTTCAACGGCGGCGTCGCCGCCCCCCTGAGCCAGGTCACTCCATAGTATTTAGCTATCCTCTTCATCCTCTCGAATTCGGCGTGAGCTTCAGGCCCTGCGGCCATCGTCGGTGACCAGTTGTGTTCCCCTTTCACGCGCGCGACTTGTTCGGCGAAACGACCAGCGGACTGCCGGCGAACGGCCGACGGCTTCAGAGCCTCTGATAGAGCTCAATATGCTGGCAATCATGGCGGCGTCGAGGGCACCGCTTCCTGTATTTACGTGGCACGGCGCAGGTCTCCCACCACCGCCCTCTCGTGATTCGAATCTTCTTTCTTGCCGGCCGAGATTCTTCCTCTCGAGTGGCAGCAGATCTCGTTCTTCTCGCCCCGCCGCAGTTCCGGCGATGGCGTTCTCGGCGACGAACAAGGTCCGACCTCCTCCTTTCTTTCAGTTCCTGATTTGGTGACTTTTCCGAAGAATGAATCCGAGGATCTCTACAGATTCCCCGAACACCGGCGCTGCGCGCTCATTCCGCAGGACGGGGCTATCGGCCGCAACTCCAGCAGGTCAACTATGGCGACGGCGATCAGGAGGCCTTCTGGCTGGCGCTCCTCAAGGATGTCATCTGGTACTGCTCACAGATATCGTATTCGTTGTTTCTTCCATGATCAACCGGTTCATCTGAATCTCGGGACTCAGATGTCGAAGTTGGATGATTTCTTTTTATTTTTGTGTGTTTGGGGGGGGGGGGGAATCGGGGGGAACAAGATGAGATAAAGTGGTGAAATCCTCTAGAAGTTTCTGATGACCTTCTTCGCGTCTGCTACCGGGCAGGAGCTTCAGGTTCCTCGTATCATTCTTGGCGGAGCAGCCCGGCCAGTTGAAGTACATCGAGTGGCCGAGCTTCCAAACCACGGTCTGTACTCTGCACCGAGTTATTTCCCCTCTCCCTCTCCCTCTCTCTCACTCCTGTAATCTTCGCTGGGGATGCAGCTGAAGACAGCGGCGCTGACGCTGGTGCTGGTGGCAGTGCTGATCGTGGCGCTGTCCTCCGTTGACTCGGGGCTCTGCTATCTGTTGGCGCTGATGCTCAGAAGCTCGGTGTAAGGGAAGGCAATGGGAACACAGAGAGAGATAGAGAGAGAGAGAGAGAGATGAGAAGGGAATGGAATGCGGATGGGTTCTGTGTCCGATGGTTTTCTTCTTAACGACCTGCGTCGGCCCCCTTCCTCCAAGATCAGAGTTTCTGGTAAGAGAGAGAGAGAGAGAGAGAGAGAGAGAGAGAGGGGTCGGGGCGAAGACCAAAGCCATTTCACACGATTCTGGGAATCTTGGGGTTGTTCGTGAGTGGGGCGACGATCGAATTGGAGCCTGATCGTGGCAATTCAAATGCTAGATTAAAAAGATTTAACAGATAATTTCCCCAAAGCACCACCCCTCCTCTGCGACCACACCTTCCCGTCGGAAAGAAGAAGAAGAGGAAGAATCAGAAGAAGAAGAAGAAGATGATGAAGCGAGAGAGGGAGAGAGAGAGAGAGAGAGAGAGAGAGAGATGTACCTTTCTCTCTTGCTGGTATCTACAAGGTGAAGCTTTTGAGGTACTCGGGGTCGCGCTTGGCGCGCTCCTGGAACTTGATGAACCAGCGGTCGAGGATGTCGGCGGTAACGACGAGGCGGTTGCCGTCGATGGCGCAGAAGGACTGCATGAAGTTGAAGAGGTTCTCCCCCACGCGCAACGCCAGCCGCTCCACCCGCCCCAGCGCTCCCGCATCGGCCACGGCCGGGAGGGACGCGAGATCCTCCAAGCACACGCCGATCCGCGCAGAGGGAGGGCCCGGGGAGGCGGCGAAGGCGGGATCCGGCCACGGAAGGTGGAGCAGCGCCGAGGGGCGGGCGCCGTGGATGGCGCCGCAGAAGATGTAGGGATTGCCGTGGGCCTGCACGTAGACCGCGAGGGCCTTCCCCGGGGGGAGTGTGAACCCGCTGATCATGAAGATGCAGACCTCCTTCACCTCCTGGTACGCCTCCCCTGGTCGCCATTGATTGATTAGGGTTAGGGTTAGGGCTAGGGTTTAGATGGAGAAGAAGAGGAGAGGATGAAGCGTACCGACGAAGGTGTTCATGTCGAGGACCCAGTGGAGGGGGTCGATCTGGGTGAAGGAGGAGGCGTCCAAGGGGAAGCTCCGGTCGGGGAAGACCACGCCGAACATCGCCGGTGCCGGTGATGACGACGACGGTACTGCAACTCTTGCTGCTTGGGGTGGGGAAGGTGGAGGAGGAGGAGGAGGAGGAGGAGGAGGGCAAAGGGAAGAGCGAGGAGATGTTTCTGGAGAGTTCTGGAGAAGGCCGGAGGAGGTAGGGAGTGGAACTGGCGTGTACGGCGGCCGGTCGGAAGACCAGGTGGCGGGTTTTCCATCCTCTCTAGCCCTCCCCTCACTCCTTGTAGATTCCCAGAAGAGAACCGATAAAGATCAGGATGTCGAATCCATTCAAGACCCGATAACGCGCAACCAGTCAAAAGACAGAACCCATCAAGTGGTCGGCGAGAGAGAGAGAGAGACAGAGAGAGACAGAGAGAGGAATTGAGGCCAAAAGCTTACCCCAAGAGAGGAATTGAGGCCTCACCCGAGCCTGACGCAGAGGCCGTCCTGCAGAGCAACCCAAGAAGCCAAATAAATCACCTTCTAAATATGGATAAAACCAGAGCTCCTGCTGAGATCGGCGGAAGCTGAGCCAACACGGCGCCACCGGCAATGAGGTACATATGATGTTGCAGAGTATTGTACAAAACCCCCTCTCTGCTTGCTTACTATATTTATGAGGTTGTTTTGATATTACACTCTGGGGAAATAAGTGATTAAATGAGAAATTCAAATGATTTGGGTTTTTTTTTTGCTCTTAAATGGATCCGAATTTTGATATTGCATTTGTTTTCAGTTTTACCAAAAATGGGATGGAGGATCAATAAAATAAAATAGAGGGAAAGAACGAAGCACGGGTAAATAAGAGGGTTCCGCTTCAAATCTGACGAATTAGGATAAGAGCTACTTGTTTCTGAAGGGGGGAAGTTCCATAAAATTAATATTTACTCTCCGAATTTCACAAACGGATGAGAGACTGTCATTTCTTCCTACAATTTTCATTTTTCTTACTTACTGAGAGGATAAAAACGAAATAACAATTTTTTTTTCAAGAAATACCAAAAAGTCAATCAGCGAGGGAGAAACGATCTTCACCAGGATCGCATCCTTCAAACTAATAATAATAACAATAATAATAATAATAATCATCATCACCATCATCATCATATTGCATTTGCAAGCATTATAGTTACTCAAGAAACTTAAAACAAAGAGTGAAGCAGAGGGATCGGTTAGAAGAATACCTCCAACTTAGTCTTCGCCTCGGCATTGAACACTTTACAAAGGATCTCGTAACTTTCTCCGCCTCCAATCTGCCCAAGGGAAAGAAAGAAAGAAAGAAAGAAAGAAAGAAAGAAGCAGAGGGAGATTAGAGGGAAGTCTTGCGGACATGGAGGGGCCGCCAAAAAAAAAGAAAAAAGGAACGATGGATGATGTGAGACTCGTACCAGCGGGTCCACTCTCGAAGGGGAAATTATTGAAATATGATATCTGTTTTGGAATTACAGTTCATCAGAGAACAATATTTAAAGTGACATGAGTCATATTTGTTCCTTACCTGAGCTTGTTCGTGTAGAAGTTCATAGCTGATTCGTTAGATTTCTGAACAGTCAGCATCACAGCTCCCATGTGATTCTGGAAATGCCACGGATTCTCAACATCAGAAGAATTTCGATTATTAAGTGAGAAAAAGAGAACCAACGGGAAGAAGTGAGAAGATCAACCAAAGAGATGGAGAGAAGAAGAGGGATGACGGCAGGAATATAAATCTGAAATTGAAATGAGTTGATATCATAGTAGATAATGAAATTACCATATTTTAGAATGAGAATATCTGATACCTTGCGAGCAATAAGCTCTATGAGCTGCATAAGAAACTTCCCCAATCCTTTTCCTCGAACATGAGACTCCAATTGCAGTTCATAAACATAAATTACGGGTATATCCTCTTCTATAGTGAATCTGTAATGCACGAAGCCGACGACTGGATCCCCATCACCGGTCCATAGATGATGAGATGATTTTTCCTCACATTTCAGGGCATCCTCACCGCCACATGCAGCAGGAGCCTCTCGGATGAATAAATACTGGGCTTCTGGGGCGACCATTTCCCTGCGCTTCACTTTTTCTTCTACTGACCACTCAGCTCCATATGGCTTCTCCATATTAATCTAGAAAGGTGGATTATTAAATCTAGTGTAATATCAACGTAGCTAACCGAGAATCATGCTCTTTCCTCACTTCCATGGGTGAAAATAAAGTAAGCTGTAAAATCGTAGCAGCCTTATACCTTGAGAAGAGCCTGAATGTATTGTTTCATGGGAGTAGATAGTCGGGATCCATATCCAGACTCGAGGTACACCGCAAGGTCTGCCACCAGCTCGGGATTAGGCAACATATATAGAAATGTAGGAAGAAAAGTGATAACAAAATCCCTGATCAGAATTAGAAAAAATAAAAACACAGGAAACTGAAGTTAACAACTTGCCAAGCTTTTGCTGATTTACCCAGGTAAGTACAGGACAAGAGACCAATGCGATTGAAAGAAAATATTTATGTATAAAGATGCTTCACTACAATCATTGACGAAACTGGAAACGGAGAGGGAAACAAAGTGGATGCATCCAACATTAGATAAGTTGATGCCCAAATTTCCAGTATTTGAGAGTTACCGTTTCTATCATATTGGCGGAATGGCAGAAATGGAGCCAAATGGTCCTTCACAGCAGATGCAGTTTTTATAACTTCGGTGATGGCCTTTTTTCTTTCAAGAACCTAATTCAAGATAGTTTGTATTCACATAATATGCTCCAAAATCTAATTATAAACAGAAAAAAATGAACCAAAAAGGCTTTAAAAAGCATAAAATAACAAGATAATCTTAAACACAATAATTGTAATGAATAAGTATAAGGACAGAAACGAAATAAGAAAAATTAACACAAATAACACGCACAAGCATCGCAAATCCTAACCTCCCAACCGTAATAATGATACCCTGTAAAACAATGCTGACATATATTTAGGTTTACTAATATTCACCAAGTCTGGTGCTCGAAATATAACATGTTTATCTGTAACAAGTTATCATAGATCTCTGCGTTCAAAATGGAAACGTCACCATAATATTTTATGAAATATCCTCAATGACACTGAGAAATCATCGATTTGCCGTGCTGAAGGCACTCAGGAGAACAAGTTTAATCTGAAAGATAACAGACCAGTTAATATATGAAGCAAAAACTTCAATGAATGGGCCACTCGGTAGGAGCATTGCCTGGTTCTGTCCTGCATTTGATATTGAACACATACTCGCGTGAGGAAATATTTAATTTTTTCCTTGGCTGCTAGGTTTTCGGGATTGATAAAAGGCAATGAATTCGAAACTCATTTTGTAACTTTGTTAATCTCCGAGTTACTGAAGCAGGCTCGAATGCCGACAAAATTTAAGCCAGTGGCCATTTATTTCTATCAATTCTCCGTAAGGTGAACCCCACAGTGGATGCTCCGTAGTCGTCTAATTTAACACGGTAGGCTAAGGAACCGATCGGACACACCGAAAAGTAGTCCGACGCAGGAAATAGATTCGGCGAAAGAAACCAGGAGATGCGGGGACATCAAAGTAAGAATTCAAGGAGGTCGCTCTCTCAACTTTCGGCGCTCATATAATCAGTGAACGAAATCATCTACACCGAAAATAATATCAAAAGAGCAGAGATTAGTATTGGACGAAGAAGATGCAGGAGGACGGTAGGATAGTCGGGAAGAGAGTCAGGAAACACAGACCTCCTTCCTCTTGATCTTCCTTCCCTTACTGCTGTCCGCCATCGCTCTCTCTCTTTCTCTCTCTCTCTCTCTCTCTCTCTCTCTCTCTCTCTCTTCCCTCCCCTCCCTCCCTCCCTCTTTATTTAAAGGGGGAAGCAGAGAATGAGGCCAGGCTCCCACAATTGGGCCGTTTCTCTAGATCGAGCCCAAATAATCCGTATGCCAATCAGCTTCTAAGAGTGCTAATGGACCGGGCCGGGCTTGGCCTGTCCGAGTCCAATCCCGGAAATCTCTGTTAAGACCCACCCTGGGCCAACACCCAACACCAGGCCCAGAAACTGGATTTTGGGCCTCATTTGAGCCGGAGGTTCTTAATACTTCTCCTACGCAAAGTCGTACTTATGATTACTGTAATATATACTTGGTCGGCCCATTTTCATGTCTTTACAAGGCTGGGCCCAGCAAGCCCATAGAAATGCCGCGAATAAGTGGGTCCCAGAGAAGATGCCACTTGGATGCTTGTAGAACTGCCAAGTGGCCGATGAGGAAAATAACTTCAAAAATAGGTCACTTACCTCGATTTGTAGACAGAGAATGCATAGCGAGAGAGAGAGAGAGAGAGAGAGAGAGTCCATTGGGATGACTGTGATGCCACGCGGCAGTCCACGTGGTGCCTCTCTTCAAACAGAGGCTCAATCAAGAAAGGTTTGAAGAGGGCATGAGAAGATAACTAAAGTTTTCAGGAGCCACGTGAGATTGATGTTATAAAATAATATTATACATATATATGTAATATTTTGGGAGTATCACGAATTAAATGTGGGAATGATTATTCCTAAGGCTATAAATGTGGCCACCAAATGGCGTCAATATCGTTCGAGGATAATGCATCAAATAATAGTGCTCTTATATTTTTAATAATATCATAATATTTTTATCAAGACTTGTAGTTTTATTATAAAAATTATAAGAGTTTATAGTTTTTCCTTTTTTAATGGAGGGGTTAAATACTAATATGTCGGTAATTTTTCGGGAGCTAGCAGTCCAAGTGTAGATGGGCTTCTTATCTCAAAGTCACAGAGAGAGCAAGAGAAGAAAGAGAGAGAGAGAGAGAGAGAGAGAGAGAGGGAGAGAGAGACGATACTAAGCGAGACAGAGAGAGGGCGGTGACGAAGGTGCGCCGCAAGGTGAATATTCCGAGGGGGCCCATGCTGTGTGGCCACATGTGAAGGCCGGCCATCGGGATTCCCAGGGGATCTGCTAGGCGGCGGCGGCGGTGGCGGAGGGGAGGGGAGGGGAGGCGCCGCCGGGCAGGGGGGCTTATAGCGTGCATCAGACGGAAGGAAGTGACATAGGCTCAGATTCATAGGAGAAAGGGGGGGAGGAATCGGTGGTAGTTGCTGTTGGGAAAAGGGGAGGGGATAGAGACGTCCACCATTGGGTTTTCTCGTTTGTTTGGTTCGCCATCCCCAATCCGCTAGTCAGCTTTTCCATCGACAGATCCGCGCGCCTCATTTGCGGGTCGCGGGGCCGATCTCATCGCGCTGCTGCTGCCGCTGACCGATGGGATCGCAGGAGGACGGCCGGCTGGCGCTGGAAGAGGAGGGACTCTTGGCGGTCTGTTTGCCGTTTAGTTTGTCCCCGTTTAATCCGCCGTTTGTCTGGTTTAATCGGATGCGGGGTGGAGATGGGGGATCTGGACGCGTTTTTTCCTGCTGCTTTCGATTTCCTTTTGATCTTTAAGGAGATTCTCCTGGAATGGTAGTGTTTTTTTCAATCTGTTGCTGGGTTCCATCTGCGACCTCCTTCTGGATTTCCGTTGTGCTATGACTTTGTGGAAAGTTCGTGAATGGAATCCGTAGAAATCGATCCGTAAGATCCGGTGAGTAGTTTTGATGTCTTGTTCAACGTATCTACTCTGCTGCGCCTGGAAATTTGGCCGTGAAACTCTTTCTCTGCCATTCCCAACTAGTTCTATGGAAGATGTGGTCCTGCAGCTGCTCACTTAGGGCAATTTTCCTTCATACAATCCGGGCATGACGGGCCTAATTGACCCTATTCCTGATCGATGTTTCTGAAACGCTCATGGTTTTGAAAGTATTGAAAGTATTAGGTAAATTTTTTTTGGACAGTGTTATTGTTGCTGAGAATTTTGCTAATAGGTAGAATCTTAGCAAAATCTTTGCGAAATTTTGAAGTTTTAGATTGAAAATGGGATGAAGGTTAAATTCCATGACAAGAGAGTCTGGGGGGCCATTGGGATGCCGCTCCCATATTCCATGATGGTTATTTGGGCAACTCTCCAAGGATTAAAAGAACAATGCATATTTAAATGTTTTAAGAGGAGACCCTTTGATTGTTCTTGATGCAGGTTGATTTTATACGAACATGCTCTTCCAGTTTCCATAGGCGGAAAATTTTCTATACCTGCTTTTGATTTTCTTCCAAGATTTGTGGAGAAGATGCCAAGATTGGCTCAGTTCAGTTTCCACTTCGGAGGCTTTGATCATCCTTCAGGGGATGCTCATATTGGGCAATTCTCTTATCTAGGACTTTAAATTTGTGCAGCTGTTCCTATTATAAGAGCCTCAGGTTTTCCCACTCCAATTCTAGCATGATATCAGTTTCGTCCCCTCAAGATGAACAGACCTCAATTTCGTATCATGAAACTAGATAAAAGAAGGATACATGGTACTTCTGACTAGAACGTGGGCCTAGTGAGGTATTTCAGCTCATCATCAAGTGCTTTCTTCCAGACCGGAGCAAAAGCATGGGTAATGCAATGGAGTATGTGATTGGGATAGCGTTTGGTAAATTTAACAGGACATACTATGTGATATCCTCACAAATATTTGGCACCTGCATTGTGCTGATATTGTGCGGTGAATATTGGTCGCCTGTCTTATAATTGCGGTTGAATACGGGTAGAACTTAGTTTTCTTCTTCAGAAAGATGAAGCTGATAGCTTATCTTCAAAGGGAGCTACATGCAAGCTGATTGATTTCTGTAACATGAAGGATTAGAACTAAATATTCTGCTGTGGACTAAGAATCCATCTCTCGAACTCTATTTTCCTAGATTTGGATAGGGCAGAAAGACAGGAGGAATTGTTAAAAAAAAATGTTGTGTTTGCTTTCCCACTAAAACTTTTTATTAATCTATTTTTCTTTCTTTTTCCTGGGTTATTAGAAAAATAAAATTTCCCTTTAAAAGACGTATTTATTTGAAGAATGGTTGTTCAGATATGACACAGACTAGGATCTGCAAACCTGAAGTTTATTGTCTACTTGAAAAGACACTGAATGTCTGTTTCCCATTGGGGCCATCTATCTTCAAAATTCGCGTAAAAATGTGTTTTTGGCGCTTCGCTTAGTTGCCTTGTGATTATTCAATTTGAAAGACAGAATAAAATATTTTTATATTTTAAATTTTATTTTTTTTTCAGGGAGAAGATAACAAAATATTATCGAAACCAAAGTCCCTGTTAGTCCTCCTTTCGGAATGTTCAGCAGCCCAAGACCTTTGCTCCTTCAGAATCTTTCTTGAATTATTCTTCAATTTGTCATCTACCTTGAATGCTCAAATTCCCTTTTCTTTCATTTATTTATTTGATTGTTGCTGCTGCGTTTTTTCCTATGTGGATGGACCTAATGACGCCCGCATTCTATGCAGGATGAGAGCAAAGGAGTATACACTGGAGATGGATCTGTCGACATCAACGGAAATAGAGTCCTGAGGAGCAGGACTGGTGGCTGGAAGGCATGCCCTTTCATACTAGGTACCACCATGACTGGAGTAAGATCAATCCAGGGGATCACCACCCACCTCTGAGAAAGATTGGAGATTACTAGATGAGCAAAAAATGGAGATTATTAGAAGATGATAAAAAAGATGGACTGTGACACCTTTTAATCTCAGGAACGGAATGCTGCGAGCGGCTGGCCTATTATGGGATTGCGACGAATCTGGTCACGTACTTGACGAAGAAGCTGCACGAAGGGAACGTCGCTGCTGCGAGGAATGTGACCACCTGGCAGGGAACCTGCTACATTGCTCCGCTGATCGGCGCCGTCCTGGCAGATGCCTACTGGGGGAGATACTGGACGATCGCCATCTTCTCCACCATCTACTTAATCGTGAGTTGCAGATGAATTATATTCCTTCTTGCTTGCTTTCTTCTTCCTAGATTTTACGTTCTAATTTCATTTCATGGAGGGGATGAGCTCATTGACTCTATTACTCACGATAAAGTAGATTACTCCCTCTTGCTTGCTCCATTCTGCTCAGATTTTACGTTCTAATTCCATTTCATGCAGGGGATGATGAGCACGTTGACTCTGTTACTCACGATGAAGTAGATTCCTTCTTGGTTGCTTGCTTGATTCTGCCCAGTTTACTATTTCCGACTCCCATCTCATGCAGGGGATGATGGGCACGTTGACTCTGTTACTCACGATGAAGTAGATTCCTTCTTGGTTGCTTGCTTGATTCTGCCCAGTTTACTATTTCCGACTCCCATCTCATGCAGGGGATGATGGGCACGTTGACTCTATTACTCACGATGAAGTAGATTCCTTCTTGGTTGCTTGCTTTCTTCAGCCCAAATTTACTGGTTCTGATTCTGATTCATGCAGGGGATGAGCACATTGACTCTGTCAGCGTCAGTTCCCGCTCTGAAGCCTCCTCCCTGCGTGGGGGACGTCTGCCCGGAAGCCTCGGTGGCCCAGTACGCCGTGTTCTTCGCGGGTCTGTACTTCATCGCCCTGGGGACCGGGGGTATCAAGCCCTGCGTGTCGTCCTTTGGAGCAGATCAGTTCGACGACACCGACCCAAAGGAGAGGGTGAGGAAGGGGTCCTTCTTCAACTGGTTCTACTTCTCCATCAACCTCGGAGCCCTCGTGTCGAGCAGCCTTCTGGTGTGGATCCAGGACAACATGGGCTGGGGATTAGGGTTTGGGATCCCCACCGTGTTCATGGCGGTGGCCATCGGGAGCTTCCTCTCCGGGAGCCCTCTGTACAGGTTCCAGAGTCCCGGGGGAAGCCCCCTCACGAGGGTCTCCCAGGTCCTCGTCGCCTCCCTGAGGAAGTGGAGAATCAGCTTGCCCAGTGACAGCTCCCTGCTCTTCGAGCTCCCCGATAAAGTTTCCGCCATCAGAGGCAGCCGGAAGCTGGAGCACACCCAAGAATTCCGGTAACTCTTTCTGGGTTTTCTTTGTCTCCGGTAAAGATCTGATGGTTCTCTTCTTCTTCTTTTTCTTCTTCTCCGGCGTGATCTTCGTCGCTGTTGCAGGTTTCTGGACAGAGCGGCGGCGAAGGTGGTGAAGGTGGCGGAGGAGGAGGAGGAGAGGCCGAATCCATGGCGGCTTTGCACGGTGACGCAGGTGGAGGAGCTGAAGATTCTGGTGAGGATGTTCCCGATCTGGGCAACGGGGATCGTCTTCAACGCGGTGTACGCGCAGATATCGACCATGTTCGTGGAGCAGGGGATGGTGATGCAGACGAAGATCTGGGGGTTCACGATTCCGCCGGCGTCGCTGTCGGTCTTCGACGTGGTCAGCGTCATCATCTGGGTTCCCTTCTACGACCGCGTGGTGGTGCCGGTGGCCCGGAGGTTCACCGGCAGAGAGAGGGGCTTCTCGGAGTTGCAGAGAATGGGAGTGGGGCTCTTCATCTCCATCCTGGCCATGGTGGCAGCGGCGGTGGTGGAGATCAAGCGGCTGGAGCTGGTAAAGGCGGAGGGGCTGGTGGAGACGGGGGCGGCGGCGCCGCTGAGCATCTTGTGGCAGATCCCACAGTACTTCCTCGTCGGCGCCGCCGAGGTCTTCACCTTCATCGGGCAGCTGGAGTTTTTTTACGACCAGTCGCCAGACGCCATGAGGAGCCTCTGCAGCGCCTACTCGCTGTTCGCCACCGCGCTGGGGAACTACCTGAGTTCCTTCATCCTCACCGTGGTGGCCACCCTCAGCGCCAGCAACGGCGCCGCCGGGTGGATACCGGACAACTTGAACGAGGGTCACCTGGATTACTTCTTCTGGCTGCTGGGCGGGCTCAGCTTCCTCAACCTCCTGGTCTACCTCTCCTGCGCCGCCAGGTACCAGTGCAAGAAGACCTCTTGAGCACCGCCGGCGGCGGCGGCGGCCCTTGTACAGGAAGAACAAGAACAATCTGTCTGAAATCGGCAAGGTCCTCTCCATGGCGTGCGTAGTCAAAGTCATAGAAGACTTGGTCCCCCCATCCCCCACGCTTTTTTTTTTCTTTTTTCCCCTTCTTTGGTTGGTGCGATGCCGAAACATTTGGAGCCCAGTTCACGGTGGAATAACAACACTTTTGGGAGTCAACGGCTTATCGGACTTTGCTAGGTCAACGACGAAACCCCTGGTCAGGAAGAGTATGCAAGACGGTCTGATCAGGACCTCCTGACCGCGGGCGGCGGCATCTGCACAGGAAGAACAGCAGCAGCTCTGAGCTCTGCAAGGTTGTCTCCACGGCTAGCGGAATCAAAGTCATAGATAGAAGATTCGGTTCCCTCACCCGACGTTTTTCTTTTTTTTTCTCTCTTTTCCTAATCAGGAGTCAACGCCGAAACTCCTGATTAGGAAGATTATGCATGGCTTCTATTACAAGGGTCCACGCGTCGAGCAGGCCCACTTATTGACACGTCTATGACACATGGCTCAAGGATCTCGGGGGCAAAGATTGATATATCTCTCTAGGTCGCCGGAAACCTAGAGAGAGAGACAGAGAGAGAGACTGCATTTGGGCTGCAACCGAAAGGGGAGAAGATGGTGGTGACCACGATGGCGGCCGACCCCGGCGAGTCGCTCTACTCGACCTTCGCCTCCAGATATGTCCAGACTCCCCTCCCCAGGTCTCTCTCCCTCTCTCTATCTCTCTCTTTACTGTGTCATCTCTTTCTCTCTCTACTGTATCGTCTCTGTATCTCTATTGTGTGGAGGGTGGCAGGTTTAAGATGCCGGAGACGGCGATACCGAGGGAGGCGGCGTTCCAGATAATCAGCGACGAGCTGATGCTGGACGGGAACCCGAGACTGAACCTGGCATCGTTCGTGACGACGTGGATGGAGCCGGAGTGCGACCGCCTCGTCATGGCCTCCATCAACAAGAACTACGTCGACATGGACGAGTACCCCGTTACCACCGAGCTCCAGGTCAGCCCCCAAGCGAGAGAGAGAGAGAGAGAGAGAGAGAGAGAGAGAGAGAGAGAGAGAGAGAGAGAGAGAGAGAGAGGGTTGATGCGGGTTGTTCATGTAACAGAACCGCTGCGTGAACATGATCGCGCACCTGTTCCACGCGCCGATCGGGGAGGAGGAGGCGGCGGTGGGCGTGGGGACGGTGGGCTCGTCGGAGGCTATCATGTTGGCGGGGCTGGCCTTCAAGACCAAGTGGCAGAAGAAGAGGAAGGCCCAGGGGAAGCCCTTCCACAGCCCCAACATCGTCACCGGCGCCAACGTCCAGGTATACAGTACGAATAAATACATATTATCCATCGTCATGTGTGTGTGCGTGCATAAAATATATAGGGGAGAAGAGAGAGAGAGAGAGAGAGAGAGAGAGAGAGAGAGAGAGAGAGAGAGAGAGAGAGAGAGAGAGAGAGAGAGAGTCTCTTTTGTTCTTCAGAAAAAAAGGTATTGTGTTTTGGTGCTAATTACCCACTACTGGGGGTGTTAGGGCGAGTCAAAGATGCATCCTTATTCCAGGTTAGGCCAAATGGTCTACCTTATGTGAAATGATGGTTCCTTTCTACCGTTTCACTTGGTAGTGATGAAACCTGGGCGTATGCCAAATGTGTACATTTTTCAAAAATGGGTACTTTCTACTGTTTATTCGGTGGCGACGTCCTGTAGGTCTAAGTCAAACTTGTACATTTATCATAAATGTGTACTTTCTGCTATTTATTCGATGACATTGACTGGTAGGTTAAGGCAAAGATATACGTTTCCATAAATGGGTACTGTCTGCGTTTATTCGGTGGCAATGACCGGTAGGTTAAGTCAAAGGTGTACATTTTTCGAAAAAGGATACTTTCTCCTGTTTATTCGGTGATGACGTCCTGTAGGTTTAAGTCAAACTTGTACATTTACCATAAATGAGTACTTTCTACTGTTTATTCGGTGGCAACGTCCGATAGGCGTAAGTCAAACTTGTACATTCTTCAAAGTTGGGTACTTTCTACTGTTTATTCGATGGCAACGTTCGCTAAGTGTAAGTCAAAGGTGTACAATTTTAAAAAATGGGTACTTCCTTTGTAGTACAGTGGTAACATCAGGTGGGTGTAAGTCAAAGGCGTATATTCTTCAAAAATGGGTAATGAACTAGGTAAATGCTTCTCTCTCTACTGCTTATTATCTAATAAGTCGGAGGTGGGTAATTAACTAGCAGTGGCAGCAGTTGGGTAGGTCAAACCTGTGCAATTAATAGAAAAGGCACGTTTTCCTTTTGGATGTTAATTAGTTACCTACTGCCTTGGGGTGGGTAGGTCTGCTGGGAGAAGTTCGCTCGGTACTTCGAGGTAGAGCTGAAGGAGGTGAAGTTGCGGGACGATTTCTACGTGATGGACCCGGTTAAGGCGGTGGAGATGGTGGATGAGAACACCATATGCGTCGCAACCATCCTCGGGTCAACCCTCACTGGAGAGTTCGAGGACGTCCGCCTCCTCAACCAGCTCCTCTCCGACAAGAACAAGGAGACCGGGTAAGCGGCCGCGCTTTCAATCCCATCACAATTTTTATTTCTCGTGTTACTCTCTTTTCTTGGGTTTCTTCTCCTCTTTTGCCCTCTGTATAATGTGTGTGTGTGTGTGTGTGTGTGTGAGAGAGAGAGAGAGAGAGAGAGAGAGAGAGAGAGAGAGTCTCTCTACCTCGCTCGCCTTCTCTGATGCACGAAAACAGGAAGGCGAGGTGTTCCCTCGAAATGCGGACATTTAAGACCCAGTTTTTTGGAAAGTCAAAGCGTTGAATCCGACATTCACTTGGTGTCGGCGGCGCAGGTGGGACACGCCCATCCACGTTGATGCGGCCAGCGGTGGCTTCATTGCCCCCTTCATATATCCGGAGCTGGAGTGGGACTTCCGGTTGCCACTGGTGAAGAGCATCAACGTCAGCGGCCACAAGTACGGACTGGTCTACGCCGGCGTGGGCTGGGCGATTTGGAGGAGCAAAGAGGACCTGCCGGAGGAGCTCATCTTCCATATCAACTATCTGGGCTCCGACCAGCCCACCTTCACCCTCAATTTCTCTCGAGGTAGCGGATTCTAGCGCTGACCCCCCAGATTTTTCCATTTTTGCCATCTGGGTTTGGAAGAAGACGGCGCCATTGGACTCCTGATCTCTTTGAAGTTCTGATTTTTTATGCAAGGCTCGAGCCAGATAATCGCTCAGTACTATCAGTTCATACGGCTGGGGTTCGAGGTAACTTCCCCGCCTCCTGCCTTCTTCTTCCTCTCTCTGATAAGGCTTATCCCCTTCTTCTTCCCCCTCCTACAAATTGCTTCCAGGAATCCCAAAGATTTCCTGTGTTCTTCATCTTCTTCTTATTCCTCACCAACCTCCCCTTCTACCCAGTCAAAGTTCCCGACGATTCCTCACCTCTCTCTCTCTCTCTCTCTCCCTCTCACGCCCTAACACACCTTCTTCCTCTTCTTTTTCTTCGTCTTCGTCTTCTTCTTCTTCTTGTTCTTCGTCTTCTTCCTGTTCTTTGTCTTCTTCTTCTTGTTCTTCGTCTTCTTCCTGTTCTTTGTCTTCTTCTTCTTGTTCTTCGTCTTCTTCTTTTTCTTTGTCTTCTTGTTCTTGTTCTTCGTCTTCTTCTTCTTCCGTCTCTTCCTCTGACAAGAAAAGCGCAAGGCTTATCCCCTTCTTTATCCCCCTCCTACAAGATTCCTTCGAGGTTCCTTGTATTCTTCTTTTGCTTCTTCTTCTTCCTCACCAATCTCTCCTTCTACCTACTCAAACCTCCCCATGATTCCTCATCATCTCTCTCTCTCTCGTCCTAACACACGTTCTTCTTCTTCTTCTTCTTCCTCCTCTTCGTCTTCTTCTTCTTCAGGGTTACAGGAACGTCATAGAGAACTGCATGAAGAACACGAGGGCCCTGAGGGACGGCATAGCGGGGACGGGAAGATTCACCATCCTCTCCAAGGATGTGGGCGTTCCGGTGGTGGCCTTCTCCCTCGTCGACGCCGGCAAGTACACCGTCTTCGACGTCTCCGAGAGCCTCCGCCGCTTCGGCTGGATCGTCCCTGCCTACACCATGCCGCCGGCCGCCGGCCACATAGCCGTCCTCCGTGTTGTCATCAGAGAAGACTTCAGCCGGGGCCTCGCAGAGCGCCTCGTCTCCCACCTCTGCAAGGTGCTGGCGGAGCTCGACGCCCTCCCCGGCCGCACGGCGGCGGCCGCTCATCTCGCCGCCGCCGACGCCGGCAAGGCGGCGGCGGAGGAGGAGGAGATCGCGACGTTCTGGAGGAGGTTGGCCGACCGTAGGAAGACCAGCGGCGTCTGCTAGGTTCCTCGGCGGCGGCGGCGGCGGAGGAGATCGCGACCTTTTTGATGTAGGGGTTGACCGTTGGCTAGGTTCCTCTTTGAATCCTTTTCCGATAATCTATTCTCCGGGGTCTCTCCCGTACGAGGAAAGTCATTCCCAGAATCCCCGTTGACGGTATCAGAAAAAGGCCGCGTGGGTTTATCGAGAGTCCGTCTCGGATTGGGGAAGAACTTTTGTGATAGTAGATTCTCCGAAACTATTCCAGAGATGCATTCTCATTCCCGGAATCGGTTTCCTATGCAAAAGGTAACATCGACGACGGAAAAATTGAGAGAGGTCTTCTCGTGGCTTCTTAAAAATGACTCATTTACATTATACTTCATTCCTAGAATCCATTTTGTGACGTCCACGTCTGGAAGGCTTAACTTTAGCCCTCGTTGATGTCCAAAGTGAACGAACCACGGTCTTGTCTGGCCGAGGACCAAAATCTACGGATTGTCCTCTTCCTTCCTCCCCCCTCCCTCCTCGCGACCCAGCCGCCAATGGTTTCACCAGGGGTAAGTCTTGAAGCCTTTCATAATCTAAGTCGCCCATTTTTGATTGGCACCCTTAACTTCCAGCACCAGAACTCCTCTCTGGTTTAGGTGATCTCTAGACTTCTTACATTTCTTCCGTATTCCAATCTCTTTTTTAGGGGAATTGCTGAACTGGGTGATGCCGTTGAATCTGTCGGGACCTGTTCCATTGTGGGTCTCTTTGTTTAGTCTAATAATATAAATAAATAATAAAAATAAATAATAAAAATACATAATAAAAATACATAATAAAAATAAATAATAAAAATAAATAATAAAAATAAATAATAAAAATAAATAATAAAAATACATAATAAAAATACATAATAAAAATACATAATAAAAATACATAATAAAAATACATAATAAAAATAAATAATAAAAATACATAATAAAAATACATAATAAAAATAAATAATAAAAATACATAATAAAAATACATAATAAAAATAAATAATAAAAATACATAATAAAAATACATAATAAAAATAAGAGAAGAAATTCGAAGGTAAGAATGGATAAATGAAGATTCGCACGTAATTTGCTAACCATGTTTCCTTGGTGCCAAGTGGCTTGATTTTCATAGAGTTCACTGTTTAATGAGTCTCTGCAGCTTGATTAACCTCTTGATACAGAGAAATAAAAATCAAAATAAAGTTTATTTTTAGAGGAAAGATAAATCTGAGTATATTTATCAAAAAAATCGACATATGTAATAGGAAACTGACCAACTAAGAGGGAAACTCCTAAATATGCATCCCCTTTCCCAATATCATTGTTCTATATTAGTTTCGGGGTATGTCTTTTATATATTTTCAAACCTATGCTGGTCAGGTATGCTCTCTTATCCTCACTGTCCATGGATCTAACCAGAAAGTTTCTTTCTTTTTCTAAGACAATTGATCCAGCAACTTTTAGGAGTCCCTGCAGCCTGATATGCCATGCTTAGTATTTTGATTTGCTTGTACTGTGTCATAAAACTCAGATTTGTGCCACTAATTATGAGACAGTCTGCTTATTCCTATTATGTGCTTCGTCAGCATAGTCTGGACTGATGTTCCTTTCCAGTTTTCCGGATTTCTGATTTCCTCTCTAGCTGCTATGAAATGATGATGTCTTGGTACTTAGCTGATTGCCTATCATTATTAATCATTCTTGTGGTTGATGATTTAATTCTTCTTTGAGTTTTCTTCCTCAGTTTCTCTGGGATATTATCTTCGTTTCTGACTTTATTTTATATTTTAACAGGATTATAGGTGCATTTCCTACGATTGGTCTTTTGCAATAGTAATTGCAGCTGTTAGAACTGTGACAGACATTATCTACCTGCTGCACATTCTTCTTCAGGTAAGCCAAGGCACTTTTCACACTCAGTCGGTTTCTGATATTTTCTGGCTTACGATCCACTCCAGACATTTTTTTCATTCCTTTAACTGAAAATCACAGACGTCTGTTCTACATACCCAAAACTGCGTTCATACAAGAGCTCCCCAATTGAACTAGACCCAGTAATTTCATCTCATGTCTTCCTAGATTTTCTGTGGTAGATGTCGAAGTCTCCAGTTGACTTTTTGTTGACTGAAGTTCGACTCTCAGATTTTCATGTCCTGGTTACATTCCTGCAGTGAAGCCTCGAGCTTTAAACTTTTCTTCTTTGCAACACTCAGCGCTAATAATGGAGCCTTAAATCTCATCATAAGCCTTAACAAATTCACGTCTGTTTGCCACCACCATCTGCATTTCGGGCTCCAATTCTAACTTTTTTATTGATAGCTCCTCATTTCTTTTGAAATGAGACGCTTCAGTCTTTTTCTGCAGCTCAACCTCATCAAGGGCATTTTGGAGCTTCAGCAATATGTCTTCTCCATGTCTTTTGGATATATGTAACTGACTCTGCAGCTCTTGCACCTTTGTTTCACATTGCTCCTTGATAAAAACAACTCTTAATGACTCTAGGATTGCACCAGAAGTAGCTTCACTGTCTCTTTTTCTCGGATTGGATTGGTCTCTGCATCTGCCTTATCTTTCAGTTCTTTCAGGCGGTTAGACAGATTCTTAAATTCTTCCGTCTTCAAAATTTGCTCAGAAAGCCTGTGTATAAGGTCTTTCTGCTGATCCTGGATGTTAATCGATTCACTGCGAGATTCCGGCGAAAGAATAATCTGTTCTTGTTGCTCACATAATTTTGACCTCAAGATGAACCCTAGAAAATGAGAGGTTAATGGGAGATTATAATCGTTGAAGTCTGATTTAGAACTTTAGGAACATGGCACCTATCCATTGGATTCAACTTATGAAAGGACCGTTACGTCAGACAAAGTTGATGACGTAAAAGTAGATGGACCCAAGTTGGGAATTGATGATTATGCTGAAATGAATTATTTCCAAACAGAGCTTAAGCAATTTAAGTTGCTTCTTGATTTTGAAGAAGAGGTGGAGCATGTAAGGTCTTCACTTAATATATATTTTCGCTTGCTTAAATTTGATTTGATTTAATACGTGTTGATGTCGTACTCAGGACATCTCACATAAAAGTTCTTCGCGGGCACATGGATGACATGTCTCTGAAACGTTGGGTGCAGTTCAGGTTGGCATATGTAGCTCCCGAATTGAGGGTTGTTGGAACTGGAGACTTTGTTGTTGAACCGAAAAAGGTTGCTATCCATTATCTTCGTGGCTACTTCCTCCTCGACTGTTTTGTTGCTCTACCACTTCCCCAGGTATTATTTTCGATCTCAATTATCTAATTTATTAAAAATGATTGTTTTGGATTTCGTTCATTTATCATCAACAAGGCCTTATCCTATGATGCCTCTAACCATGAGTCTTTCTGTTTTTCCATCAGGGAGAGGAGTTAATGCTTGTTTTTCCTGTTTTAGAAAGAATTTTATTTCCAAAGGTCATAAAGGCAGATCTAAAATCTTCCTTGTATAGATTTCATAGTTGGCAGATTGTAAAATTTAGATAGTCATAATTTCACTTTCTCCTTGCTGTCTTTATTTGTGAAGTTAAGCATGAGTTTTAATTGATTTAAGAGTTTAAACATCTTCCAATAATTGAATTTTCATAAACGATAGATTTAAAATTTTAACTGTAGTTTTCTCTTTTTCTCCTTGAGGTTTCCACGTGCTAAGTTTTAATATGCATCTAAATATCTTCCCATAGTTCAGTATTATAAAGATTATAATTTAATTTTCTTCTTCTTTTCTTGTAAGTGAATCCTTACTATTTTCAATCTCTCGCTTAATCCAATAAATAAATGTAAATAAATAATAATAAAAAAGTGTAACAATCCCTATTGTAGGCTTGGGTGGTGGGAGGAGAGAGAGGGAGATAAGGTGGGAGAAGGGAATCTAGAACTGGACCTGTCCTGGATGCTTCAGTTGTTCTAGTCTTGGCTATAAAATTTAGTTGTTTGAAGAGGAGATAAAGAAGTTACAATGGAGCAAGTAGATAAATTCTTAGCATTTTTGCGAGTAAAACCAGTTCATATTTAACCATAGAAAAGTGTGCTCTTTTTTCTTCATGAAGGTCATGATATTGCTGGTTATACCAGCGTACTTGGGAGCATCAGCTGCTAATTTTGCCAAAAATCTGTTGCGGGCCACAGTTCTTCTTCAGTATATACCGAGGATCTTTAGAGTTCTACCTTTGATTGCTGGAGGGTCTTCGAGTGGATTCATTTTTGAAACTGCGTGGGCAAATTTCGTTATTAGTCTGCTAATGTTTGTGTTAGCTGGTCATGTTGTGGGTTCGTGCTGGTACCTCTTTGGCTTACAGGTATGCATCAATGATATAGCCACTTGTACCTTGTTTTATGGATATCCATAATGTTATTTCCCTTGTAATATTCCTTTGTTGAACTTCGTTTCACATTCCGTCCTGTTGTTTTGACTTCAAATTTATGACTTGGCATGGTTGGCTTTACAAGCAGTAAACTTATGACTTTCTCATTTATCCCAAGGACATTCGTATGGTCTATAATTCGTTATTATGTAACTCCTGAAAATTATTTAGGTTGTGTATGATCTATACTTGTTCATGAAAAGGACTTTGTTGCTCTTTATGTCAAATCCTGTCGATTTATTTTGTAAAGATTCATCTGTGGAGTTGAGACTGAAAAACGTGGGCTTTTCTGGACTCGCGTTTGTGTACTTGAATTGAGATTCTCTGCGCTTAAATCGTATTTCAATTGAGTTGATGCTTTGGAATTTTGAATAAAGAGAAAGGATCAGGAAGGTTCACTTACCGACTGTATCGGAGATGCAGTGATAGTCTTGCTGGATGATAGTTTAAAAGGAACTCTTCCGGGATTGGTTTGTCTGGTTAGAGAAATGGTTTTGAATCTTGTAATAGGTCATTGCATGATGAAGAGAAGTCCTTCTCCAGAATAAAAAGAACAATGCGAATACAAAATGCTATATCTTCAGGTGAAGAACTGTTTGGCCAGGTTATATTCCACCACTCCATGCACGATCATGCTCGACATAGGTATATAATTCTGCATTTTTGTTCATAACTTTCAAAATACGAGGCCACTTTGTCAATGAAACTCAAAAATAAAAGAGGAGAAGAATTTTGGTCGAGAAACATGCTTGTAGAAGGAACTGACTTCGTATCTGCTGATTTGTTCTATGGTATGGTAATGAAATTCGCCTGCATGCTGTCTCCCAGAGGAATGGGGCAACCCAAGTCAGGATTTAAGACAAGAGCTGGGTCAAGATGAGTAGGAGAGGAGATGAAGCAGATCCAGGGCTCATTTAGATCATGTGGTTATTGATGAGTGTATTAGATGTCTCTAGAAAACGGCTTTTGATATAGACGGTTTGGGAATGTGGTCAGATGTGGGTTTCATGGAGGGCCAGGACGTAGACGTAGATGCTGCCAGACGCCTGGAATTTATGTATGTACGTTTGCAATCGGGCAAGAATAATGCTTCTTAATTTTTAAAAATTTGGGTGAAAACATTTTTCTCAAAAATAATGGGGGACTAGTAGTCCCAAATCAATAAAAAAAACCTATCTTTTATGTGCTAGAAAGCTTATTGTTTTGAACTGTCGAATGCTGGAAATTAGCATGTCGAAGATTTCGACATTTGAAAAAGAAACTGATGGGCCTGAATGATGTGGATTTATTGGCAATGAATGCGGTGACTCTTTTGACATGGAATTGATATTGTGATCGGCTATGTTTTTGATTGGGCTATTTTCTGATTTTATCAAGGTGGATGATGAACCCTTGCATACTGAACGTGGCGCAGGCAGCTAACACAACAAAAGCTTATCCACATTTTTTTTTCTTTCACTACTAAATTTTACTTTTAAAATATTGAAGATTTGAAATTACCAAAAATCTTACTGGCAACTGAATAATGGGGCATGGGTCGATGATGATGGTGATGTTGAACAAGTTAGTGTGGAGTTACTTGACTAAATGATGATGATGCCAGTATTTATTGCGGCGTCTATAAAACAGAGAAGTAGCTAGTTTTTGCGTGTCGATCTTGTGCATTTTAATTAGCACCCGTCTTTTTGCATGGTTCTCTTGTGATCACAAAAAATACTTATGCATGTCATTAAGTCATAGTTCCTCGTAATTATCTGAGATCATTTGTATATGTATGTGATATCTTATGCTCTTTAACAACGCCATGATGATTACATAACCTCATGCTTGGAGCATAATACTCATTTAAAAATTTTCCTTTTTCTTCTGACCTGCAGCGTGTAAATCAATGTTTACGAGATGCCTGCTCTGCTTCTAAAAAAAAAAACTGTAAAGTGTTCTTGGATTGTGGACGTGGGCCAAAATATAATAATTTTACTGATAATCCTGACTGGGAAATCTGGAAAAAAGATGGCGATGCTTCATCATGTTTGTCTAACAATGGCACTTTCAGTTATGGCATTTATGAGCATGCTGCTTTCATCGCAAAACGAGATAGTATCGTTGTCCGATACATCTATTCATTATTTTGGGGATTCCAGGTACTCTTTTACCCTTTCATTTGCCATAGTGTATGATTTATTTTATCTTGCACTCTCTGAGTTATTATCCATAGAATGTTTAAGAAGGATATCCCATGAAATATCGGGTAGAATGGAAATTTGCCATTCTAGCTATTTGTTTCCTTGTAATTTTTTTTCCTCATTTATTTATTTATTTATTTGGGTATAAATGTATCCCACACTTAAGATCCAAATATATTTTTATGTTATTGCTTTCTTTTTATACAGATTCGCTTTCCTTAGTTTGTTTATTGTTAAGGCTATGTAAAGGGGCTCTGAAATCCCCCAGGGGCCGAGCATTACAATTTATTCATGTTCTTCTGTTCTCTTCTCCTCCTCTCTCGTCTCATATTGTCAGTGAATATATAAGACGATGACGAGGATAGTGAAGAGTGATATTCTAACCTCAGAATAGAAGTTGAAATTGTGCCAGAAGATACTAAAGTGTCGCAATAGAAGTTGACGTACCATTGTGGTGATTTTGGAAGGAGCACCTTTTTACTCTAATCCTGTCTCTGTAACATATACCAGCTAGAGTGTTTGGACTTGCGTCTTTCTATTGCTGGTTCATGTGGTCAATGTGATTCTTATAATGTGGTCATTGGCGTGTACGTTGATGGATGTTGAAAAGAATTCAGTCAATGCCGTGTAAACATGGGAGTCAATCCCCAACTCTCTCTAGCTTTGTCCTGTTCATTAATTCGGGAGCACTCTCTCTCGTCAAACAATGTGAGCATCAAAGGTGGAGTGCAAGTTTTGAAGGCCATAGTTGACAGAGCGATCAAATAAATCGTTTTTATAGGCTGCCATCCGTTCAATGTTTTGCTCCCATCATCTGTCAGAGGTACCGTTGACTGAGTTAGTTGGGTGCGAGACTGATGTGATGGGGCATTCGTCTGTTTTGCTCTGCTTTGAGAATTTTGGGACTAGATTTCTAGTCCTGGCTTGAGTTTCAGAGCCTAGCGCAGACACCAATTCTTTATTATGAGGCATCACTTGTTGATCGGTGGAGGAAAACTTGTATTTTTCGAGTGGTATCATTCATTTGATATGACATGGCATATCCAATTGGTGTTTGTCCTCTTAGGTGGTCTGAATAAATTTTAATATAGTTTGACTGCTTTTAATCTAACTTGATTGGCATACTGGAACCCTTACTTGATTCACATCAGGTAGTTATCTTCTAAACTACTAAGCTAAAGAATATAGCATTTAAATTTAAAACTGACTTAAGAGGATTTCGTAAATGAGCATGTGAACTTGTAGAACTTTTTGATGTCTTTCTTTTAATTAGGATTAAATATTGATGAGTTCTACTATTAAAATAAATACATACAAATATCAAATTACATTAGGAATCAGGTCAAATTACATTAGGAATGGTTCACTGGACCATTATCTGAAAGTCTTTTTTTTTTGTATGTCTTCTTTTTTGCAAGAGTTTCCATATAAGTACATTTTTTAGTTCTAGATGTTAGTCTTAACAAGGTTTAGGCCTGCTTATCTTAATCTTGACCCTCGATTTTTTTCTTCATCACTTTTTAGTATCTCATGAAATCACTCGCTCACATTAGATTTTGATGCTTTACTGCAGCAAATCAGTACCCTCGCTGGAAACCAAGTTCCTAGTGATTTTGTGGGGGAAGTACTGTTTACAATGGGAATCATCGGGCTTGGATTGTTACTTTTTGCCCTACTCATCGGAAATATGCAAAATTTCCTCCAATCACTTGGAAAGAGGTGAAAAAATTATCTGTTTTGGTCTTCTATCCTACAACTTCTCTGTGAACAAATTTTGCTATGTTTGAAGTGTTTTCCATCAATGTTGAATATGAAGTCAATATTGACAATAAGTTACTGTTTCGTTCAAATATCTGATTTCTTCTAATCAGACGGTCAATTATTATGTTTTTAATGCGATGAGTCCTTTATTTTTTCAATGATTTGGAATAATTTTTTTCTTTTTTATTAAAAAAATAGCATTCTACGAACCATCCAAGTGCAATGGTCGTTGTCTATGTTTTGTTGCCAGAAAATGCTATGATTCTTGATTCTACCTATGATTCGGAAGTTGTTACTCTTTCCAGTGCCCAGAATTATTTGGCTAATGTCTGGTGAAGCAATTATCCTAAAATTAACCTAGGAAGGTGCCTCCCACGAGAGAACCCCCACTGATGAACCTGATAGGCCACTAGATGTTCTGAATGGGGCTACCAATGCGGCCCTGCAAAGAGACACTCACTGGTAACCTCCCAAGACCGTTTGCAGTCTCTGTAGGGTAGGTGTCAGGTCACCATGGTGGTCACCATGGTGGCTCCCAAAGAACTTAAAGCATCCACCCGCTGTCAGGTCGCTATTGGCCTGTAAGGGTAGGTGTGAGGTGGCCAGCAGAAGGGTATCCTCCTCCATAAGGAGAGATAAAGACCAAAAATCCCAAGATCCCTATGAATAGAGAGGGACTTTTATTCACGACAGGAAAGAAAATATAGAGAATTACATGGGGATTTATGGAATGCATGAGAGCATAAGTCTTTATAGACGTCCATGTAGGTAAATAAAGACCACATCCAGAAATGTAAAACTAGGTTGCCGGCCTTTGCTAGTTATTTTTTCCTGACACATGGATAGTATCGTTTAGGCTTGGAAGCATGTTGATGTAATAAGTCTAGTTGTGACTATGTTCATCCCTTTATATGTGCATTATTTTCCCAGAATCACGAATGAACATCCTGGTAGAATTTAGATTCCAGAATTCTCTAGTTCCCTGAGATTTGAGTGACTAAAAAGCCCAGGTCTGGCTCATGAAATAAGTACCTAGATGAAAATGAATTGAGACAGGTATACTGTGGTCACTTTCTGGAGTAGGTTTTTTTCTTGAGTCGTACTATGAACAATTAATTATTTGCATTTGATTATAGAGATACTACTTTGAGCATAATTTTTCGTCAGGTGACAATTGTATCTGACTGGCGACGTAATTATCTTATTATAGGAGACTAGAGATGCAACTAAGAAGGCGTGATGTTGAGCAATGGATGTCCCATCGTCGGTTGCCTGGAGACTTGAGGAGGTACACCACAACAAGCTCTATTGTTTTAAACTTCATATGTTCACCCATGATTCTCTATTTTATGGCACGTGAAAATAGTGAGATCTTAGTTTGAATGTTGATTCTATGCCTGAATCGCTTTAGCATTTGCAAATGATAAGTTACAGGACCCACTCTGTTTCATTGAACAGCCATGGAATAGGAGGCTGTGGCTATGAAGTGTGAAGGCTGTCTGGCTGTAGATACAGCAAGAGGAAGAGGAGGAAGGAAAGAAAATAATAAAGAAACTATGAAGAATGGTTGCTGGAGCAGGGGCAATTAACTCTCCCGAAAACCAAAATTCTTGTTTCCCTATCTTCAACACTATGGTTTTTGATAGAATTCACTTCCTCTTAAAAATCGATTTGGCTGAAATTTAAAAATGAATGATGAAAAATGAGATTCTATTAAGGAAAAAGTGACATTCAGAGCATTCTGAAAACCTCTCAGTTTACAGTTTCCATCATTTGACATGAAAAAGGAGAAATCAGTGGAAAGAAAGCAACTTTGTTTTTTTCTTTACTGTTTCCTATATCTGCTCTGTAAGAACCAATTGCATATCTTTTATGATAGTGAAGTGAACTTTTTAAAGCACAAAAAATAGTTAGACTTGAGCTACCCTTTGGGTTTTCTCTTTTCTTTGTGGTCTGCATTGTCTGTTGTTCCTTTTATTTGACTGTTTATATAATAGTGACACGCCGCCCTAAAAAATATAGATGAATTTTCTCTTTATTTAGATATCAGTCATGCAAGGAATTCATGCATCCTTCTTTTGTTTTTTTTAACCCGTTCTCCTTTGACTGCATGATAATATAGTAAAGTAAAGCAATCTGAGAGATTTTGTTGGGCTTCCACTCGTGGTGTAAATGAAGAGGAGCTCCTGAAGAGTTTGCCAGAGAATCTGCAGTGTGATATCAGACGCCATCTTTTTGGATTTCTAGAGAAAGTAAGCTCCAATGAGATGATTTATTTAGTTTACTAGCATTTGGATACCTCCTTGTGAATTCCCTTTCCGAAAAAGTGGTCGGGTTTGTGAGATTGAGCGGTATCATCGGCTTCTCCACCCAATTGGAAACATGAAGAGTCGTGAACCAAAACCAGAATACACTCAGCAGGCTCAAAATGTGTATCTATGCTCCATGTTATAAAAAACACCAGTTACATAATGCTCCCTATAAACTCTTGTTTTTTGATTTTCTATTTTTTTTTTTGTAGAGGAGCTAATTTCACTTGGCTTGCAGGTTTCGATATTTAGCGTAATGGATGAACCCATCCTAGATGCTTTTCGTGGGATATTGAGACAAGAGTTATACATGGCTGAAAGCTATGCTCAAAACAAAGGTGGGCCAATCGAGAAGATGGTGTTCATAGTGCGAGGACAAATGGAGAGTATTGGGTCCGATGGAAATGCCCACCATCTGTCTGAGGGTGATGTCTGTGGTGAAGAACTCCTCGCTTGGCATCTTGAAAACTCCTCTTTAAACGGTGGGTTTTCTAATCTGGACTCCGCTCATCGCATCCATGGAGCTTGTAATTGGTTTCTATCTTCAGGCTCTTCTCCCTGATGTAATCAAAATTACATTAAAAGTCTGTTTTCCTTGAATGTTACTAATCTCTTCACACAATTGCTTCTTTACAATGTTTTAAAAATTGGTGTCCCAATCTTGGTTTTCTTCATCACATTCTTGGACGATATGATATACTGATGCCCATGTGAAATTACAGTGGTGACTGCCTCTCTATTTCCATAGTCTTCCCCCTGCTGTAATAATTTCTTTTTTAAAAGTGATTTTTTCTATAATTCGATTAATTTCATCGAATGATTGCTTCTTGTTTTTTTTTGCCCAGAGAGGGAGAAAATCCAAGGCCCAAAGCTGAGACTATTCTCCAACAGGGACGTCAGGTGCATCACCAATGTTGAAGCCTTCATATTTCAATCCTCCGATCTGGTTGATGTCACCATAAACTTTGAAAGGTTCTTGCGGAACCCACGTGTTCAAGCAGCCATCAGGTGATTCAAATCCTATCTCTTCCCCTTCATATATGAACTCTCCATACAAAATCATATTCTTGTTTAGTCGCATTGCAAGACTAAGTCTGCAACATTGAATGGCCGGGTGGATGATACCTGTCAGACCCTATGACTACGTGAGTTTGCACATTGTCAGACTATGCTTCTTCATTGATCCCACCGTTTAATTTTTTTTCCTAGACTAGAATAAATGGGTTATCTGTAGGGTCCTCTTCCCATTAGTTTTCCATTTTGGGTCATAGATGACTGCAATCCCTTGACCACCAACACCTGGGCATCCAACTACTTGCCAAGCTCAACTTGTGGAAATAAAGGGTCCGCGACTATGTGAATTTTCTTATATACCTCATATTTATTTATCATTATATATATCTAGGCTAGGTGGGCCAAAGATGGAGTGCTCCAAAGACATCGTTATTCTTCAACACCAACTTATCTGGGAAGCTAACTCATGGTCTTAGGGACCTCCCTCTCTCTCTCTCCTTTCCCCCCTCCCCACCCTCTCCATCTCTATCTCCATCTCCATTTTGTACCTCTAGGTGGTTTATTGATTGAAGGCCCCAAGATGGTGATCATGAACAGAAAAGTTGCGGTTTCCCAACCTCTTGTTGTAGAAGAAGAAGACCAAGGGGCACATAATTACACAATGATACCCCATATGAAGGGCAATTGATGATATTTCCTTTCGAATTGTGTAATGCTGTCCTGATCATGTGTATCATCATCATTTAAATATGTTTTGAATTTTTATTCCACCATCATTTACTAATGCTAGTCTCACATTTGCTTGCTAAATTGCACCATCATCTTGTTATACTGGTCTTGCATTTGACTTACTATATTCCACCATTGGCACCATCAATCAGGTATGATTCAACATATTGGAGGATCAAAGCAGCAAAACATATCCAGGTGATTTGGAGGTACCAGAGGTGGCGGCGCATGCGCAAACTCAGGGCCCTCAACCAAGGTTGGCATCCTCATGGACGCCAACTTCCTCCTCGATACTGAGCGAGGGTTCATTCCCAAGACTATGCTCATCCGAAGGCCATGCATGGTCATGTCATGTTTTATTAATCGTTACAAAGGGTTGAATTTTGTTGATGACTTTTGTGATGTTTTAAAGTGTGTTTTTTGTGATTTTGAATGCCGCAATAAAGTATTTTTATTGGTGTTTTGCGATTTTTTTTTAATCTGCGCTATATTTCATGAGGGTTTTTCACAGGCCCGTTCAAGATCTGTGGGGAGTCTTGACATTCGTATTGAATTTAGAAAAGATCAATATGGCTGAGCGTCCAGAATAGTCTGCCCCCTTAACAACACTAGATTCTTATACCTTTGGTTGATTGATAGATCTAATTATGCATAAATGACCCGACCTGATAGAACCGATAAAGTCTAAAGGTTGTCCCACCTCTGAGTAGTATTGTTGTGGACTACATTAATGTGTGGGGTTAGCAGACTGCTGGGGACCCATCGGATGCCTATAAATATGTTCTTCCTCTCATCTCTCATAAAAAAACTTAGGACAACCTGGCCTCCTTCTTGATCCTCATGGAAGTGGAGTAATTGTTGATGTGTGATGGTGAGGAGTCTTTTCCGTGCTTTGATTGTTTATGTTATAAGGCCAGCGGTAGGAGGGGGTAGAAGAACCTGATGGAGATTAAAATTGAAAGGAAGGGTCTAGTGTTGAGTCTCAAAAAATAATGAAAGTGAGAGCGAACAAATATACTTGAGCTTCTTTTGATTCAACGTGAGGTTGTGACCTTTTGAATCAGCACACCAGAGTAATCTGAATCGTATGACTTTTTTCTCGTGGTGTGGCGAATGCTTCAAGAGTAATTTTGACAAAGTGTGATCTGAGGAGTTTGGTCCTTTGCTTGATAACTTTCGACAGTATTTTTAAAGATGTCTCGCTGGTCTGATTGAGAGATTCCTTGGAGTACCACTCATTGTGGATTTGACAGAAATGACAGGGTCTTCTATTCTAGATCTACTTTAATTATTTTCATATAACTTATCCATTTCATTTATAGGATGAGATCTGTGCTTGCTAGAGGAAGAAGTAAGAAATCTTCTATTATTGTGAGTGGTTGTAATTCAAGTAAAATGCTTTGGAAAATCCTCAGACTCTTCATTTTATCCCCAATTTTGATAGTCACACAAAATTGTAATGTATTCATGATTGAGAACTTCAGTTTGAAAGCCACTTGTTTGAAGATAAAATCTTCATTCATAAAAATAACTCAAGGGGCTCCAGAAAGAATGCAGTTGTTTATACATGTTTAAATTTGATAGTCATTCTCTTTTATTTTTATTCACTTCAGAAAATAACATTCTTCCGATTTATTTATTTTCTGTGGAACCTAGTTGATATCAAGAAAAGAGTTTGTTTGGATCTGCAATAAGTGATCAAGAAACTTCTATTATCTTTTTGTCCACAAAATTTGCATTAGCATGTTGGTAAAAAGGACAAAAAAGTTCAAAATGGAATGGTCTTCCTGATTAATTGTCTGATTTAATAAGTTTTGATGTTGTGCTCAGCACAACTCACTGTCGTAACTAATGTTCTTCATGGGCCCATCGATGGCGTATCTCTGAAATGTTGGTTGCAGTTCAGGCTGGCATATGTAGTTCTCAAATCGAGATTTGGAACTAGGGACTTTGTTCTTGAGGAGAAGAAATTTATTGAGCATTATTTTCATGGCCGCTTCTTCCTTTATTTTTTTGTTGTTCTACCACTTACCCAGGTATATTTTCATTCTCAATTATCTTAAAATTTACTTATAATGTTGTGTTTGCATTTAATTCACAATTTTTTCTCTTACTTTTTTTTTTGATTTATTTATAATTTATCTTCTAGGTCTTATCTAATGATGCCATTAACCATTAGTTTCTATCTGTTTTTCCATGAGGCAATGGAGTTGAAGCTTGGTTTTTCCTGCTTTAGAAAGAATTTTATGTCCAAAGGTTATATGGGCAGATCTTAAAACAGGTTCCTAGGGTAGAATTTATAGTGGGATGTTGTGAATCTTAGATGGTCATAATTGAACTTTCTCCTTGTGGCATTTATTTGTAAAGTTACGTATAAGTATGCAGATTTAAATATCTTCCTTTAATTGAATTTTCATAAAGGATAGATTTAAATTTTTAACTATTTTTTCTCTTTTTCTCCTTTGAGTTTCCATGTGCTCAGTTTTAATATGCATGCAAATATGTTCCTATTGTCGAGTATTATAAATATTATATTTTGTTTTTATTCTTATTTTCTTCTAAGTGAATCCTTACTATTTTGGATCTCTCCCTTAATTCAGCAGATAAATGTAAATATAAAAATACTAGAAAAGAGTAATAATCCCCAGGGATTTCTTAGGATTTCGCAGAGGAGCATGTGCACCTGTATTTTTTTTTAATGTCTTTCTTAATTAGGATTAAATACGGATTAGCTTTATTATTAAATATAAATACGTATAAATATCAGATTACATTAGGAATCAAGTCAGTGTGCTTTCTCCGAAGCTGCTAGAAAGATATTATGATCAGGTACCTGGTACGTGGATAGTCTTGTTTGCAAGACTATCTACGTTATAAAATTTTACAGTTCTAGATGTCAGCCTTAACAAGGTTTAGGCCTGCTTATCTTAATCTTGACCCTCGATTTTTATTTTTTCTCATTCCTTTTATCTCATGAAATCACTCGCTCGCATTATGGTTTGATGCTTCACTGCAGCAGATGAGTACCCTCGCTGGAAACCAGGTTCCTAGTGATTCTGTGTGGGAAGTCTTGTTTCCAATATGCATTATCGGGCTTGGATTGTTGCTTTTTACCCACCCTACTCATCGGAAATAGGCAAAGTTTCATCCAATCATTTGGAAAGAGGTGACCAAGTTATTTGTTTTTGCCTTCTATCCTGCAACTTGTCTGCAAAGAAATTTGGCTATGCTTGAATATTTTCCATCAATGTTGAATAAATCTCTGATTTCTTCTAATCAGACGATCAATTATTATGTTTTTAATGTGAAAAGTCCTTTATTTTTTCAATGATTTAGAACAAGCATGTTCTTTCTTAGAAAAAATAAATAAGTAGCATTCTATGGGCCATCCAAGTGCAATGGGTCGTTGTCTATATTTTCTTGGCATAAGATGCTATGATCCGGAAGTTGTTGCTCTTCCCAGTGCCCAGAATTATATGGCTGGTCCCACGAGAGAACCCCCGGTGATGAACCTGATAGGCCACTGGATGTTCTGAATGGGGCTACCAATGTCGCCCTACAGAGAGACAGCCAGCAGTGACCTTCCAAGACCATTTGCAGAGTCTGTAGGGTCGTCCATCAGCTGCCCACCATGGTTGCTCCCAGAGAGCATAAAGCAGCCAGTAAGGGTTGGCGTGAGGTGGTCAGCAGAAGGGATTCCTATCACCACTTTTCACCGGGCATTGGCATCTACTGGGTAATCTCCTCTCCCGAAAACAAAAATTCTTGCATCCCATACAAAAATTCCAGCAGAAGGGATTCCTTACCACTAGGTTTCCACCTGGCATTCTTTGTGGTCTGCATTGTTCCTCAGCTCCCTCCCCCTCCCTATCCTCAGCTCCATCCTTGCCACCCAGGCAGCCAGTAGCCTCCACGGGGCTCATGTCTTCCCCCACCATTTTCTAAGAAGCGTCGATCTTTGCCACTTCGACGCCGCCGTCGTTGATCCCGCCGGCGGCAAATCCAACGCAGTTGCGGCGCTGGAGGGCGGCTGCGGCGGGTTGGCGGATTAAGGCGGCGGTCAAGACTCGGAGATGGATCATCTGCTGAACCCGGGGCAGCCGGCAACGGGCAATGTTCCCTACTGCACCATCTCCCCGGGGGAATATGGAGCACCGGCGGTCTCCCCTATGAGGCGACGTGTGAGCTCAAATGCATCGACGGGGGACGTAGAATCTAGTTCTCAGCGTAATGAACGTTCCCAACCTTTAATTGAGAGTCAGCTCCTTTTTCTGTGTATCGATTTAAAGAGATCCCGTTTCCTGTGTTACGGTCGAAATCATGACAAGATTCACGCGGATGCTACAGGGCGGACGAGGAAATCAGAAAAGGAGTTCGTCCATTATTGGAAGACGTTCTTCGTGATATCTTGCCTTGCGGGCTTCTTCATCGACCCATTGTTCTTCTTCACACTCTCTGTGAATCAGGTAAAAAAAAAAAAAAAAAATCTTCATTCGTCAAAGCATTTTCATACCTCTTCCTGCTTCATGAGTGTTTGCCCTAATCATTCATGTCCACTCTTAATATGGGCTAATAGCCTGAAGTGTTTCATAATCTATGCCGTCCATTTTTCATTGGCATCCTTACTTCCAGCACCAGAACTCCCCTCTGGTTTAGGTGACCTCTAGCCTTCCTACATTTCTCCTGTATTCCAATCCTGTATTCTCATGGAACCCTGAAATGCTCCGGCAACAACCCCTAGGATGCTCTCTCACATCCAATGCGAAAGAGGCACAAACCTGGTATTCATGCGGCAGTACCCATTGCTGCCTTTGATTCCGTCATCGGTTCTTGTCCCCCTATGGTTGCATGAACAAAGTGGCCCTTGACTAGGCTGTGGCAAAAGGCAGGAGGCAAACCCCGGATTCTCTAAAAGCCAGCTACTACGAACCTGGCTTTGGTACCATGCCAAAAATGATAGAGTGACGCAGACCCCAAGAGGATAAATAGTGAGAATAAATCTCTGCTTATTATTCACATCATAGATGCCTGCTTGTTATATACAAGTACAAGGGCCAAGAAAATGAGGAAACTATCTAACAAAATAGGAAACTGACCAACTAGGAGCCAGACTCCTCTATATACGTTCTTTCCCACACATGGCCCTAATATCATTGTCTCTTATTAGTTTCGTAGTACATCTTTTCTCTTTTTTAAAACCAATGCTGGTCAGGTGTGCTCTCTTATCCTTACTGACTTTTGATCTAACAAGGAAGTCTCTTCCTTTTTCTGTGAAAATTGATCTAGTAACTTTTAGAGTTCCTGCTTAATATTTTGATGTGGTTGTACTGAGTATCATAAAACTCAGATTTATATCACTGATTCTGAGAGCCTGCTTATTCCTATTATGTGCTTCTTCAACATAGTCTGGACTGATGTTCCTTTCCAGTTTTCCGGATTTCTGATTTCCTCTCTAACTACTAAGAAATGATAATGTCTTGGTACTTAGCCGATTGCTTGTCATTATTAATCATTCTTGTGATTGATGAGTTAACACTTCTATGTATTTTCTTCCTCAGTTTCTCTGGGATATTACCTTACTTTCTGACCTTTTTTGTATTTTAACAGGATTATAAGTGCTTTTTCTTTAATTGGACTTTTGCTATAGGAATTTCAGCTGTTAGAACTGTGACAGATATTGTCTACCTGCTACAGATTCTTATTCAGGTAAGCTGAGGCACTTTTTCGGTCTGATTTTTTTCTGACTTATTATCTACTCTAGACATTTTTTCAATCCTTTATCTGGAAGTCAATGCATTTCATGCTGTAGTCTGTATCATCAGAACAGCAAGTTGTTGAGGGAATCCTTAAAAATAATTCAACAGGCTCTAGAAAGGATTCTCAGGGGGACCCTATGATAATTTAGAAGTCCGACGTTTTGAAGTTTTATTTTAATATGCAGTTGTTGATGCATGTTTAAATTTGATAATCATTCTCTTTTATTTTTATTCACTTCAGAAACTGGTATTCTCCTGATGTAATTTTTTTTCTCTGGAATTTGGTTGATATCAAGAATAGAGTTTTTTTGATCTGCGATATGTGATCAAGAAGCTTCTATGATCTTTCATCGAAAAAATTTGCATTAGCATGTTGGTAAAAAGGACCTCATTCATGTTTAGAGTTGTAGCTCAAATGACAGAAAAGTTCAAAAGATAATGGTCTTCCTGATTAATTTATTTGATTGATTAAGTTTTGATGCTATACTCATCACAATTCACTGTTGTAACTAAAGTTCTTCACGGGCCCATGGATGACGTATTGCTGAAATGTTGGTTGCAGTTCAGGCTGGCCTATATAGCTCTCAAATCGAGATTTGGAACTAAGGACTTCATTGTTGAAAAGAAGAAAGCTGCTAAGCATTCTTTTCGTGGCCACTTGTTCCTTGATTTTTTTGTTATTCTACCACTTCCCCAGGTATTATTTTCGTCCTCAATTATCTAAAAATTTAGTTATAATGTTTTTTTGGATTTCGTTCACAATTTTTTCCTTCACTTTTTTTTGTTGTTTTTTGGATTTATTTATAATTTATCCACTAAGTCTTATCTAATGATGCCTCTAACCATTAGTTTCTTTATGTTTTCCCATGAGGCAATGGAGTTGAAGTTTTTTTTTCCTGCTTTAGAGAGAATTTTATGTCCAAAGGTTATATGGGCAGATCTCATCGCCACAGGATGGATGGAGTTGTAGAAGAGGACATAATGAAGTTACAATGGAGCAAGTAGATAGATGCTTTGTATTTTTGCAAGTAGACCAGTTCAAATTTAACCATAGAAAAGTGTGATTTTTTTTCTTCATGAAGGTCATCGTATTTGTGGTTATACCAGCGTACGTTGGACTACTAGCTGCTAATTCTGCCAAACATCTGTTGTGGGCCACAGTTCTTCTTCAAAATGTACCCAGGATCATGAAACTTTATGATGTTATTGCTAGAGGGCCTTCAAGTAGATTCATCTTTGAATCTGTTTGGTCAAGTTTTGCTGTCAATATTATAATGTATGTATTAGCTGGACATGTTGTGGGCTCATGCTGGTACCTCTTTGGCTTCCAGGTATGTAACAATGATAATAGCTACTTTAGCTGCTTTTATGGCTATTCGTAGTGTTATTTCCCTTGAAACATTCCTTTGTTGAACTTGGTTTCACATTCCGTCCTGTTCTTTTGACTTCAAATTTATGACTGTGAATGGTTGGCTTTACAAGTGGTAAATCTGTAATTTTTGACATGGATCCTGAGGATATTGTTTGGTTGTAGTCTAAATCCTGAAAATTATTTAGGCTGTGCTTGATCTGTACTTGTTCATGAAAAGGACTTTGCTGTTCTTCATGCCAAATCCTGTTGATTTATTTTGTAAAGATTCTTCGGTGGAGTTGAGATTGTAAAATGTGGACTTGTCTGGACTCGTGTCTGTGTACTTGAATTGAGATGATCTGCACTTAAATCATATTTCAATTGAGGTATAATTCTGCATTTTGGTTCATAGCTCCCAAAATAGAAAATCACTCATAAAAGAGGAGAAGAATTTTTGTTGAGAAACATGTTTGTGGTAGGAACTAACTTAGTATATGTGCATTTCTTCTATGGTATCGTAATGGAATTCGCCTTCATGCTGTCTCCCAGAGGAGGGGGGCAACCCAAGTCAGGATTTAAGATAAAAGTTGGGTCAAGATGAATAGGAGAGGAGATGAATCTGATCCAGGGCTCATTTAGGTCATGTGGCTCTTGAGGAGTGTATTACATGTCTCACGAAAACGGCTTTTAATATTGAGGATTTGGGAATGCGGTCAGATGTGAGTTTTATAGAGGGTCAGGAGGTAGAGATAGATGCTGTCAAACGCCTTGGGTTTATTATGTTGGGCTGCAAGCGGGCAAGAATAATACTTCGTGTTAAAAAGTCAGGTGAAAACAATTTTCTCAAATATAATGGGAGCTTGGTAATCCCATATTTAGAAAAAAGATAAAAAACCTCTATTAGCTTGTTGGTTGAACTGTTGAATGCTGGAAATTAACATGTGAAAGACTTTGACATTTGAAAAAAGAAACTGATGGGCCTGAACGATGTGGATACTGGCAATGGATGAGGTGATTCATTTGACATGGAATTGATATGGTGATCCACTATGTTTTTGATTGGGCTATTTTCTGAGTTTATCAAGGTGGATGATGAACCCTTGCATGCTGAACGTGGCACAGACAGTTAACACATCAAAAGCTTATCCACATTTTTTTTCTTTCACTACTAAATTTACTTTTCAAATATTGAATATTCTAAATTACCAAAATTCTTACTGGCAACTGAATAATGGAGCATGGCTTGATGATGATCGTGATGTCAAACAAGTTATTGTTGAGTTACTTGACTAAACGGTGATGATGCCGGTATTTAGTGTGACATTTATAGAACACAGGAGTAGCTAGTTTTTGCACATCCATCTTGTGCATTTAATTGGCACCCCCAGTTTTTTGCACGGTTTTGTTATGATCACAAAAATACATATGCACGTCATTAAGTCATAGTTCCTCATAATTATCTGAGATCCTTTGTATATGTATGGGGTCATTTATGCTTTATAACCACACCATACCTGGAGCATACTACTCATTTAAAATTTTCTTTTTTCTTCTGGCCTGCAGCGGGTAAGTCACTGTTTACGAGATGCCTGCTCTACTTCTAAAATAACAAACTGTAAAGTGTTCTTGGATTGTGGACATGGGCCAAAATATCATAGTTTTACTCAATATCCTGAGTGGGAAAGCTGGAAACAGAATGGCAATGCTTCATCTTGTTTTTCTAAGAATGGCACTTTCGAGTATGGCATTTTTAAGCTTGCTCCTGAGATCGCAAAACAACGTCACGTCATCGACCGATGCATTTATTCATTATTTTGGGGATTCCAGGTACTCATTTACCCTCTCATTTTCCATAGTATATGCTTTCTTTTATCTTGCACTCTGTGAGTCGTTGAGCATTGATCTTGATTGAGATTCTTGCAACTTGGAGAATGAAAGGATTCGATCTTCACGATCCTCCCCTTCCAGGAAGATGAATCAGTCACCTGTTTTTGGAGCAGAATTTCTGCAATCTCAAAATCTTACATCAATTATCTTGGTTTCCCGCTTAAATACAGGTTACATGAGTTAATGGGCCATGCCCAGTACATTAGTCTTTAAGTGGATCTGTTAACAGTCTAATGGATCCACTTAACATAGGGAATGATAGAGAAGGACGAAAATACAGTGAAAAGAAATAGATAGAAAGGAAAACTAATCCTAGAGAGTTCAACATGAGTTATTATCCATACTATGTTCAAGAAGGATATCCCATGAGATATGGGATAGAATGAAAATTTACCATTCACTGTGTTGAGCAGCTCTTTGTTTCCTTGAAATATTTGTTTCCCAATTTTTTTTTATTTGAGTATAGTTGTATCCTACACTTAAGATCCAAATGTATTTTTATGTTGTTGCTTTCTTTTTATACAGATTCGCTTTCTTTAGTCTGTTTACTGTTAAGGCTATGTAAAGGGCTCTGTAATCCCCCAGGGGGCGAGCATTACAATTCATTCATTTTTTCCCGTTCTCTCCTAGTCCTCTCTGGTCTCATATAGCAATTCATTTAATGAGACATATAGTCAGTGAATATATAAGATGAGGACGAGGATAGTGAAGAGTGATGTTCTAACCTCAGAACAGAAATTGAAATAGTGCCAGCAGATAGCTAAGTGTTGCAATAGAAGTTGAGTTACCATTGTGGTGATTTTGGAGGAGCGTCTTTTTACTCTAATCCTGTCTCTGTAACATATACCAGCTAGAGTGTTTGGACTTGCGTCTTTCTATTGCTGGTTCATGTGGTCAATGTGATTCTTATAATGTGGTCATTGGCGTGTACGTTGATGGATGTTGAAAAGAATTCAGTCAATGCCGTGTAAACATGGGAGTCAATCCCCAACTCTCTCTAGCTTTGTCCTGTTCATTAATTCGGGAGCTCTCTCTCTCTCTCTCGTCAAAACAATGTGAGCATAAGAAGTGGAGTGCAAGTTTTGAAGGCCATCTTGACAGAGCGAACAAACAAGTTATTTCTATAAAGGTAAACTGTTGCAGCAATGAATTTTGTTTTTTCAGGGAACAGTTCTTTAGACTGTCATCCATTCAATTGTTTGCTCCCATCATCTGTCATGTACCGTTGAGTGAGTTAGTTGGGTGCAAGACTGATTTGATGGGGCATTCGTCTGTTCTGTCCTGGTCTAAGAATTTTGGAGACTAGATTTCTAGTCCTGGTTTGAGTTTCGGGGCCTAGCTCAGACGCCAGTTCTTTATAATGAGCCATCACTAGTTCAGACATGGTGGAAAACTCGGTTCTTTTGGAGTGGTATCATTCATTTGATGAGACAGGACACGTTAGCCAGTCTGATGAGACAGGACACATCCTAGTTTTATTGGAAGATTGGAACGCTTATTTGACTCACATCAAGAAGTTATCCTCCAAACTACCAAGCTAAAGAAACAGCATATAAATTTAAAAACGACTTAGTGGAGGATTTCATAGAGGAGCGTGTGTACCTGTAAAACTTTTTGATGTCTTTCTTAAATACGGTTAAATAGTGATTAATTTAACTATGAAATAGAAATACACATAAATATAAATTACATTAGGAATCAGGTCAGTATGCTTTTCTGGAAGCTGTTAGAAAATATTAATCTCAGGTACCTGGTTCACTGGACCTTTATCTGAAAAAGGCTTTTGTTTTGTGTCTTCTCGTTTACAAGATTATCCACATATGTACATTTCGTCGTTCTAGATGTCAGTCTTAACAACGTTTAGGTCTGCTTATCTTAATCCTGACCCTCGATTTTTTTCTTCATTATTTATTAATATCGCATGTAACCGCTTGCTCACATTATTGTTTGATGCTTTACTGCAGCAAATCAGTACCCTCGCTGGAAACCAAGATCCTAGCTTTTATACCTGGGAAGTCTTGTTTACAATGGGCATCATCGGGGTTGGACTATTGCTTTTTGCCCTACTCATCGGAAATATACAAAATTCCCTCCAATCACTAGGAAAGAGGTGAACAAATTATCTGTTTCTACCTTCTATCCTGCAACTTATCTGCAAAGAAATATGGCTATGTTTGAATATTTTCCAGCAATGTCGAGCAGGAAGTCAATATTTGACAATAAGTTTCTTTTTCGCTCAACTCTCAGCTTTCTTCTAATCAGACGATCAATTATTATGCTTTTAATGCGAAGAAATTTGGAATAATTTTCTTCTATTTTAGAAAAAATAGCATTCTATGAGCCATCCAAGTGCAATAGTCGTTGTCTATATTTTGTTGCCAGAAAATGCTATGATTCTTGATATGACCTATGATGCGGAAGTTGTCTGTATTCTGTGCCTCCCACAGAAGAACCGCCAGTGATGAACCTGCTAGGCCACTGGGTGTTCTGAATGGGGCTACCAATGTGGCCCTACAAAGAGACACTCAGCGGTAACCTCCCAAGACCATTTGCAGTCTCTGTATGGGTCATCAGCTGGCCACCATGGTGGCTCCCAAAGAACTTAAGGAACTTAATGTGTATCCTCTTCCATAAGGAAAAATAAAGCCTAAACGTCCCAAGATCCCTATGAATAGAGAGGGGACAGAAAATATTGAAAAATGACGTGGGGATTTATGGAATGTATGAGAGCTGAAGCCTTTATAGACGTCCACGTAAGTAAAGGAGAGAATAAAGAAGACCACGTGTAGAAATGTAAAAACTAGGTGGCGGCCTTTGCTAGTTTATATTTTCCTGACACATGGCTAGTATTGTTTGACTTGGAAGCACGTCGACGTAATAAGTCTAGTTGTGATCTTGTTGTTCGCTTTATCTGTGCATTAGTTACCCAGAATCACAAGTGAACATCCTGGTAGAATTTAGTTTCCAGAATTCTCCAGTTCTCTGGGGATTTGAGCGACTCAGCCAAGCGCTGGATCATGAAATAAATACCTTGAGACAGGCATACTTTGGTCACTTTCTGTAGCAGGTTTGTTTCTTGTATCGTGCAATGAACAGTCGATGATTTGCATTTGATTACTGCGACATTACTTTGGGGATAATTTTCTGTCAGGTGACAGTTGTATATGACTGACAACGTAATTTGTTTGTTGTAGGAGACGAGAGATGCGACTAAGACGGCGTGATGTTAAAAAATTGATGTCCCGTCTCCAGTTGCCTAAAAGTTTGAAGAGGTACAGCGCAACAAGCTCTATTGTCTTAAAATTCACCCATGATTCTCTATTTTCTGGCGCGTGAAAACAGTAAGATTTTAGTTTGACTGTTGATTCTATGCCTAAATTGGTATGGCATTTCTGAATGATAAGGTGCATAAGTAACTTCGTTTGGTAGAGCAGCCATGGAAGGGGAGGCTCTGGCTATGAAGTGTGAAGG